AGAAGTAGTATTTTGATGTATTGATGAACATATTACAGTATTAGCCATATCGCTGGATACGAATATGTTTATTTTTGGCACTGAGGCTGAATTTTAGAAATTAAGGGATTTGGAGGTTATGAGTACGATTTTTGACATCAAATTTGAATTCCTCATCAAATTTTACATAAAAAATCATGTTTCAATAATTTTTTCATATTCACCAGTGGGAAGCAGAATAAAAAATGAAAAATCAAATCGAAAAGAGGGGGGCGGGGAGACAGTTGACGCGATATAGCCCATATACGTAAGTACAGTCAGATGCGCCCGTGCGAGAGCGAGAAAAAAAGAGATACGCGTGGCAAGTCTCAGACCTAGGCAGCAGCAGAGAGCAGTCATCGAGTTCGATGTAGCTAGCCTGCAGTGCAAACCGACGCTGATAGACACTTATGGTATACTACCAAAGTTGCGCTCGCTTGGACGGACGGACGGACGGACGCTCGTTTTTCACGGGTTTATAAACCCCTCATACCAAAAGCTAATAAAGATGTTTCACATCAAAAACTACTTTAATTGTACTATTATTTTGATGTGTTTTCTTTTTTTGGAAATCTAAAACAGAAATTTTGGGAGTCCAAGCACTTTTACCAGCTTCACTGCGTAATATATAAGATTTAAAAGAATATAAATCCTCAAAACGCGTATTGATTCCACTAAAACTGATTTATTTTTCCATTTTTTTCTTTTTTTTTCCTTCATTTTTGTATCATAAGGCCTACAAGATATAGGGCGTTTTCACAAAGCGTTAGTGACGGTCAGGATTGAACAGCTGATTTGCCTGTAGGCACAACAAACCGAGTTTCCATATACTCTATATGTTAAGTCGATTAGTTTGACTGCAAATTACAAATAAATGAGATGCTCTAAAAATATATAAAAAATATGTCGATGTAGAGGAAGACTTCATCTTTTCATCTATCGAAGCGGATTTTACGATTTCTCTTTAGTTATTGCAAAAAAAATTGTTGAAATTTCGGTCATTTCAGAGTCGAACTCGCTACTGAGCTGCTGTCAACACTGACTTGCGCGTGTCCGTGATTGTTTTAGCGATATTTGAAAATACATTTAAATATTAAAGCATGAGTATATTGCCTTTTTCGACTCAGTTCCCTTAATTCTTCAGAATTTCTATTATTTTTCGGCTTTCCTGTTGGTATACAAAATAAGGAAAACTTTCCATTTTGGGAATTTGCTTTGCATCCTGTTACATAACACCTCAACGCCATTTTTTATTTTATGATTGCAGATTGATAAAAAAAAAAAACGAAATCAAATCTCAAATATCGCTGAAACGACCACGGACACGCGCAACTCGGTGTTGACAGCAGCCGAGCAGCGAGTAAAACTCCCCTTATAAAAATTTCCAATAGGATCCCGCGAAATTCCTATTGGAATCCTATAGGACTCCTGTAGGAATTTCGCGAGATCCTATAGGAAATTTTTATAAGGGTCCGAAATAACCGAAATTTCAACAATTTTTTTTTGTAATAACTGAAGAGAAATCGTAAAATCCGCTTCGATAGATGAAACGATGAAGTCTTCCTCTATATAGACATATTTTTTATATATTTTTAGAGCATCTCATTTATTTGTAATTTGCAGTCAAACTAATCGACTTAACATATAAAGTGAATGGAAGCTCGGTTTGTTATGCCTACAGGCAAATCAGCTGTTCGAACGAAGCGGTTAGTGACGGTCTCTGAAAACAGCCTTCAATTCTACAAAATATCTGACATTTTCGGGGTCCAAAAAACCAGGATTTTTTTCAGCTATTACGCGTTAGTTTGGGAAACGAAGTGCCCTGTTTAAAAAAAATGGCTGGATTTCCAGTTGAAAAATCGAGCAGAATTTGACTGGAAATCGAGCTGGATTTGACTGGAAATCTAGCTCGAGTTTTGAGAATCCAGCTCGAATTTGGGCCTGAAATCTAGCTCAATTTTTAACCTGAAATCTAATTTGATTTTTGACCTGAAATCTAGCTAGATTTCAGGTCAAAAGTCGAGCTAGGTTTCAGGCTAAAATTCGAGCTGGATTTTCAAAACTCGAGCTAGATTTCCAGTCAAATCAAGCTCGATTTCCAGTCAAATCCTGCTCGATTTTTCAACTGGAAATCCAGCGATTTTTTTTAAACAGGGTAGTTTGAAAAAAATACAGAAACCCTCTGAAATCTTACTCGGAAAATTATCAACCCCTCACCCGACGTATTTTTTTACGAGAAATCCGACGGTGACTTTGAATGTGACCTTGAACATAACCTCAAAGCTGTAGCGAACCAAAAATCGATTTTTCAAATAGAAACGCCCATTTTTTACTGCAGATTTGATTTACATTTTAATATGACTTGTTTTGTTTTGTTTTTTTTTTTTTTAAGGTAATTTGAAGCTTAAATAAGGTAAAGCCCTTGGAAATCTCGCCGAATAAGGGAGTAAAAATAATGAAAATACTATTTCTAACGTATTTTTTGACGAGGAATCCAATTGTGACCTCAAATTTGAACTTGAAAATGTTCACTTTTCACAATCACTTTTTAGTTCGCTGTAGTTTTGAGGTTATGTTTAAATAACCAAAAGAAATTCTGGTTTTTTAGACCCCGAAAATGGCAGATATTTCGTGGAATTTCTCATATACAGTGAAAATCACATAATTCGAAGTCCCGGGGACCACCATTCGCTTTTGAATTATGTGTGACTTATTTTGAATGTAAATGATTTATTAATAACATATTGGTAAAATAAAGCGTCTTTATTGACGTTGAAAATATCTCTCGCTCCACGATCTGAAATCATATTCTTCAATAATATTGTCACCGTAAATGATTGTTTATTTTTTTATGACCACATTCCTTGATACGTATATTGTACTATAACGTAATTATTTCAATGATTTTTTTTTCATGCAAATATCCTATTAAAGCTACTGATTCCAAAAGAATAATTTCGATTTCATCTTCGTGACTTTTGAAGAAAAATATTTTAATATTGAACAAAAAGTATTACATATTGTTTTAGTAAGAAAATAGATAATCGCATACATTGAAGCTTATTCAACATATTTGCATACTTAAAAATCAGCTACTCTAAATCTCTGTAAATACGATAATTCATTCATATCGAAGTTTTTTTCTTGTCGCGGTCATACTTTTCTTACTCAAATTTCTAATTTATATAGATGATATACGTGTTAAACAGTTATACAAAGTAATACAATATTTTTTTTAATCTCTTTGAATACACTGCTAAAACACTGTTAAATATGGCATTAAGAATTCTGCATTTAGTTCTCCGCCATTTTGTTGAGACATGATGCAAACAGCTTGATGTTAGCAGACGATTCATAGTTAGGTTATTTGATTAATTCATTGATTTCCTTACATTTTGAATCTATATTTAGACTTGCTAATTGCTGTTTACGTTATCCAACCTGATGGAACATTTAAAAATAATTATTCTAGAAAAATTCATTTATTCAGCACTCATATCTTACTTTTAGATTAAGTGATTTTCCTTTTAAAATATTTTGTACGTATCATTTATTACATCAGTTGTAAATCATGTACCCTTCGATTGATGATTTATGTTTTCGAAAAAATCAAAGTCATTTTAAACTAATTTGCTTGAGTCTAGGATTAAGAGTGAATTTTTTTTTATAATAATTTGCCCAGTTAATTTAGAAATTTAATTTTTCTGTAAAAATTATATAACCTAAGCTTTCATAAACATTTATTAATATTGATGCAATCAAAATAAACAATAAAAAAAGATGCAGACTCAACTTTCGTGACGAAATAACCTTCGAAAAAATTTTAACTACTTATTTCCCTGTAAAATTTTTCTAGAAATACCAACTCTGAAGATTTTCGCCAATGAACCACATCGAGTTTGTTACTTATTTTACATAATCAAAAAAAAAATAATGAAAAGAAGGAAAACATTAACATTAACAGGAAACATTATCAGGTGTACGAATTTCGTACATTTATAAGACTTATAAAAACTTTTTAAGACTTTATAAAACTATAACATGAGAAAAGTTTCCGTTGGGGCAGATCAGTAAAACAGAATGTACAAATGGATATCGCCACGTTGGCTAGATAAACGTCCTGAAATTGTCAGAATATTGAATTGAAAGTGTTCATATTACATAGAACGGTCATTTTCAATGGGATGATTAAATATTTGGTTTATTTTTATTGCCTGTTCATAGTTAGTAATATTTCCAAAACACGCGATGTTCGTTGCAATGTTTACGATTATTATATCATAGTACATTCATTTTTAATTATCGATTCATTACATTTTTGTATGATTTATTTGCTCGTCAGCCAGAACGCCATTTTTGAAATGATTTGGCTCCTTATGGAGGTATTTAGTGGTATAATCGAGTAAGATGAGACACATGCACCCTCTATCGGTTAAAATATTATGTATATTAGGATGGCCATCTTGCGACACGATGTCAGTTCTTAAATTATTCAAGTATTCGAGGTGAAATGTTTTAAAAAAATTTAGTTCAGAATTCTGAATAAAGTTTTAGAGTTAGAAAAAATACAAAGTTCCAACAAATCGTACATATTTGACTCTGTTGCCAACTAAACGTATGATTGATAGTTTAAAAAATAGTTGAGGTTATGTGTGGAATAGGATGAACTTTTAGTGGTACTTCTACTATGAGTCATTTTCTAGGCTCGTGTTCAGGAGGCTCCAATAAATGAAAAAAAACTAACCTTATGAACATACGGAATAAGATATAAGTATATGGAGGGTCATCCGGACCGTGAGTGGAAGGAACCCATTGCGCATGTGCCAGTTGTACTTGTGTTTAACAACTATTACACTTCAGTGACTCATACGTGAGTGTGTGAATACCCAAGTTCTCGAATGTGTGCGTGGAAGCTGCTGAAAAGAGGGGGAACTGGTAGAAAGTTAGCGTCGTTGCGAGCGCCAAGCGCGAACACTCTAGACTCATTTCTCAAGCGACGTTGCCCCAGTCGTTCTCGAGAGCTAGCCGTGTACTGTCTGTGTTGTAGCTGAACGCCCACCTAAGTGTCCGTGAGTTTGTGTTTGCACAGTTGTCGTACCATAAAGCAGATTTCTTGTTAGATTTTGCGCGCAGTACATGCTAGTAATAACACCAGCTGAGAAAGATAAAACGTTTTCAATCAAACAGATGATATTATTCCGAATATTGTTTGTTTCTGCTATAAATTGGTAGTCTAACCATATTAGATTGCATCGCCTGAATGACATATACAGACAACGATCGACAGATTTCTCATCAATTTCTTAAGTTTATTGTTATAATTTATGGAAGAAAGCAGACGAAGTGTACTTCATTGGCGCCTGTTTTTAGTTAGAAATACTGTAATGTTCTGGATGCAATATTTTCGTGTCATGTCAACAAAAAAGTGAGAGGAGCTGCAGTATTGTATCACTTCTTCTCTGGGTTTTTAAGAGTTTTCTGCCAGAATTTCAAATCGTGAGTAATTTTTAACGCAGTCATTTCTCAACTTATATCTTAGACTCAAATTTTTCTTGGAAGCATAAATTTAATTGCTTTCTGCTCAATGCAATTTTTGTTATTTATTTGTAGTATTCTTTAGCGCGTTTATTATATTGTTTTGAATTACTTTTTTGATAAGTTCTGATTTTTCAGACCAATTTTTCTTGAAATAAAATTTAAGTGTTATTTATTTCAAATTTCTATGACTGTTATTATGCCATATATACATTAGTATTATAAATAAGTACTGGCAATTATTGGTCTAAAATATTTATTCCTTGATGACCATTTCATTCTAAATTAAATTATAATTATTGTACTATTCATAGAGTTACTGTCTCACTTTCATTCTATAGAGCAATAGTAACATGAAAAACAAGATGAAATTCTCATTAATTATAGTTCTTATCAACACTAATATTTCTCTTCATCCTTTTTAAACTTAGCTTTTTTTACAGTATGTCAATAATTGTACATCTAAAACCAACTCAACACATAAAAAATGGAAAGAACTTGTAGTTTAGAATGAAATTAAATATATAACAACAAATCTCAGTATGAGGTTTTCTCCTGTTCAAGAAGATGATGGTGGGGTAAGTTTGTGGTTTCAAATACCCCTAGATGATTTTGATGAATATATAATGGCTGCAAGCGAGGAAAGTGATCTTTGCAATGATAACGCAATTGTTGAAAGTTCCATGGAATCCAACCTTCCATTACTATTTGCAAAAGGATTTCCAGCTTCATTAGAAACAATGGATACGGTATGTTATAATTAGAGTTTGAAGTATAGTCAAAGCTAATAGATGCATTAGTAAAACTATTTAGAATAAAACTAAATATATATACATTTTTGTATTTAAGGAGGAATTAGAGAAGTTTATAATTTTTATGGTACAATGCTCTTTTGGAAATATACCTTTAGATTCAATACGTAAACCTCCATGGTGGCCAAAAGAAATTAGTTTTGCTCTTCCAGTAGTTAGACCACCAAAAGAACTTAAAGTAAGTTTATTTCATTCTTTGACATTCACATGAATCATCATTCACCGTTTTCTCTATCCATATTCCAAATTATTTATGAATTAAAAATAAATCTCATATATTTTTAAAATCCTTGAAACCAATAGTCTTTTAGTAAAAATTGAGGCAGCAAAAAAGAATAAGGAATCTTTGAGTACATTTTTATTGGCAATAATAGGTTATTTTAGGTTATGTTGGTTATTTAGTCAGGGAGTCATTGTCTTTTTATCTCGTGTCATTGTCAGTATATATAGTAGTGGTGCATACGTGGCACACCGAATTAGCCCAATTAAAAAGTTTCATCTAATTTTAGCCACCAGAGGACAGCAGCGGCGTCAGTACAAACGCGTGTTAATTATATTTACTATATATCTATATAGATATAGCTATTGGCCTCGAGCGTTCATACAGCGTGGCGCTTTCTCATGTTAATTCTCGTAAGAAAAAATTTGCGGCCGACGCTGACAGTTTTTCAGGACGCGTCCTGTTTTTCCATAAGATTACGTGTATATGGTGACTGTAGCGCCACTCTAAGCTCCGACCAAACGCCCAAAACGCCCAAATATATAGATGGACGATTCTCTGTGAAGTCAAACTGTAAAAAAAAAATTTTTTCCTGCAAATAAGAAATAGTATATCACGGCCCCAGGCCGGGAAAAACAGAAAAGTCCCAGGGCACGTGAAATAAGCGACCCAGACGAACCGAGTAACATTTCCCAAACGCTCCGCTGAACGGGATATTGCCACGGGATATGTAAAATCGCATTTAGGCCTATACTGGGATAAAAGAAAGCCCCACTGCACGTGCTAATCGACCTCGACTTCGTCTCGGTCGCTTACTTCCCGTGTCCTGGGACTTTTCTGTTTTTCCTAGCCTAGGGCAGTATTATACTATTTCGATGTCAGATTTGCCCCAAAAAAATTTTAGAAAAATTGAAGCCTTTTATGACACTTTTTTAGAGGCCCAAAGTTGTCCATTTTAGCGTTTTTCCGAAATTCATGAAAAATCGCAAATAATCAAATAATTCCTAGATCAATGTAAAATGATTCAAAATTAAAGGGACCATGAGATTTTTTGTTGGAAATTATCCAAATTTTCTGAAAAAATGTATTTCAAATCTAATCGAGTTCGAACCGGACCTTCGTTTCTAAAACTATTTAAAAAGCTTCCTGAAGATGTCAACTACTGCCTGATGAAGTTTTATTATTGGTCTTAAAGAGTAACGTAATGTAGACAACAGTATGCGTCGAAAAACGTGCAAAAAACGTCGAAAAATGGCTGTTTTTGGTGATTTTACGCATTTTGGTCCTATTTTAGAAAACAAGTTTTTCATATTTGTAGAAAAAAAATTTTTCAGCCATTCGACTTCACAGAGAATCGGCCAGATATATAAATAACACATGTTGGTACTGACGCCGCTGCTGTTCTCTGGTGGACAAAATTAGGTGACATTGCCAAATAGTTTATAGTGGAATCTAAATCATTGTAGGTTCAAGTTCCATCTCACAACGCGAAAAATCACTTATAAAGATAGAAACTGTCCTTCGGACACATTAGAATCTGAATCGAGATTCGATTAGTGGCGCCCTCAGTGAATTTACATATAATTAAACCTAAGGAAACTAGAAATTTAAAGCGAAAAATCAAAAAAAATTTTTTTCATTTATTTTATTATAAAAAGTAATCTACTTATAAAAAAGAGAACGGCCGAAAAGAGAAACTGCGTAAAACGACCTCTGATTGGCTGACACTGACGACGACGCCCAACGCGAGCCGACTGTATACGAGTGCCTGTGCTGCTAACTGTCAACAGACAGTTAGTACTTTAAGTAACCTCAAAATACAAATTCTGAACTATTTCTGGATCTCAAACTAACCTCAAAACACGAATGAAAAAATTGACGCGCGTGAAGCGCGTTTGAAACTTACTATTTGTAAATCTTAAACTAACCTCAAAATACAAATAAAAAAATTGACACGCGCGGAGCGCGTCTTAAACGTCTAGTAAATTTTAAGATTGCCATGAGTCGAACGAGAGTGCTGTAATAATTTTTATGGCACGCTAACCTAAAAATCGCAACTTCGCCGCTACTTTTAGGCTTTTGTACCATAAAATATTGTATGCAACTGATACGGATATGCTTTTCCAACGAAACTCGTTACAGCCCTCGCCTTCGGCTCGTGCTGCAACCCCTCGTTTCGCTGAAAAAGTATATCCGTACCCGTTGCATAAAGTACTATTATAGCACTGTGTGGCATAAGTTCACATTTATGGCACGCTTTTCGGTGGCATAAGTCGCACATTCTGGCACCGCTGCGTTCGCATCACACTCGCATACGCTCGTGCGCTAACCTCACTTCGCGTTACCAAAATGAAGAACTTGACGAAAAAGTGTTATTCGTTATAAAAGTCTTAGAATATTTCAAAGAACATTTCTGAATTTTTTGAGATTTTTTTTGATAATTTTCGGTATTTTTGATTTCTGACCATTTTCAAAAATCCAAAAATTTTATCAGAAAATTCTGAGAAAATTCAGGGGTCTTTTTTGAACAATTATAAGAACTTTTTCTAAGTAAAGTTTTTTTCGTAGACGCTTGGTTAGCATATAAAAAAATTGACCAAGTTTATACATGGTTTTTTTTTACGAGGCACCATTTTGTTGTCCACCATGTTGAATTTTGATATTGTAACTATTGGACTTTTATGTCTACACCCCATGGACGCAAAAAATATGTGTTAGACCCACGGATCAAGTCTCTTTTGATTCGAAAATTTAGGTCAAATCAAATTTTTTTCAAATAAATCGTGTTTTTTGCTGTGTACTTATTCATAACTTTTGTTCCTCAACTTTTTTGACAATTCTGACACCGGATTCGAAAAGTTCATGAAATTTCACGTCAGAAATGACTATTTAAACATTTTTCAGATATTTTTTTCGCAGAGTTTATAGCACTGGAAAAAATGTGGGAAATTTCGTCCGTTTGGCCCTAAACGGGTTAAGATAAATAATTAATTAATGTTTTTGGTATGATAATAGTTTCATTTGATCGGGTGGTTGGTGGTGGATCGAAACCAAACAGGCAAAATGACTAAATTTCATATTAAAATAGGGCTCAAGCCCTTTTTTGTTTCGGACTTGAAACGATATCTTTCTTCTATATGGTGAAAATATGATGTACTAATTGTCGTGCATCTATTTCTCTAACTGGAACAGCTGCCTTATCTATTTTCAAAAGCCACCTCAAATTCGATCATTTGAGAACATTTCAGAAACTTTTCAGTATATCTGTATTTAAAATAATGACAATCTCATTTATTTTTGTGGAAAACGTCATATTTTTGAATTACATAATAATATTGAAGCCATTTTAAACCGGAAATTTTTTTTTAATGAGCTAATTTAAATTCACATTTAATTTGAGACAAATTGCTTAATGAAAAAAATGTATTTTTCCCATTCTACCCTAAAAAATGCAACTTTGTCGCTAATTTTAGACTTTCGGACAAAAAATGATATTTTGAACAGTTGCAGTCATAGTTTTTTAACAAAATTCATAACAACTCTAGTCATCAGTTCGTGTTATAATTCTATGTATAGAATATGGAATAATTCTTATCTAAAAATATACTTCCAATTACAAATCAACCGTTCTTACGAAAAGTATCACACTACTAATAATGTGCGGAGAAAAATCCTTCCTTCTAAATGTTTGCCAAACATTTTGTATGAAAAAATACAATCGATATAAGCACTTGCTTTGATGGTATAAGGAAATTTATAAATAATTTCGAAGTTTATTTTTCTAACACTTTTTTTAACAGTTTTTTTTTCAAACGTAATTTCGTATGTGTGTCAATTCCGATAAGAAATGAATAAGAAAAACTAAACAATAAAAACCGAAAATATAAAATAGTTCACTTATTATCAATCATTTTATATAAATTCTTTAACGTCCTTAGAGAAGCTAAATTATGTTGATAAAACTGTTCATTTTCTTCTCGACCGATAGAATGTGGTGACAGGTTCAAAAAGTGAAAAATTAGTCTGAAGTTAAATGTAAAGTAACAGTAATTTCTATGTTTTAGTTTATTTATAAAAACGAAATTTCCAAAGCCATTAAAATGAAACAGAAGTTTACAACGAGCTAGACCACACCTAAAAAGAGAAAGCATCTCAGCTTCATGTGAACAAAATGGTAGTCCGTGACACGTCGTCTCGAATGTGCGCACGCGTTGCTTGGTTGAAAACTTCTATATACGTATATGAATACGCAGCCACATGATACTCACTATACATGTAGACCCCTATCATGTGCGATGTTCATGCACGCTTGTGTACTTCCATCGTACGAACACAATCGTGACCGTCGCAGCTGCGAAGGAAAGAACTTCGTATGTACATGAACATTTAGAGTGGCAACAGCGCACAACGCTTCCTTTCTTACTGCAGCATGTTTTCTTTGCTGTATTATATAGGCCATAAGGCATTGAAATTAAGATTATAATAATATTGACGTTGAGCATTCTGAAAATTGATTATTTTTTATTTAATTTTGACAACATTGATGATTGTATTTTTGCCATGATATTATTTTCGGAGTAATAGTTTCAAAAGAACTTGTTCTGATCAGAATTTTATTTTAAATTTGGTCATTTTTAATTTGGTTTCAAAAATACACTATAGAAAGAACAAAAATCAAATTATTTCTTTCTCGTTACCTTATGTATTTCTCTGAAATTTTAATTTATAATTACAATATTTTAAAAATGTGCGTACCTCTACATGGATAAAAAGTTGTAAGAAGCCCCAATTAGACCCTACGTAGCGAATAATTTCAATATCGTTTAATAAGTGGTACAATTCATTCATAAAAAAGTAATTATTAATTCATCATAAAGGAAGCTATGTGATAGGCTCAAAAAAATGATTTTGAACCAGACGTTGTAGGAAAATTCTGTTTACATATTTGGGAACTGCAATGAATAAACAAGAAAGTTCTATTTGCATTTAGATGTGTTTGTATGTACGTACGTATGTATGTATGCATGATTGTATGTATGTATACGTGTGGCATTTCACGTCAACTCTCCCAGTGCCACGCGGCGCGGCAGAATTAAGTCAAATCACTAAATTTGTAAATCGCTGTAAAAGTACTAAAATGCACCTTGAGAAAAAAACGAACTCATGATTTCGATGGGAAATTGCCTCAGCTTTCCGATGGCGAGGTCAGATTTTCCGAAATTTTCCGCTTTACCCTGGAAAATCTCTGAGAAAACTTTAAAGCCGATTATCTCGAAAACTTCATTTTTAAGATTTTTTTAAATAGTCTAGATCGAAAGATCAGGAATTTTTCCATCGATATAAACATATTCCAGATAAGCGTATTTTGATTTTAGCGAGATATAGCGAGAGAAAGAAGAAAAAACGTGGTTTTTTGTTCGGTTGGTGGCGTCCGACCGTCCACGCGCGCGCGAAAAAACCTCAAGGTGCATTTTAGTACTTTTACAGCGATTTACAAATTTAGTGATTTGACTTAATTCTGCCGCGCCGTGCGGCACTGGGAGAGTTGACGTAAAATGCCAATGTACGTCCGCTGGTAAGGAAGATGGAACCAGTGTAAATTTTGAACGGAGGAACGTAGCGAGACGTGGTTCGATTTTTTGTTTTAAAAGATTTGTGTGACACAAGCATCAAAAATTTATTCAAGGATCCATTGAGTAGTTAAAAATTTATAACTTTTTAAATAGTTTTTAAAATGTTTTTTCGTGCACAAATAATTTTCAGATTTTTTCCGTAATTATCATGAAATAGGAACAGACAAGTTTTAATTCGAGACCAAAAACGTAGAGATTCGCCGAATTAATAAAAGTTACAGACTCAAAATGAAAAGTTGTACCTTTTCTTCCTTATAGAGGAAGCTATGAGGTTCGCTTGATAATGAGATTTAAAATTAGTTCATCATTAATAAAAGTTGAGTTAGTTTATATTTATGGTCATACAAAAAAAAAAATCATTTTTTTACAAAAAAGCTCTATGCCAATGATTTAGCAGCGGGTTTTTTAATACAATAAAATTTAATATTTCATATAATTGCTTTCAATAATTTTCATTTATCCTTACTAGTTAGCTTATTTCGTAATATTTAATAAGAAATCTTAATTCATAATAACTATGACCTAAAAGTATCGTCGTTAAGCTATCTACTATTTTAGTATCCATATCTTCGGTTGCGTTAAAAATTCGTTTAATTAATTGAAGTAGCATAAATAACAGTTTTTCATAAATCGTTTGAATATTTTGACTATTTATAAATTTTAAAAATAATTTTAAAAACTTTATAACTTGACGATTTTTCGCAACTATTTTAAAATAATTATGTTTACATTATAGATGTACCAAGCTAACTTAAAGAAAGTTGTATTAAGGTGTTATACCTATCACCGAAGCGAATATTTGCTGCGCTTTTGTAAATATTTATCACAATATCCTAAAGAAATTTTTGAATATGTCAACAATTGGGATTCAACGACAAGTTTATTTCTCAAACCTACTGGAAAATTATTGGTCACTTTTCGAAATGAAAATATGGTAAAATGTTTGTTTTCAACTCTTAGTGTCATGAAAAAATCATCAATTAAAAAAATTAATTTCTAATGTTTAGAATTACGATCGGAAAGCACCAGGGTCGAAGAAAACACCCAATCCTGACAATTCTTCAAACAATTTCAATAATAGGAAACGACCTATGCGACTGGTGCCTTTCACCTCTACAGATGAATCTATGACGAATGAAATTTATCTTTGTGATAACTGTGATGAAGAATTTGTAGGCGAAAAAAATATGAAGGTAAATGAAATAACTGAAATTACTGAAATTACTTTTTTTATGATAAATCAATGTGCAAGTTTTACTGTATAGCGAAGAAAATCGTAGTTTGAAACATTGTAAATTGAGTTAAAAATGATCTTTAATGTAATAGTTAATAATAGTGTACTTCATTTTAATTATTTAGGAACACGAAAAATTATGTTATCCTTCTGAAGCAAAAGAAAGTGATTCTGAGCCAAAACCGATGACTCCTGAGCCAGAGCTACCTGCCGCTGCATCGGATATGAGCCTCGAAAGTTTTATGGGTTTATTCAATATGTGTCCAAAATCTGTAATTAAAGATCTAGCTAGTCAAGAAAAGGAAAGGAGAAAACAACCTAGACGTGGACCAATCGAACAGTTGAATAATAATTCTCGGACACGGAATTCGAACAGTCTTTCACGCTCGTTTCATATACCATTTTCGTCTCCTAGTGGCAGAATGCTTATCAAAAATTCAAAATGTATGACAGATTCGATGATGGAAGAACGTGTAGAAAAGATGGGGCGTAATTGTCCAGCACTACCTTTAAAAAGTAAAGAAGCAAAGAACCGGTGGAAAGTCATCGCATCATCAAATGCCGAAAATGATTCGTGGCCAATTGAATACAAAAAAAAGAAATCAGATCGAAAGCCCAAACAATCACGAATTTACAATTTTGGTAACTACTCTAATAAACCTGGTGAGTATTGTTTAGTTAAGAATTCAACATTTTTGAAAATACTTTTCTAATTTTCATTCAAATTCTGTTTAAACTTTAACAAAGCGTAATTTTAAAATACAGGTGAACCTGGCTATTCGCGCATTCGCGTAAATAAAAATGACACAAATATACGAAAATCGCGAATACTAAAAGATTGCTCTTAAAAAAATTTCTTGTAAAATCCTGCCAAATTCCTGCAGAACTCGTGTAGGAATTCTGCGAATGACATTAATAACATTTTCAATTTATTCACGAAAATATTCCTAAGTCGTAATTGTTTTTGACATCTACAAGTGTCTTTGTACATCTCCCTAGAGGGTGCGAGTACTTTTTCACATTCACGTTTAAAATTCCAACAACATGTCACCGTAGGATCATCTTTTAGAGCTTGATATTGCTTGTATACTGTTTATAAAATTCGTACAATTTTTATTGTGGAAATAATTTCTTGAATTGCATCATCAGTTGCATTTTCAATTCAAATTAGAGGTATATTACTCATTACTTTTTGAATATTCTTGAAACTTCAGACATTTTTTGAGCAATTGATCGAAATTAGGGTCTAACTGATCGAAAATAGGGGCGTATACTTTATACCGAGAGATGATCGCAAATCGAAAACCGCGACTACGCGAAAATCGCGAATAGCGTGGTTCGCCTGTACTAGAATTAATCTATTATAGATGCATTTGCAAACGTAAAATATATTTTAAATTAATCCAAGACAAAGTTCATATCATTTTTAAAGTTAATTAACTCATTCTGTCAAAATTATTACTCTTTAATACCCACATCAAAATTAGTTTATCAACTTAAATTTGTATAATTGAAATATTTTATTGATTTATTTGTAACTTATATACTGCTACTCACAACAAATATGTGCTCATTTGAATACTTTATTCATTACTCACCTATCTTTTTTCATTTGTTGCAGCTCTCAACATCCGATCACAAGCATTAAAACTCAAATGTAAACCAATTAACGTAGCATTGAAAAAATTATCAGAGTCAGAGATAGAAAGACTTCGCAAGGACCCATCACTATACAAAGCGCCAATACCTCAAATAACAATCGTCCGTCCTCGATCACCCATACTCAAAATCAGCTGCACAAGTCAATCACCAGCAAACAATACAGTTTCAAAGAATACTACTGATGACGAGCCCATCTGCATTGATTTAGATGACGATTCTGACGACGAATTGGTCGTAATTCACTCATCAAACGAACTGAAATCAATTTCCCCCAAACCCAAAGTATCCTTAACCAAACGTTCATCATCAACTTTACCAGTGGCTGTAACATCACCACAATTCATTAGACCACCCCATTTAAAAAATATTTTAACCGTTAATCCTATGCAACAAAACCACAACAATCAGAATCTGGTTAGTTTATTGTCAGCATCGCAAAAAAATCAATCGACTTCTCCAACTCGACCAGTACCGATATTTTCATCGGCCAAAACATCGCCACGCACGACAAATATGATGCAAGCAAAGACCTGTCAAAAACGCAGGCTCGCAACGGTTGCGCCTTTCATAAGATCCTTACCCAAAGAAATATTGCCACCTTCTGCTAAAAAGCCAAGATCAGTTAGCCAAGATGTTATAATAGATCTTTGTGATTCCGACGATGAAGATACAGATTTGAAACAAAAAAATCAGCAATCAATGGAAAACGATGTTTCATATTATGTTCAGCCTTACAATTTTGACCATCCAAATGAAAGATTGCAGCAGCAATGGGGATGTCATTTTCTTGTTGGTTCATCCGCGTTGAAAAATAATTTCTCATGATTTGTTACTTACTCTTCGTTCATGGACAAAACTGCCAAAAAATAGAAATCGAATAGGTTGGTTGTGAAATCACATGTTATCAATGTATTATGTACATGGTTGATTGTCAACTATTCTATTCAATTTCTTTAATTCAAATAGCAATTTTAACTTTTTCTAGAGATGCAAAGCAAAAATTACTTCTCTAGAATCAAAGTACATACGTTTTTATGTACGTTTGTAAAAATAGAATATCAGGCCTCCTAAAAAGTGATACGTGATAATACATTAATAATCTTAAGATACTTTAAGTAACTCGAAATTGTAACAAAATTGAGCTCGAAATGCTCTTTATCGAATAGTAAATTGGACAATTGAATGAATTTTACAGCGTAGTTCTGGTTCGGTGGCCGATTGAAACTACTGCGTGAGTCACATAGATATGATAAATTTTAGTATGTATAAATGTAAATCTTCACTGATTTTGTTCATCTTTTCATTTCTTCAATACTTCACACAAGTTTTTTTTTTTGTTAATGTTTAAAAGCATGATGTCTAAATATTGGCATGCCAAGTAAAGCTTGTCGTTGAACATTTTAGATAATTATGATATGTATAGTTAAACTATAAGAAAGTCACTATATAACTTTTCTGATTATTAAAATGTAAAATATTCAACTTGAAGACCTAACAAGTATTTTAAATTAACATTCATTGTTTGTAAATATATTATATCGGATATAATACAATATTCTTCATTTAAGTTTGTTAATTAAAGAGAAAAATTATTTGATTGAATCTATTATAAAAAACTATCTTACAATGGAATAATCGAATGAGTTGAAACCTAAATTAGAAAAAATAACTAATTCTACAGAGATGAAAGAAAAATATTGACTGTTTTTATATAAGTAGCTAATATAATTCATTTTATTATTACATAATTAAAATGTAAAAGTATTTATTTCCGGTATGTGAATGTTAATGAGAATCACCATGGTGATGTTAATAGTAATATCATGTTGAGATGAGGATTATTTCAAATGCTCACCAAATTAGATAGATTTTTCATTCGAAATATTTTTATATAAAATTTTAATTCTTAGCCTCAGATGAGAATTTCAAACCTCTTTATCTCCTACTAATGACTTTAGATACATCATTGATAATATATTTTCGGCTTACTTAATTTAGTTATGTGTTAAAATGCAAATCCATCTAATAATTCGTTGACGTAATGATATTTTTCATTGTAAAAATGATGCCGATTATGTAGAAATGAATGTGTGCAAATTAAATATGTACACTGAAAATTAATTAATTTAAAGTGGCCAATTTTACGATCAAAATTATTTTTCGAATACTTATTAAGTATAGTAATTTCCGTGATACAATATTATCCGTGTATAATATTTCATTATACTTCGAAAACAATCAGTCCAAAACTTCTAACTTATTTTAACTTATTGTCTCAAATTTTTTTGACACTACACTTGGATCAATATTTTCATTTTTTGGGATTCAAGCGGTACTCTTAAATCGTAGAAGAATAAAAAAGTGACAAGACTGCTACCATAACAATTATAATTGAATGATAATTTTTGAACATTTAAAGTTAATTTTAACAGATTTTTCAACAATGCGTGGATCAAAATGCATTACCAATGAATTAATCTGCAGATTCAGATAAACACTGTAAAAAATATTTTATTTAACATTAAATCAAATAATGATTTAATGTCTGTAAAATAATTGATAAGTCGGCGATTAAAGAATTTTTTAGACAAAATAAACTTTTTTTAAATAAAAATCAATGTATTGTTATATTGATTATCAAACCTATTTCAATGTCTTCAATGAAATAAAAAATAAGGTTTTCAATAGAAAATATTGATAAGTAAGTGCACAGTTTTTCCTTCTTCTTTGAGTTGGAACACCTACTTCGTACGAGTTGAGTATACTATATTTTTTGATACAGCTGCGGAAAGTTCGTTTTTTCACATGCTTACGAACTTTCCGCACGCTGTAGCTACAGCACCAAGGGATCTTTTACTTTCGAAGCATCCTACTGACTGCGAAAAACGAACTTTCCGCAGCTTTATCAAAAAATAGTATACTTAATTCGTGCGGAGTAGCTGTTCCAACTCGTGCTCCTGCCCCCCTCGCTGCGCTCGGGCGGCAAACGCCGCACTTGTTGCGTAATTTACTATTTTATCACAGCGTGCGGGAAATAAAAACTTCCCAAAACTCGCGATAAAAAATAGTATAACTCACTCGTGCGAGAATCACGTAAAATGCCTCGTTTAAAATGAAAGTATTTTTCGCTTACTATTGCATAAAATGTTATATGCAACACGGTCCCAGCTTTTTGCGCACAGTGTTGCGCACCCAAAAACGTATTTTGGGCACTTGTTGTATGAATAACTATTATTATATCGGTGGGAAATTTTTTTAACTTTCAGGTCAAGATTTTTTTTTAAATTTTCCAGTTTCCCTCGCAAAAGTTTTCACGAGATGCAACGAAAGATAAAAAAAAAACGAGCTTTTTTCATAGTAACGAAATTAAGTATGTACAAAGTTTATGTTGTAGGTATAAATTAGGTATATTTAACAGAATGACACTTATTTATTAAGTTGCATGGAACCTCGCTTTCAAACTTTTTTTAGTTTCCTTCCTCTACGGAAATGATTTTCCGAAATCCGACTAACTATTTCAGTTTGAAAAAGTTTTAAAAAAATGAAAACCCACCCAGATACGACCCTTTCAACAGCCAAAATAACCGAATGCTAGTCAGGAACGTCATATTTCAAATTCAAAAATGTCTTTAATATATTCTCAAAATATTTTTTGTGTGTTCTTTGACTAATTTTAAGACATTTTTGTTCTTTGAATTTTTTCATTTGAGTGCTTCTATCCCGATACAGGAAATCGCAAAGTTCAAAAATGTGGTTTTTTCGAGTTTACTCAACTCAACTGATGTTTCATCTTTCTGCCCGTGAAGAACATTATGAATCTCCAGTTCTCCCTCTAGTCTTTACCCGCGCCGCTTTGCAGTTTGCAGCACGAAAAAGGCAGGGTCCAGGAAAGGGAAGCTTTCAAGTAGGTACATACGGAACACGCGTTTGACAGCTATTTACTCCAGTGATCAGTAAATAGCAATCATTCGGTATAGTACGAGATTTTGAGGTTGTGTTGCTCATAATAAGAAATCGTGTGTGTTTACTTTACCGAAATAATTTATCTCTCATTTCTTATAAGTCATTATAAAAAAAGTAATGGCTGTGGTAATTGAAACAACAATTGGTGATTTTACCATTGACCTTTATACAGAAGAAAGACCACAAAGTAAGTAAAAAAAAGTTGTTTATGTTATTAACCTGACATTTTCTAGTTTTCATTCATAGATAAATGTTATTTACATGATTATATATTATGCATATTTACATTTTAGCATGTCTGAATTTCCTCAAGCTGTGCAAAATAAAATATTACAACTGGAATTTATTTTTAACGGTGCAAAGTAATTTCATCGCTCAAACTGGTGATCCTACTGCTTCTGGAAAAGGTGGAGAAAGTATTTATGGTGTGATTTTGGGAGACAAAGCCAGATATTACGAAGCAGAAAAAATTCCTAAAATCAAACATGATAGAGTTGGCTTAGTTTCTATGGTTAATTGTGGTGATAACATGCTTGGCTCGCAGTTTTTTATTACGCTTGCACCTGACCTCCAATCTCTTGATGGAGAACATTGTGTGTTTGGTGAAATTGTTGAAGGCCTAGACATAATTTTGAAATTTAATGAAACTATTAGTGATGACCAACACAGGCCTTACCAGGATATAAGAATATCCCACACTTGTATTTTAGAAGACCCTTTTGATGATCCCAAAGGGCTTGAAATACCAGATCAAAGTCCTCCACCCACCAAGGAGTTTTTAGAAGTAAGTTTTTCGTTCTAATTTTTTTCCAATAATACCATTATAAAGAGAAATAATATAATCTGCTATTTTGTAGAGTGATCGCATAGCAGCAGATGAAGAAATTGACGACACTGAAGGAATGAGTCTTGAAGAAATAGAGGAAATGCGCAAGGAAAAAGAAGCTAAGGCCAGAGCAACTATATTAGAAATTGTTGGAGATATTCCTGATGCTGATATAGCTCCTCCAGAAAATGTCCTTTTTGTATGCAAACTGAATCCAGTTACTAATGACGATGATCTTGAAATTATTTTTAGCAGATTTGGAAAAATTGTTGGGTAAGTGTTCTTAGTGTATCACAAAAGTTAATTTTGTTACAAAGATTTATTTAATTATTTAGTAATTAAAATTTATGTAACACATTTACATCTCTTATACACATAAAATTTTAACATTAAATTTTCATAAAGATTCTTGTGCTTCATATTATAGTTTCGAAAGAAACAGTATTTTTACCATAATAGGATTATAATTTTTATAAGAATACCATTTTCATAGTATAGCTTCTAGAAAAAATTATTAATATTCATAAAAGTAATACAAAATTTGTATTTTTCAGATGTGAAGTTATTAGAGACAGACAAACTGGAGATTCATTACAGTATGCTTTTATTGAGTTTGCTGACCGTAAAAGTTGTGAAGCTGCATATTTCAAAATGGACAATGTTTTAATAGATGATCGGCGTATTCATGTTGACTTTTCTCAATCTGTTTCTAAAATGCGTTGGCATGGAAAGGGAAAAGGAATAAGATATTTCAATGATAATGAACAAGAAAAAAATAAAGCTAACCGAAACCCTCAGCGTAGCAGTCATAAAAAAGATCATATACGTAATCGTTCAAGGAGTCCACGAAAAAATGAGACTTCTAAGGATCAGTACTATGCAAACAATTATCACAAAAAAAGTCGAAGAGATAGGAGTAGAAGTGGTGACAGAAGAAATAAAAGTTACTCAAGTAGGGATCGAATGGAAAGTAGATATCATACCACCCGAAATGATTATGATAAAAATGAAAAAAGATATACTGAAAAAAAAGAACGTAGTAGAAGTCCAGATCGTAAACGTTCTAGCAGAAAGATGAGAGAAGTTGATAATAAGCACAAATATAAGCATAGATAATATTTTTGAAATTTAATTAACATTGATTAATTTTAATTTTTTAATTGTTGTAAATATCAAGTTGAGAGCTTTTAGATGATGCTCCCATGTCAGTTTCTGTTTGTAACATAAGCATCATGTATGTGGTCGGTTTCAAACGGTTTTTTCTCAATTCTTTTAATCGATTTCTTAACTGTAATACTACAATAGAAAATTCATTCTTTAAAATTGAATACATTTTTTTAAGTAAGTTCACCATTTTAATAAATCAGGCCTCCTACCAAATAGTGCGGGATAATAAATTATGATCTTAAAATACTCCGAGTGACCCAAATTTGTGACCAATTTAAGCTTGAAATGCTCTTCATCAAATCACACATTGTACAATTGAAAAAATTATTCAAATTATGAGTTAGCAACTTTAAATTTAACGTACGTAACTTTAAATTTTACGTATGTATGTACAAATAAGTAAGAAAAAAGCTTCAGGATACATGATTAGCGCCAGAGTTGAACCCAAATCTGATGAATGGGTACACTGGTACTTGCTGATCTCGTTGTCTAGGTATACTACCTAAATACAATTGTACTGAAGTATTATGAAAAATTTTATGAATAATTTTTTGTACATATTCATTCAAATCAAACAGAAAAAAAATATTAAAATGAATCTATTACAAAAAACTGTCTTATGGAATAATTGAAAGAGTGAAAGTAACCGATGCCACAAAGATATTTACAGTTTTTATATGGTAATTAAATCATTTAATTCCATTGAATTGAAAGAGAAGAATTAAAAAAATAAAAGTACTGCTACAGTAAAAATTGTAATTCATTTATACTTCAAAATTTTCACAACTTCTTGATTTCCGATTAAATTAAATCAAATTAAATCAAATAACCGTTTCAAGTCTGTAAAATAGTTGATTCGTCGGAACTAAAATGATTTTTTATATTCAATAAACTTCTTTTAAAATAAAGATTATTATTTTTATTCTAGAGCGGAAAATTTAACACTCGAATATGATCTATTTTGGAGGTGTTTTGATGCGCTACACTTGAAAGAAAAGCCCGAATTTCAACTCATATTTCCTGAAAAAATTCAAAATTTTATCTAAACTACCTTGTGAACGATTTCAAAAGAACTTTTTAGAATTCAAAAATTAAATTTTTTTACCGAGATACAATAGATTTCATGAACCATTTTCCTACACTTGTGATTTTCTTCTTTTTATGCGTTTCAGGTTTTTTTTACTTACAACAAAAGCTAAACTAAAAGCCACCGTTTTTAACAGTTTCTTAGATTTTTTTATTCATGTGTTCAGAATTCATACGATCGCCAGTCCTTTTTTTAGCGTAAACCGTACAAGGACGTGGATGTATATAAGATTTCATTCCCTTTGGAGTTTTTTCACAGTGAATTCTTCTTGTCATGCATTTACAAAAAAGTTGTATTTAAGTCTGTAGTTACCAATTATTATTATATTATAAAATGATGTAACAGTTTTTTAAATCGTTTTTTAAAGTGGGGGGAAAACGCCAGCTCGGGGAAGACGCCACTTTGCTATATTATCGTTATTAGAAAGAAAATTTAGATTAGTGACCTATTGGGATTTTCGTTATGATAGTCCGATTACTTAATTCGACACGAAATAGTTGACTTTTTACTGCTATTATCAGTCGATTTTCAAGTGTCAGAATTTTCCGTAAAGTTCAATGTGCAAACATTTGTTTAATTTTCAATGAAATGTTTGAGTGGAAATTGTTAACGTCATCTAGATAATGACAATACATCATGCAAGCTTGACCGTGGTATTACGCTAGGAGATCGCAAAAATGAATTAGTATTTTATTTTTTTTCATTGTATTCAGATTAAGGGCATATTGTTCCAATCGGGGTGGCGTCTTCCCCGCATTCTTGGGGAAAACGCCACTTTTGAACCAAGTTTCTAAACCGTTATAACTACTACAATAACAATATGAAGTTATAATTTTGTTTTTCTTATAATTCATAATAGTTATTTATGTAACAAGTGCCCAAAAGGCGTTTTTGGGCACGAGTGTGCGGAAAAAGACACGAGTGCCGGCTATGCCGGCAAGAGTGGGTGTTTTTTCCGCACACTGTGCGCAAAAAGCTGGGCACGTGTTGCATACAAAATTTTATGCAATAGTAGGCGAAAAATACGTTCATTTAAATGCGGCGTTTTACCGCACACCCGTGCCCAAAATGGGGCATTTTACCGCACACAAGTGTCCAAAAACGCTTTTTGCGCACTAAAAAATGTGCGAAAAAAGACATTTTTCGTCATACTATTGCATAAACGTGTTTTTTACAGTCTTTAATGCTTAAGATTTGATTTCATACATTCATTACTTTTTTATTCCAATTTTTTCCTTAGCTATGGCGTATTCCCCCGCTTTACCTTAACTTTTATGAAATTAATACTTTAACCCATTAAGTCCCAAGAGGACGTTTTTTCAACACTTCATTCGGCCACTGTATTTTTGGTGTAAATGGGGTCAAAAAAATATGCGAGTAACTAATTCTAATGTAAAATTTAATGCCCTTTCAGAATCTGATCTCAGATTTTTGAAAAAGTGATCAGGTAAAAAGTTACACTTGATTTTACCCAAAAAAACATGATTTTAAAAAAAAAATTTTTTTTATTTTTCGAATTTCCAAATGAAAATCATTTGAAATCTAAAGAGTTTCGTGCAAATATCGCGTCCTCGATATCTAAACTGAAAGTTAGCGGAGTACCGATTGAAAAAATTAATGTTTAAACACAAAAAATGCCGGTCGAAACTAGCAAAATTAAATGAAAACTTATAGAATTTTTACTCAAAAACGAAGGACTTGAGAAACAAGTGTATTTTTTAACTTTATTTTCTTCAATATAAACCCCACTAACTTTTATTTTAGGTATCGAGGACGCAATATTTGCACGATACCCCTAAGATTTCTAATGGTTTTCATTTGGAAATTCGAAAAAGAAAAAAAATTTTTTTTAAAAATCATGTTTTTTTGGGTAAAATCAAGTTTAACTTTTTACCTGATCTTTTTTTCAAAAATCTGAGATCAGATTCTGAAAGGGCATTAAATTTTACATTAGAATTAGTTACTCGCATATTTTTTTGGCCCCATTTACACCAAAAATACAGTGGCCGAATGAAGTGTTGAAAAAACGTCCTCTTGGGACTTAATGGGTTAAGTAACCCTACAAAAATAATCTAAGAGCACTAACAAGGAGAGCTTTTCAGGTGCGGGTCATGGATTTGCTCCAAAATTTTTTTGCAGTCTCCTGGTACCCAAAACTGAAGCTCTCTATGCTTAGTTTGATCCAATGGGCCTTAAGGCCCATTTTGTAGAGGATTTTCCACATTATAAAAAAATCTTTGTTATTTTCTATATCAAAATAGAAGTACTTAAACGAAAAAATGGGACGATCAAAAGTCTTAAAATTTTTCAAAGAATATGCTTGAATTTTTTCAGGATTTTTGGGGCCATCTATCACTTAATTCAAGAGGCCCAAATTTGACGCTTTTTTTAGTAGATTTTAGGACTTCGTAAAGAGAGTGGTAGATGGTCCCAAAAATTCTGAAAAAATTCAAGCAGATTCTTTGAAAAATTTTAAGACTTATGATCGTCCCATTTTTTCGTTTAAGTACTTCTATTTCGATATAGAAAATAACAAAGATTTTTTTATAATGTGGAAAATCCTCTACAAAATGGTCCCTAAGGCCCATTGGATTAAAGTAAGCGCAGGGAGCTTCAGTATTGGGTACCAGGAGCCCGCAAAAAAATTTTGGAGCAAATCCATGACCCGCACCTGAAAAGCTCTCCTTGTAAGTCTGGAGATCTTGAGGGCCATTCTATCACACCTCTTTTAGTATCTATTTTTTTTAAATACCCCATCAAGAAAGTTGCTAACGGTGCATATAATTTAAAAATGCAGTATATTATCGGGTCTCCAAAAATCTGTTTGACTCTTCTATTATAACTTTAATTCAAAACGAAAAATTTATTTTAAATGTCAATGGTCATCTCGAGGACCCGTTCAATCGTATAAAGATGTTACACAAAGCTGCGACTCGAGTCCCATCCTCTACATATATTGGTATTCGATACCTCAATATCTCCTTAGATAACGACTGTCAAATCCTTAATTTAGCCGATGATATTGCTCTTTATACCAAGTCATTCGACATCAACTCTGCTCATTAGAACTTAATTATTGCTAAAATCAGTAATCATATTCCCGAATGTGGATTCTCCGTCTCCCCAACTAAAACAAAACTAGTAATAAAATTGCGTACGATGCCATGGAGGACACTTTTCAAGGCAGCTATAAGGACTCTCGATGCGCTCGGGTTTTAAACTACGCCGAGTCAAGTAGCATATTTCACAACGCATGCAGCCAAGGTTTTTCTTATCAAAACGAGGGGTTACTATTTTTATAATAAGTAAAGTAGTTACCTTGATTGACTCAGTATTTTTCCATATAATTGGCAAAATATAACATTTATGCATTTTGAATAATAAGCTTGAATGAAAATAAGGTTCATGAATAAACATATCAATTGTTATGATTAAAATTAGCATATTATTCGTACAATAAATTGTTTGGTAAATTGGAAGTGAAAAAATCGGAAGAATATTTAGTGTCGAGTATGCATGATAAAGAATATTATTTCTATAATACATTTTAAATACGTTTATTATAATAGTATACCATCAATTTTGAATAACGCATATTAGAACAACGGATCAATTTTACAGAATTGAAAATAATAACGGTTTATTTTTCATAGAAAAAGTTGAATCTCTAAACCGACTACAGCATAAGAAATGATGCGATTATAATTTCAGATTGTGCATAGAGAAAATAAATTAAATCAATAGTTCTCAAGAAATTCTAAAAAAAATGCACACATTTTTTTTATTAATTTTAAGCGTTTTCGTTCTTTTCTTTTTTTTTTGCTAATTTCATTCCTTTTTTTTAATTAAAAACTCAAAGATAAAAAATGCGGTTCTTTTAGATTCGAATTTTTCCATTCAATTTTTAATGGGCTATGACAGACCTAAGTCTTTAGTCATCAGTCAATAAATATACATAAAAATACCTAATACGTGGGGTAAATTCCCTGAAGTGTCCTAACGCTCTGCCACGCGGCATTATTTGGCTGAATTACTCAATTTCTAACTCGCTTTAAAAATATTGAAAAGAAGAAAGAAAAATTGACGGTTTTGATAGGAAATTTCTTCAGTTTTCCGATAGTGACGTTAGATTTCCTGAATTTTCTTATTGTTACCCGGAAAATTGATGCCAAACATTCAGAGCTTGATATTTCGAAAAATGTTTTATTTTCATCGTTCCAATCAAAATATGAGAATATTTTTACATCAAGTTTGATAGTTTTCAAGGTATATTTCTGATAAAAACTGAGGATATTACTGAGGCTAATGCTAGCGTCGGGTTGCACAGAAATAGAGTGATTCGGTCAAATAATATGTTACGCGACAATTACGCACATTTCAAGAAATTTTCTCCGGGTATATATTGTATAATAATGGATCTATCAACATGTAAGTCCGTTTTTCTTCTTTATTCTGAAAATACTTTTTTTTATTTGAGATATATTAATTCGCTTTAATAAAATATACCTCTCTCTAACTTACTCTATTGAAGTTTTGAAGTGAATAAAGCTTGTCAATTTAATTTTCTTTATACTTCTTTGAAAATTCATTAGTTTGAAATTATCACGATTATTATTCTAGTAAAAAAAATATATCTAGTTCATAATATTTATTGTTCAACGGATCAGTATTATATTTTTTATAGTTCAAACTATTTTAATTACTATTATTATTTTATTTTCAAAAATAATTTTTTTTAAATTCTTGTTATACTTTGCCGACTTGGTACTATTACACCTCTGAGCCAAAATATCATAAAGGTTGATAATATTCTATCACAATTATTATACTATGGGTGAAAGACTTGAACCAATTTAATACATTTTTATTCTTAATGGCCAATTTCATTCTTAAAAATGCATTAATAAGAATTCGAGCGTATACCTTATGTCACATGAAAATGCATTGTATTTTAAAAACTTTCATTTGTCAATGCTCTGGTACTGACAACATATAAAATAAATTATTACATCGAAAATCCTTTCAAAACTTTTAAGTATTAATTTTAAATATTAAAAATGAAAATGTTGCCTCTACATATATCCTAGTTTTTTCATTGAAGAAAAGTTTAAGATATTTAAAATTATCAATATGAAACAATTGATTTGAACCCTTTGATTTAAATTATTTGGAACTGTTTTCTACTTTATGAGTGAATAAAAAAATATGATTGGACATTTAGAAAATTGTTCGTAATCGAACTTAGAGTCTTTGCGTTCTCATATATTTATATATCATATACTTGTATATAAATATACATTTACATATTTGTATAATTTTTATACTTAAAGACAAATGCGTTAATTTAATAAATGGCTTACGTTATCCAGCACGTAAATAGTTATTCAAATCGCGATGAAACGAACTCTATTTTTTCATTAATGAAAATCTATAATATTGAATTTCAAGCAGTACATGCATCATTTACATTTAAAGAGCAGGAATCTGAATTTTTTAAAATTAAAATTTGATATTTCATTCATCTACGCAACGTTATGTAAAATATTGAAACATGAATTATTATTTTACGTATTCTTGTAAAACATATTCTGTCAGATTGAAAAATATTTATTTACTTTACGTAATGATCTATCGCGACGATTGTGCTTACACTCGACTCGTACAGTTCAGCTGTTATATTTATCACATTTCGAATGCCTACGGTATGCAATAAAAGAAAGGAAAATTTTATTTCGAAATTCAAAGATACTTTCGTGATCCAAAAAAATCGCATAATACAGCTGATAGAGCTCTTGGACCAGTAGCGCGTGCAGGAGAAAAACAATTGGCAATGAGCTTTTTACAATAGCAGATTGTCGGGTGCAAGCTCAGATCGAAGATATGTCACCTATATAGTATGCGTTTATTTGTTATTATGTGTACACATAGTTTTATGATAAAGTTTGTTTAAACGCAATATATTATGGATTCGATTAAGTTAAGTAATTACGAATACATTGGTATTAGTCATGATTTTAACAGTCTCATTTTCCTCCTATTTAAAATTGTTTCGTCGCTACCTTCTTAGAGATTTTACAGTAATCATCGCCTCGGAACTTTATGTACTAAGTGATAATGTATCTGTATAAGTGTAATATGCGAGATAAAAATGATTACCCAGCGTTTTTCAAAATTTCATCAGGTCAGTTTGTATACAATTCGACCATGGTAATTTTGCACTTGGCTATTTAATAGAAAAGACGATGTTGGTAGCCCGGATAATTGTGACTGTTGTACATTAATCCATTGTGTGCGTTGCCGTAGCCATCGTAATTCTAAAAGAGATAAGAACGTTTTCGTGAGTACGTCAATCAACGAATCAGAATAAAAATTCTCTTAACTAAGCCATACGATTCTTACTTGAGATCGTTTTCTCGCGACCATGAATCTTTTTTCTGGCTGGTAATAGGCGTTTCGATGAGGCGACACGGAACCGTAAGCGACTCCATATTGGGGGGTACCGTATTCAGGGAGGGCAGCAGCGTCGTTATTGTAAGGCTGCTGCTGTTGCTGCTGAGCGTCCAAACCGCTTGGCATATACTTGTCGGTGTAGTAGCGGCTTCGCGCCAATTCTGACGCGCTCAAAGGCTCGTAACGATTGCGAATCACTTGTTGCAGGGGATAACCAAGTTCAGCATCTGGCCAATTGTTTCCTGCGAATAGCAGCAGCTATGAGTAAATTCATTTTGGGTGTTTTTTGTTTTATGACTTTATTACCTCTCGGATCGTCACCGCTCATTCCCATTAAAGCGGAATCATCATCGACATCGTATTCCTCGTTGCTGTATCTCCAGTTTCTATAATTATTTTTTTATATTTAAAATAAAATGGCATTCGTTCGAATAATATAGATATGAATATCAAAGCTTTTTCAATGTGTACAAGAAGATCTTACCCTCGATTGCGTGGATCGTTATCGTAGAGTGAGAGAAAAGCGATAAGCTCCTCCGGATCAATATCGAGTTCTCGCTTGTAGCGTGGGTCTTGATAATATGACAGTTGGCTGAAAATAAACCAAAAAATTGGAATAAATCGTAAATTCATGAAACGTATGGGCTATATAAAGTTTATCATCAAGCAATAAAAAGCTTAAGCTGAGAGTTTTTTATTCTTTGAATTTTTCCCCTAAAATCTTATTGAAAATAAAAAAATAATTTTAAATGGGCTTCAAGACCAATAAAATATTCTAAACTTCAACAAACTTTACGAGTTCACTACTTCAATGAAAAGAGATTCGCATTTGATTCATATCAATCAATAAATAAAATATAAATTTGAGAGGCTCTCATGAGACTCGATCAAAAAATCGATTTTTTTGTTGTTGCTTACTTAGTTAGCAAATTTCCCGTAGAATACACCCCCGAAACCCTTTTTACCAAAATCAATTTAGTTAAGAAGCTATAGGCAAAAAACCGAAGCTGTCTTATTACGAGGGAACGATGTATGCATGTACGTACATTCACTTTCTAAAACTTTAAACGCGTTTTTCTCGAAACCATGTTTTCTGAATCGGGCGGCAAGATATCTCGAAAAGTACTGCACTTAAAGATACACTTTTTTTTTATTTTAAAGCTAATTAAATTATCTGGAGTTTGAACCTATAAAATTTTTAATTTTTTCATTATTATTACTTTTTACAGCCCTTAAAAGAGCCAAAAAAGAGCAAAAAAGAAAAATTTTTTTTCTGAAGTCCGCCATTTTATCAATTTTTTTGCAATTATTTAGGTTCAACCTCCAGCAAATGTCATCTAGTTTAAAAGGAACTTCGCATTTTTAGTTTCGGGCAAAAACTGAAGGCGCTAGCTTGCTGCCCGTTGAGGTAACTTTTTTTAACACGACCTCCATCAAACGCTGCTAGGCGATAAATAATTCGATATTTTGGTCTGAAAAAATGTGTAAATATAGTTAAATACATACTTTATAAGTACCAAAAAACTTGATTGCATTATTTACTTCCTTCCACGAAAAAAAAATCACTAAAAACACTTCATTTTTGAGGCGCTAGATGAAAGCCTTCCCTTAAAGCTAAAAAGTTTTTATTTCTTTTGTAATTCACTTCCCATTGTAAAAATACACTGCTTGGAATGCTGATGGTCGCACTCGAAATAAAAAATAACACAGCAAAGCAAGAAAAGTGTATAAAAGCTTGAAATAAAATTAATAAGCCTCACTTTGAAAATATAAAAATATCGAGCGAAAGGGCAGTACCACGCTTATCTAATTTCTTTTAAAAAATACTCATTTAAGTACATACAGTACTGCACTCGACACTTCTCTTCAAATGCTTCTCGAACATAATTTAATTGTGACTCAAAATAATGAAATTAAACTTTTTTTTAGCTTGTTATTAATGTATAAGTCTCCATAATTATAGCGAATAAACTTAGCTGAGGAATAAATCTTAGGCTGTACACTCAACTCATAAGGTTTGAATAAGAACTAGTCAGTATTGTTCCCCTACATCAGATTCATATTACTTTAGTAAAAAGATACCGTTAAATTAACATTAAACTTTATGATTATTGGTAAAGATATTTTATATCTTAAAATGAGTACGCTGTAAGGTCGAGTGCACGCGAGCACAAAAATTATTCAAGAAAAATAATAACGATAACATCGACTTTTTCTTGCTTTCAATCTTTATGTTCATCTACAATTTATGTTATTTCAAAGAAGTCGCGACTTTTAATTCATTACCAAGGACTCTAAAGTGATTTTTAAAATCTTTGCATTTCTAATATAAATCAAATGAGATAAAAAAATAGTTATCTGTCGGCCTCGAAAATTCATTCCAAGTTATGTAAGGAAGAAAAAACTCAGTATTCGCGCTGCGACTATATACTTGCAAGACGGCGCACGAAAGGCGCTCCTCGATACCAAAGATCGACGCCTACGCGCTCAAAAGAGAACAACGCAGTGGTAACGTACAAGATAGGTTGATGGAGGAATAAAAATTAATACTAGCGCTTGAAAGCTTTGGTTATAGCGCTTTAATTTCTCAGTTAGTTTTTATTGCGCCGTTCTGGATTTTGTGTTCCTCGAAAGTCGATTGGCTAATGAAAAGCTGAATTTGCGTTTGTATTGTTTTTTACATTTCGAAAATTTATTGTCATTGAAATATATCAAATGCTAAAGATGTTTATTTTTGGCGCTAAATATCCATGAAAGATTTACTCCCGCCGTTATGACTCATTGAATGCTTTTACATTATCATCACAAATGGATTTTTAATCACCAATGGAAATTTATAACTACTAACTACGAAGCAGCCACTGTTCAAAATACATAAGAGATTGTTTCAGGTAAAGTAAACGGAAATAATCAGCCAGTAAATTTTTTTAATTAAACTTTATATGAAGCAAAAAAGCGGTGGTTTGCGGCGTAAATAAAATTCTTATGAAAAAAAAAGTTCGTCATCGCTCCCTATAGAAATATATTTAGATACGTGCACGCAAAGTACACTTAAAAAAGAAAGAAAATATCCGAAAAATAACACATAAAGTGAGGCACGTGCCCTGTAGGTCATAAAATATAAAACATAAATCCACGCTGAAAAAGATATGCAGAACGCGATAGTGGAGATTGGCGTAGGCGTTCTCCAGCCAGACCGATATACACATTTTCTGAGAACAAATTCCTTCCTTGCGCTTGATTGCGCGCGCGTGTTTGTATTTATACATATAAGATAAGATATATGTATGTAAGTGCGTGTGTGTGTGTGTGTGTGTGTGCGCGCGCGAGTTCGCGGGGGTGGGACACTCGCAGCAGAGTCGCACACTGGCAAAGCTCGGGATCGATACGGCCGTGTTGCTGGATATAAGCTAGCCGCAGGAAATCTATGCTGAGCTAAGCGCGCGGGCGGACGGCAGGACTGTATTATATACGTATATACAGATACGTACAAAATACGAGAATGAGGTATCTATATATGTGCGTAGAGATATCAGCTGGTCTTATGCGGCCCGGTCGCCGTCGCAGCTTCACTACACACGCTCTCCTTCGTTGACCTACTTTCACGCTGATCTTTCGCTTCGCCCGCGTGAGCGTATCCGCGATTCCATTCAGCTTTTCGCCCCACTCGTAACTTCGCTTCTCTCTCAGCGATCGTAAATACACTTGCTCGCAACCTATATGTATATTCGACAAAAGGATTACCTACATTTTTTGTGTTCGTCTTAGTTTACCTTTTATTTTCTTTCCATTCATTAATTTGTGACAATTGTCCATGTAAAGTGGGTTCAGGGGAGTAGATTGTTTTTAACACATTTCTACAGATAACAAATATTTTTAGATGCTACAACAAACTGTCCCGAACACATGTCATCAGAATGGAATACGTACAAAATTCAATAGCACTTCTATTTATATTGACGTATTTGCTCGTATCAAACAAAGTTTCGGCGACTTTTATACTTATTCATTACATTTATTCATAAATCCATAATGCTGAGCCCCAAATACGGGATAATTTTCTGTGCCTGCTTTTGATCATACATATGGCCGACCATCTGTGTGCGTGTGTGTGTACCGACGTCATACCTGCGTTGATAGTTGAAACAGTATCGGATGACTAAGCCCTTTCCTCGTGCTTACACGGAATCAGTAATGAATGTGCCGTGCAATTAATGATTCGTGTAATTTTCTACGAATCATTTGTATTGCAACTAGTATTGATAAATTAATCGTCAATGGCGACCACTTCGATAGTGAAGCTGATTTTTTCTAACTTTTTTCCAGCAAAATCAATGGAAACTGATTTCCATAATTTAATTCTACGATCCCTTTGATGATAAACGAGATTGGTAGGCTTGATTTATTGACTGGTGCTCGTGTTATACTAATTTGATACATTTAATTTTACATTCAATCATGCACTAACACTAATTATTTGTGTAAAGCATATTTCTTCAATTTTACAAAGAGTTCATTTTACAAAAATATGATTGACGTTCGGTTGTTTAGCCTACCATATAAGTATTTATTGCTTCATTAAAAGGCACTCAGACTTTTGTAAAAGGGCAACCGTACTCGGTTAAATTACAATGGAGATTTCCTTCGGGCGATGCAATAGGGATAAAGGATAATCCCGGTGGATGCAGCTGACGATGCTTTCATGCGCGTATGAGTATATTTTGCTGTAGTGACGCAATCAGCTTGGAGTTGTAAATTTTAAAAAAAACATCGTAAAATATAGGTGCAGTATATTTCATCTTTGAAAATATAAGATGAGGAAAAACTGATAAAAGATTAAGTCGATAAAATCAAATTTATCAACTATTTAAGATCAAATTTGATTATAATTTAAAATGTATAATAAATTCAATTTGTTAATATTTTTTTTTTAATTTCAAAGAATCTTAAAAAATGAAACTAAAAATGAATGAGCACTTTGGTTAAATTTCGTGTGAAGCTACAGGTGAGCAATCAAGATGGACGAGCCTAACTCGCTACTCCGTTGGAATGTTATTTTACCGACGATTGCAGCGTTTTTTAGGTATACTTGCAATTTACACAATCTCAGCTTTAATCCTTGATTTTTATAGTATTTGGAATTTATATAAATCACTACACTTTGTAATCATTTTCACTGAATTTTTGAGTACGTCGCTTTTACTCAACCAAGTATATAATGAAAAATAAAATAAAATTGATGCTCCGAAAATTCCGATTTTTTGCTACTAGCTTCTTTCATTCGGTGAAAATTATCAAAATTAAAATGAAATATTTTTATGAATTAAATTAACACAAAGAGATCACATTTCAACACTATTAAACTATTCATACGAAAATATAAAAATATAAAATTTTCCATGTACGCCTGATCGCATTTTGATATGTACTACTTAAATGTACATTTTACGTCGATGCAACAAAGCCACTTTTCAAAACGCAAATAATTGTTCTTAATACGTTTTTTCGTTTTTTTATACAATAAATAAATTTGTAAAGTTAAAAAAAAACTATTGAAAAAGGTCCCAAGACCTACTGACCAAGCAAAATAATACTGTCATTGATGAAAAATAGTCAAATAGTAATGATGCATTGTTTGGTACATTCATTTTATATACGTTTTAGGGTAATTTTAAGTGAACTTCGATTCGATTTTAAATGAATTTCATTCATTTGTTGGTGAGTAAGATAAAATAATCAAAAAGCATAATCTGTAGTAACTAGCTGTTATGTATCGTTGTAATGAACCAAACCGGAAAAATAAAGCACCAAAAATGCATGGAAGTAAAAAATTACGAATATTTTTAAAAATGTATAATTTTGAACTGAAAGTCAATTAAATTGCTTGACGATTTACGTCCGGTATTTTTTTTCTCTTCGAAGAATTATCAAGTAGTGTGTTGATTTATGTATTGAAGATAGCGTGTCCTCAAGATGGTGTATTTCTTTTATTATATGGCAGTATGATTATTATCCAATAAATTGAACGTAATTAAAACTCACTCGTAATTTTTCCCATGTTGCGGTGCGTTGCTTCTAACCAGCTGATCGAGCAACAACGAGCTTGGCAAAGCTTTCGGCTGCGCAGCTTCTAATTGCTCTTGCTGCTGCAGTTGCTGTTGCAGCATCTGCTGCTGCTGTTGCTCTTGCTGTTGATTTTCTTTCTTTTGTTGCGTGTCATGCTCATTCTCAACTCTCGTCGACGCGACATCATCGAGTCCAGAATTACTGAGTGTTCCTGCATCAAGTTATAAGAATCTGTCAGTCTTCATAATACGCAAAAAATGTTGCTCGAACGTTCAAACGCACAATGAAACTATTGAATCAGTGTACAATTTTCAGCCTAATGATTTCGTAAAAAAACGAATTTTTCATTGAAAAATCAACATAACTGATAATGTATCGTGCTGTTATCAAACGCAATGAAATGCTGTTTAGTAGTTTTGGTTGATAAATGAATAAAAAAAATTATTTAATCACTCCATCCTAACAATTTTACAACTGCATATTCTATGTGCAATACATAATAAAAATAATAATATTAAAAAAAATAATGATCAATTTTGATCTGTGCTCTTACTTTTATCCGCCGACATTATTTTATCGTCAATGGCAACATTGTTGTGTTCCGTGTTATGTCGAGTTTGCTGATTGCCGAACATGAGAATTTCTTGCGATCGCTTGACAACTAAAGACAATATGGCGACCAAAAGAGAGAGAGAGAGAGAGAGAATGAGAAAGACTGAAGGAGTGATATTTTGTGTTTATTTAATGTTATCGTCGAGAAGAAGACTTTTTAAATGACTTGGGCTCATTTGCGTGGGTAATGAAAAATCATAATTGAGAAAATAAAGGCGTTTTCTTGAACGGAACTGCCAATAATTACCTGCAGGTTTGGTTGTTTCTTCATCTTTTTTTGATGGGTCGTTCAATCCCGTCGGCTGAGCTTGGACTGCGAAAACAAAAACTGCGCAAATGGCCAAGAGACGTATCCAATCGGTCATCATCTCTACACACAAACGAACAATATATATATAAAACATTAAAAGATATATTAATAAAATATCAGATGATATACGTAAGCTTTAACAATACCCAAGGTTAGGTAATGTTCGGATACCCGTAAAATATTTGAGAAGTGTTTCCTGTTTACGTAACTCGGCCGCGAAATAAAAGGAAGCGAAGAAAATGGATGGAAAAAAAGAGTGAAAAGGATGAGCGATGGAGTCTTATGCACAAGAATATCTCTCAAACCAACAATTGTATTATTATTTATTTACCTGCAGCACGGAAAAGCACTAAAAGTGTTGGAAACTTAAATAACCTACATAGAACGATCTCGTCTGTACATATAGAAATTCAATCCTCGCAACGAAGCAAACGCGTCTTGAAATATTAATTTATTTTTTAAATTTCAACGGATAAAATATCTTCTCGCACAAGCGTGTGTTTAAATTCGATGTTTTTTTTTGAATAAACGTACTATAGGTTTGAGATGAAAATCTTGAGTTTTCAAATTATAAAACGGACATTAGAAAGTTTTCAAATGAATTAGAAATTGTTAAAAGTGTTTTCATGTTTTGAAGGTTACATTAAGGAGCAAAGTAAGTTTCTGTTGCGCTTGTGTTTTTTTGCGCGACGCACAAACTAGTCGAGATTGATCAATTACCTAAATAGGATTTCACGAGTGAAAAGAACTATGTACCCGTCGGTCGACTTTGTCGGGGTGTCCGCGTCAAAAGTCTAATCGCGCAAAATTGGCCGCCCTTTAATAATTTCCTTTGGTAAATAATTTTTCACTCCGCTAAAAGGGAGTAAAGGTCGTATTATGCTTGTCGAGTGTAGCGGTGAAATTCATCAAAGCGTAAAGGCGAACAAGCGTAGAGGCATGACCGCGCGTTATGCAGTGAAAGGCAGCAGCGTCGGGAAAACCTAATTAAAAAGAGAATATTGCACGCGCCGCAGCCTGCACTACGTGGAACATATAGATATTTCATTATGGCAAGCTTTCTCTCTCTCTCTCTCAGTCGGGCACCCCTGGACAGCTTCACGTGCACACGTGTCGAGAAGCTGCGCGTAACACGCAATCGACTATTCTGAGGTCTCTAGTGGCTCTCTGCTTGCTAGACGCGTATTTCAATGATAAGCGAGTCTCGTGCGTGAAGCATAAAGTTTAATTTGCTGGTCAATCATAGCAACTCCATGAGTATAGTTTCAAGATGCTCCAGGTCCGAGACACGCGTTCTAGATACGCAGCTCATCACGTATTTACGATAGCGTTAGCTGCTTTACTCGCTGTTTGATCTCACCACGTCAACAAAAATGATAAATGCTTCGAAAGGGTAAGTTGATGGCGCAGTCGAGCGATCCCGACGGCGCCCGTTACGCGCGAGAAAGGGAAAAATAAAGGCTGTGCTGGGTATGCTAGTTATCATGTACTAAGTGAACTCGGACTCGATCGCGGCTACGAGATTCAAGGCAAGGTCGAGCAATGCACGAACGGCAGCCGCGACGAGTCCGAGTATATCCAGCTGGCTTCGTGCATATTAAATGTACAAACTTTGCACGCACACGTAGGGCATCCTCGAGGTCATGGATCTCGCTAGCTACAGCAGCTCTATGCTGAATGCGTATGCATTTATACCCGCTGCTCTTGGTTTTGAACCCTCTAGTTCAAGGGACAGGCAATGAAATCGTGGTGGCATTCGCTTTCTCCGGCGATTGCTCGTGCAGCTATTGCAGGTATGCGCGCTCGACTCGATCTCGATCGGCGCTCGTCGAATAAAAATCGAATCTATGGCGGAGCTTATTTTTACCGAGCTTTCCGAGCACGCATCGATGAAGCGCCGAGTGGCGTTTAATCGACCGACTGCTAATACCGTTAAGGCATGTATAAAAGCATAAGTATTACAGGTACGGGGCAGGCACGACATTGACACGGATCGTCGTCGTCGAGGGGGGGAGTACGCGTTATAACAACCGTACCAGCTCGAGCCATATGGACTCGATCATCAGCCAGAACGCGTACTGATAAATCCAAGGGATTTGTACAGTAATTATCTGTACGTATAATAGGAGAAAAATGATCGCACTTTTCTTTCTTTCTTTCTTTCTTTTTTTGTACAATAATATAAATCAACGAATTTCAGTGCGCCAAGAGTGACGACTATTTTTAGGAAAAGTACAGCCCCACTCGATGAATTTCAGAAAACATTGTCATATTGTTGGGAAAAATCCAAATATCCTTTCAACTTTTATGTGATGCAGAGTCGAATAAATATTCATAAAGCTCGAAACAAGTTACAGCTGCAATAAACATTGCAAAGTTTCGTGTGCAATGTGTACATGAAAAAAAAGCTCGTTGTTCAAGGTACTTTTTACATTGTGCATCGCTATGATCGATCCAATGGGATAACTCGTATTCGTGTTCAATCAATAGAGTTTTGCCGCGAGAGCTCGAAGCTGCAGGACTGGAAATTTGCTATTCATCGCAGAGGCCAATGCTACATTGAATAAAAAATCGCAAAGTAAACAAATGTACGCGGAGAATCAATAAAAGACGAGACGCTGACGAACCCCGACAAATAATAATACACGGCTGATTGCCTACATGTATACTGTCGCGTGTATAGGGCGCAGTGATCACCGAGACACGTACGCAGAGACGAACGAAAGGAAAAGAAAACGACGACGACGACGACGACGACAACAACAACAAAAAAGAAAGAGAAGAAGAAGCGGGTGTCGGTCGAAAGTCAATCGAGCGGCGGCACCAGCAGTCCGGACTGGTCTGACGTCAAGGTCTGACGTCAATAATGAATACCGCGAGAGGCGAGAGAATAACGGCGGGACGCGGTACGCATTAGTAGTAGGGTAGGCGAAAGCTCGCCGCGGGTATCGTCGTCGCAAGCTCCGAGTATCGTACGGCTCGGGGCTACATATAGCTACATAGAGTGCGCGTCCGGCTCTAAATGCTGCAGCTGCATGTATGATATGAGTGACGCTGCCAAAGTGTATATCGAAGCGTCGGCCGCTGCTACTTGTTGCATATGGATTTTCCGTCTGCGGTATGCACAGCATACGTTTAATTGCGTCTAGTTTTACCGACCAATGCAGAAAGATTGAATATACTCGACGCTGCTGCGGTGTTACTTATTCTGCACCATAAGCCGCGAATAATGATGTACGGCGACTCCGCGATCTCACGCCTCTGTGTATGGCTTCGGCGTGCGTATGAATTCGAGTGAAGAAATAATTGGCACTAGGTATAAAAATAAACTTTACCGCTTTGTGGGTAGTGAAGCAAATTTTTCAAAGAGAAAAATTTGAAAATTGAAAGTTTAATGAAATTAAACATAATAAAACATTAGTTGAACGCCAATCAATGAAATTTATTCCTCGGCTATTGATTATTCGATACGAGTTAAAATTTGAAAATTTATATATTATATCTTTATAGAAAAATATAAAAAAGCTTACCTTTCTGTATTTATCGACGACTGTATAATAATCGTGCTTCTTTATCTCCTATAACTGCAATATAGCGACGGCGTATTCAAATAAAGTCTAATCGAGGTATTTTCGCGACTTGGACGATAAAGGTAAGTAAGTAAGTAAGTAGTTTATTAGTGCGCGCTCGTGCGGAAGAGAAAGAGGAGACTCTGCGTCCTTAGCAGCGAACGTTCCGGTCGTCAATGGCTCGGAGCCGCTATTATAGTAGCACACGTCGGACAGGCGCGCAGGATCGAGATCTCGCTGCGGCTCGAGTTCGCCGCTGCCGCCCACGCAAGTCTGACGCTGCCACCCGCCCCCCTCCCACTGATCCTGCCTGCGTACTGTATAAAAAATGTGTATACCCTCTCACACATAGGCAGCTGTGCTGTACATGATATGCTCCGATTAGAAGACACACGCGCGCGCGCATACACATATTCATAGACTTTCGCACACACGCACAGGGAAAATACTTCATTTCGACTCGAGCTGATTTTTTATTAGCGATGTGTTTTCTTGTCTCGGCAATTTTTTTCCATGTTTCTCGTATTTCGTACGAAGAAAAATGGAGTCATTTTTCTGACTTAATTAGGGTATGGGTATTATATTTTTTGAACTTCGACAATTTCTTCGAGTTCAAAATTTAAACGAAAGTAGAAATTTGATGCTCTTAAATGATATTCTATATACTCGGTTTTGAAAACAAATGAAACAATTTTTTATCTAATAAGGGTGAAAACACGTTCTTTTTTTATAAATACTAAAAAATTGACAGAGAGCAAGCATTTTTTTCAAGCAATGTATACTAACGTAAGGTTATATTTTCGCCCCTATTTTCGATCATGTCCCTATATTTGATCAATAATTAATATTAACAACTTAATTGCACGTAAGAAATTTTTTTTAATAATTGGCTGAATGAATCGAACATTTTCGACAGAAATACATTATTCAAAATCAGATATCAAGTTTCCATCCTATATAAAAAATTGATTTAAATTTGATCGAAAATAGGGGCGTAAGTAAATAATCATCGAAACTATTGTGGGCATCGAAAATAAAATCCACAACAATAAAATCAAACACACAGCCGTAGAACGTTTTATCAAAAATATTTTCATGATATAATCAAATGATAACTTTTATATTAATTGTTTTCGAAATTGTATTTTGTCCTCGAATTAATAATAAAACGATTTTAATGGTGAATATTTTGTACGACTTGGGCGTTTTGTTTCGCAATAAGGTATTTTCAGAATTCATTTTGCATAAAACAACAGTGATATTTCATTTCACATAAATTCCGACATTACTGCATATTTACCAAATTGCAGAGAAAATTCTTTATTTATGGAACAAAAGTACAGAGAAACATCAGTGAGAATATTGAAATATTCATGCATTTACTCGTCTGACGCGAGCTTGAATCGAACTACTTGTTCCTTTTGAAAACGTTTACTTTTACGCAATACGTTTTTATTGAATTAGTTATGACTTAGTGACCTTGAAAATGTGCTATTTTTATTCCATTCAAACTTGAGATTCTTCTTTGTTTAATCAATTTTATGTGTGGAATATCTTTACATTTTAGAAAAATACAGTTCAAATTGCGATTTCATGTAAATTAATTTTTTTGGTGTCATGTACCACCTGTTTTTAAATTAGCTTACGTATTTTTGATTCGATATAAATTGTTTTCTATTACTTTCAACTTAGATTATTTTTACTAAGTACACCTTAAGAATATTCATAATGAAAGGGTCCTAATATTTAATAAATATACTTTAGTTAAGTTAAGCCATTCCCTCGGCCACGTTAACCAACTGTGCCCCACACTACTTCAAATTAGTATCATGTCAAATAATGTAGATGATGCAAGAGGGTAAACGTTGATAGGTAATTTTAAATTTAAAAAAATCATCTATTTACTAGAATTTATGATTTAATTATTTGTCTAATTTTATTCCGGTAAAAGGGTCATATAATATAAACTAGATTAATTTACTTTCAAAACAAAGGTTTACGTTTACGTAGGCGACATGCGTGAGAAAGACTTAAGAGCCAAACACTTTCCTTTATTAATATCAGATAAAGAACAAAACAAATTTCGAATTAATGCGACTAAAAAAAAATTTAATTAATATTTAATCAGTATATTTGATTAAAATTTTGTACGATAAGATTTTCCTGCATTACTCCGTTTAATATGTGAATTTATAAATAACAAAATTAATCATTTAATCATATTAAATTTTATGAAGTAAATATTAAAAACAATAAAAAGATTGTTAAGTTATTAATATGCAAAGCATACATTTAATTATCATAAGTTAATATTATTAATTATCTAAATTTTAAATGTAATATTGCTGCATGAATTAATATCTAATTATACGTATTATATGAATTTAATTATATTATTCAAATGTGTTTTAGAAACAATACATTATGTGCATAAAGTGTCTAAGAAATGAATAAGTAATATAACAATAAACAAAAAAAAAAGATTTTTATCAAGGAATCTTAAGTCTCTATATAAATATGAGCGTATTATAAGTTTAATTTAAATCAATTCGTCATGAAACCTTTACATAGCAGTTACTCCAGCGTGATTGATTGAACTGATGTAAATATGCTATCAGTCATTTAATTGAATTTAATTGATATAATCAAAAGATGTGTGCAAAATTAAAACTAATACGTATTCTTAAAAAATTGATAGTTTTCTTCTCAACATATAGTGAATTATTTTGGCTACTTATTGTGTAATCATGCGAAGCAAAAAAACTACTTTATCCTGATAGCCAAAAAAATAATCAAAATTTTTGTGAAAAGATTATTTAAAAATTGTATCGTACAAAACGTTATTTGTAAAATTTCAAATTTATTGACTTACTTACGCATTAGACTCATCGCCAAAGCAATGCAGAGAAGTCGTGCTACAAATGAAACTTTTCAATCTAAGTAATCTGAATGAACTAACATGAACTGGCAGTGAAATCGTGTAGCATTTTGCTGAATAAATAACTATTTCGTGAATCACCGTAATCAAAACCTTTTGTCAAGCGAAAAGTCAAAAATTCAATTTTTAATTACATTTCTTCTTATGCAAAAATGAAATTACACTATAAAATTGATATTATATGCAGTCATATATTACGCAAAAATTTTGAACATTAAATAAATAAATGCATAAAATTTGATTAATAATGATAAGCAAATAATATTAATCTAAAATACCAAATTTTACGAAACGAGTTGTAAAAATTTATATCTTAGATTACATTTTTTAAAGATGTTACTTAATTATAGTTATAATAATCAAGGTCATATTAGATCTTTTGATTTGATTTACCGCAATTTGTAAAGAAATTTGGTAATTAGAAAATTCAGAGTTCCACTTTCATGGTTAACTTTCGTGAAATAGTAAAGAATATTATGTATTGCAAAGGTTTTATTAGAATCACAATGCAATGAGAAAAAGGGGAATAAGCCTAAATTTTGCCTATTATTGTTTCAGTAATATATTGAACATTGAGAATACAAATGAATTTGAGACTTATTCACTTAAATTTGAATGTAAATTTTAAAACTTTAAATGGATTCATTGTGCGTCACATAAACGAGAAGATCATTAATATATGTTAAAAGCACGATTTTGTGGCACACAGTGTGACGAGCATGTCGACAAGAGCAAGCACTTCTCTACGTAACTCACCGCACATGCTCTTGATTATTGCACTGTAGTGCTCTTCAAATTTAATTTTCCTCACTTTGTATCCTTAAAGCTTATTTAAATTTAAAGTTTTGTTGATGATAAATTTTCTCGTATCGAATACCCTTTTTTATTAAATTTTATGGCTATTGTTTTTTAATATGACTTATATAATTCTTATATAACTTTTGCGTAGAAAATATAACTCCAGTTCAATATGCTCATAATAATAATATTAGCTATGAACAAAAAAAACTGCTGCCAATTTATTGGCAAGTAGCTTCATGAAGAAGGAATTTCATTCAAAATTGCTCATTACGAGGGAGATAATTCGGTTTTGGCAGAAAGTCATTTATTGAATCCAACAAGTCACATAAAGCTCTTTTCGTTGTTATGCGACAATAAAGAATCTCGTCTCTCTTTCGGTGTGTCGCAGCTATGACATTTTAAATGGACTATCCCTGGTATCTTGTAAATTTGTCACTTCTCTTTCCTAAGACTTATCTCCGTCTCTTTCCCGCTCTTCTAGGGTCGTTTTTTTTCGCGAGCTTTGCGTATCACTATCAACGGCTACTCGAGCGCGCGGGATCTTATAAGTACGTCTCCGTATTATTATTTTACTTGCAGAATTCTTTTATCAATTTACTCCAATGTTTTGACGATCATGTCATGAATTACAATTCTCCATCTAACAGCTCTTTTTTAGGAAAAAAATATTAAAATTCGAAATTTTCAAAATTCTAGAAAAAGGTGTTATACGGATTAGAATCGAGTGATGATGAATCTGATGTAGATGAAAAATCATAGTAAAAACATTGGATACGAATATGTGTGGTACGTGCACAATATATTATGTACAAAACAACAAAATCGTTTTTTTATTTGATTTTATTTTTTTATGGGAGAGTAAAAGTCCTGAAAGAAGTAACAGAATGTCAGATGAATCTGATATTAATCAATCATCCAGAAGGAGATAATGGTAGCGATGAAGAGGGTTTGTAGACACTTGAATATACAAAAGCTGATCCTGACCAAGGGGTACTCATTCATTTATTATATTTAAAATCGTGAGCATACAAGTAAAAATATGATTGTCATCTTTCCAGATTATAGAATTGATACCAAATTCAAAAGTATACATTGCAGAAGTTGCCTTGCTTAATATTCAAAAGTCTCAATCTAAGCAGACAACATTTGCAAGTCTTCTCATGCAAAACATATTTATACCAGATGCAATATCTGGCTTCACATTAAATGGAAAATCTACGGGTAAAAAAAAGTGACGGCGAATCAGACCATTTCAGACCTCGCTTAAATCAAGCAGCAGTATCTACAATAATCAGTATAGTATAATTTTATATACTACCGTATATTTTTATCTATAAATAACTTAAATACTAATTTAATTTTAATTTAGCTTACACACAAACTTGGGTCATACAAAAAATTCCGGCCGCGCGCATCTATTCTCGTTGACTCCTGTTACCCCCTCTCCTACCGGCTGAGCGGAGAGCAGCCGCGCGCGGCAAAATTTCGTCCGAAAACTACGTTTTTTGCTACTTGATTGTTCATAACTTTTGAACCGTTCGAGTCTCCAACTTGAAATTTTACACAGACCTTTGTTATTAGATTACCTATCGATTGAGATATCTACGAATAAAATCGAAGGGGGCATACTTGCCGAAAAATTGAGTTAACTTTGAAGTCAGTTTTCTCCATGAAAATTAACTTTTTTCGAAAAACTGATACCCCAATTGGAAAGAACAGACAAAAATCTATCGGAATGCATGTGCGCAATATTTTTTCAGACTAAATTGCGTCGGCTACAGCGAGTTAGAAAAGTTGCGATACAATAAAAAATGCCCCGCGCGAGCCCACTGTCTGGTCGAGCGTGGAATACGTCATATATTACTTTCACGTGGGTATGTAACAGGCTTGAAAATGAGATTTGGAACCAGATGTCGTAGAAAATTCGGTTTACATAGATGGAAAAAACTGCATTGAAAATTCACGTGGAAGATTTTTGCCAATCAATTGGTAGTGGTTTTTATTTAAAATAAAACGTTACGAAATTGTTTTAATTTATTTGTAATATTTTCGAAGCTATAACAATTGAATGTCCACTCCAATCGCACTGCTGTGACTGTGTTGTAGAAGTTTGGACGACTCCTATGCCCGGCAATGTGTTACTTTCACTTAACGATGCATATGTTACACGCACACGAGAGTCTCCTCCCACACTGGACTTTCAGTTTTTAATCGTCGCCGCACATAGCCTATTCAACCTGCGCCCATGTGTTTTTTTTTCTCTCTAGTGTCTAGTACAAAGTGTCGATCGCAGACAGTACGTGTTACAACTTCGCGGCATGAACACCAAAGGTATATCTCGTCTATTGTGGCCTGTGGTTTTTTCGTGAAAAAAATTGAAAACTATTTTACAATACAAGTGTTGCGTGTGTGAGTGTGCCGAACAATGTCCCAATTAAAAGAATTAAAAGAGATGCGAGCCGCGATCGATTGGAATATAGTAAAGGAGCGACGTGGTCTTCTCCTTCGACTTTTTCACTTGACGAGCGACTGGAAGGTACAGCTTCCAAATCTTCTAGACGTTTTCCGTGCCGAAGAAATTGACTGGCTTCTCATGGAGGCTACCAAAAATAAGAAAGATCCTCTTCAACTGCAACGATTTATCAAGTTTGTAGCTCGAACAGGCTTCAAGGACGAGCCGAAACTAGACGAGGCAGGCAAGCCAATATCTCGTCGCTTCACGGCAGTGCACATCGCAGGTTTATCCGGGTTGAACGTGATTCGTGACCTTTTCGAAATATATGACAGATTTGACGTGAATTTCACCAGTAAACACGGTATTACTCATTTTCATCTGGCTTGCGAGTTTGGCTTGGACGACGTGGTGAAGAAATTCCTCGACCACGGTCAGGATCCCGATCTCCTCGTGCAAAATACAGGTGATTCGCCGATACACTTTGCAGTGGCATTGAATTACGACAACACAACGAAGGTGGTCGAGTTGCTATTGAGAAGAGGCGCCAATCCAATATTAGCCAACAACGCAGGACAGACTCCTCTACACCATTTTTGCATACATACCGATGATGATCACGTTGACTTGGCCAAGTTTTTTTTCAAGATCTGCGACGACCTACGGTGGATGGTACCGGTCAATGTCAAGGACAAGTCGGGTAGGACGCCGCTGCACCGGGCGGTGAAATACAGAAATAAGAAGCTCGTCGAATTGCTGCTCGAACGAAGCGCCAATCCGAATTTCATCGATCAGGACGGTTCGACTCCTCTACACTATATTTGCGAGAAAAACGATGACGACGATTTGGCGAAGATGTTATTCAAATTCTGCGACGAAAACAATCAAATGTTGCGGCTCGATGTCCAGAACAAGTTAGGCAATACACCATTGCACGAGGCTCTCGAATGCGGTGACAAGAAGGTAGTCGAATTGCTATTGAGAAGAGGCGCCAGCCCGAATATAGCCAATGCGAAAGGATGGACCCCTCTGCACATCATAGGCAAGAAAGATGACAGTCAAGGACTACCCGAGTTATTCTTCAAGATTTGCGACGAACGACAGCTGAAGGTTCAAGTCGACGCCACGGACAGATTAGGTAATACACCGTTCCGCACGGCATTGATATACCACAACAGACAACTGGTCGAATTGCTATTGAGAAGAGGCGCCGATCAAAGTTTAGCAAACAACGACGGAGAGACTCCTCTGCACCTTATTAGCCGGTATGACGACGACGACGACGACGATGAATTGGTGGAGTTGTTCTTCGAGATATGGGACGAACGACAGCAGACGGCTCAAGTCGATGTTCAGGACAAGGAGGGCTATACACCGTTGCACGATGCTCTCCAATGGGGTAACAAGAAGGTGGTCGAATTGCTATTGAGAAGAGGTGCCAGCCCGAATATAGCCACTGCGAAAGGATAGACCCCTCTGCACATCATAAACAAGTCATTTCGCAGTCAAGGGCTAGCCGAGCTATTCTTCAAGATTTGCGACGAACGACAGCTGAAGGTTCAAGTCGACGTCGCGGACAGATTAGGCAATACACCGTTCCACAAGGCATTTATACACCGCAACAGACAACTGCTCAAATTGCTATTGAGAAGAGGCGCCGATCAAAGTTTAGCAAACAACGTCGGAGTGACTCCTCTGCACCTCATTAGCCAGTATGACGCCGACGACGACGACGACGACGACGATGAAGTGATGGAGTTGTTCGTCGAGATCTGGGACGAACGACAGCAGACAGCTCTAGTCGACATTCAGGACTGGAGGGGCCGGACACCTCTTCGATGGGCCGTGGAAAATCTCGTGCCTCGCGTGGTCGATATACTCTTGGATTACGGGGCCGATCTATCAAGCTTCGTTTTCCCAACCGCGAGTGACTTCGCCGAGAAGTTGGATGCGCGACACTTCCTTCTTATGTACGATAATTTTAAATTGATAGTGGCGTCTAGTTTACTGGTCATCGCTGAAAATCTTGAGCAAAGAGGATATGAGTTCAACCGAAGCGACGCTCTGACGATCATGAAATTCTTCGCTGAACGCGATTTGTTCGAGAAGCCGTCGAATCTTGATAAATGTTGGTTCGACGACGAGGAGTTCATGAGCACAATGAAGGAGATTATGATAAGGGATAACGACCCGAGTCTGTCGCTCTACGAGTGGAGTAAGTTAACCCCCGAAGAGGAAGATAAACTACTCACGTATGAGGACTACTTTAGATTTGCGATACTTACCGAAGGACTTAAACAAGAGGCTTGTCAGTTGCGTCTGTGCGAGATAATGTCTAGAGGATTTTTCCGGCGTTGGGCACTGGATCCTTACATGAATCTCATACGCTGCCGACTGCCGATTAACTGCTGTGAACAGATCCTTAGCAAGATGACGAACCAAGATTTATATAATATTTGCTTGGCAGATGCATAAGCACATTTACAGTATTTTTTATAATCAGACGGTGTTAATTTTCCATATTATTTATATGAATAAATAAATTTTGAAAAATAATTTAAATTATTATATTGATCCACTTTTCATAATCCTTTTTTCCTAGAAAATTCGACTCTTGGAATTTTTCGTAATGAAAATGTACTTTTCCTAAAGTGTTGATATTATTATGAACCATACAGGTAGACGATCATCAACATAGTTATTAAGGAGAGTGATTCACCAATTCACTCCTCTTTGGCATTTTTGTGATGTAAATCACAGTTTAATGACAATCTACATTTTCAACATAAAATTGATAACTTTGACAATAGCTTATTTTTGCTATTTTAGTCTTTCGGCACTGTGCGCAAGGTTCAAATTAGAATTTTATAGGTGGGGATCTTTGATATGGCCTCACCGAAGCAATTATGCCTAGCGGCGGATACCGGTGAGTGTCCGAATGGGGTGGAGCAGAAGAAAAAAAAACACTCACACACCCCTCGGCACGGAATTGAACAAAGTCCTCGGTGACAAGGCCACTGCCAGCGCCCTACAGCATACTACCATGATCGAGATCAGGGATCTCGACGAGTGTACCACCGAGAATGAGAACGCCGAAGCTCTGAGCACATCGCTGAGTACCCCCAAGGGCGGATTTACATTTTTGGCGCTGTAGGCTAGGAGAAAGAAGCCGCCCCTAAAAAATCCGAGTTCACACAAAAAGATTTACCAAAAAAACACTATTTTGAATCGTGAAAAAATACTTTGATTTAAATTTTTTTTATGAAAGAGACTTAAACTGTGACCAGTAATGCCTGAAATTGCGGATTAAGAACCTAAAGTTTAAAGTACTTTTGGAAAAGTGTATTTTTTGGTGCTTACCATCTTCATTATTTAAATCCCACCTACAAAACTTCAAACTTTAGGTTCTTATTTCACAGTTTTGGGTGTTACATGCCACAGTTTAAGTCTCTTTCGTAAAAAAAAATTTCAGTAAAAGTTTTTTCAAAATCGTGTTTTTTCGCAGTAAATTGTACATAACTTTTTTTAACTTTTATTCGAGGTTATAAACTCATATTTAAAAAGTACATTCAATTTTACATAGAAAATGGGTACTCGAGAATTTTTCTCGCGTTGATAGATGATTTAATTGCAAACTATATAAGAAAAGAAAATTCTGTCCATTTGGGCGTTAACGGGTTAAAAAATTTGCCTAACTCTGGGATTTTTGACAAGACATTTTTATGCTTACTTTCTTTCTCTTCAGCTTGCCACCCCTCAAAATTTGCCGCCCTAGGCTATAGCCTATATAGCCTATACCTAAATATGCCTCTGAGTACCCCGCATATCAACAAGGATGCAGTCAAAACGCTGCGGAAACCGGGAACGCAGGTGGCTGTCGCCGCGCTCCCGGATGACTTAGCCGCCAAGGCGCTGAAACTCGGTCACATAAGGATTAGCTGGGTCAACTGCCGCATCCGTGGTCGCGAGGATACCCTACGCTGCTATCGCTGCTGGAGCCCCGGCCACATCTCGGCTCGCTGTAAGGGACCTGAACGGTCGGCGCACTGTTTCCGCTGCGGACCAACAGGCCATCGGAGAAAGGACTGCAAGATCGAACAATCCAACGTGCGTCTTTTGCCACGAGCAAGGCGCTGTCCACGACCATGCGTCCACAAGCCAGTACTGCCCATTCGCACAGAAGACAAACCAAGCCCGCCGATAAACGAGCTCGGTGCACCAGCCCAGCCTCTCCCCGCGAAGTAATGCCCAACGGCGGTCTCGCGGGGGTCAAACAGGGGCAGAAGGAGATGTCGATGGGCCTTTCACACTTTTTGTTTTATACATCATATATTTATTTCTCCACCTCTTACCCTACATAACATATGTAGCAAAAATACGCAAATGTATTGTAATACATTTTTCTTTTTAAATAAACTGAGCCCATCGCTCCCATTAAAAAAAAAAAAAAAAAAAAAAAAAAAANAATGAGGATCTTACAGCTAAACCACAATCACTGCAAGGCTGCCCAGGATCTCCTGAGCCAAACTATTCTCGAGCAGCGCATCAACGTGGCCGTAGTGAGCGATCAGTACAAGAACCTTGACACACCTTGACCGCCTTACACATGGCTAGCTGATGCCAACAGACAAGCCGCGATCTGGGTGCACTTAGGGGGCATGGTCCAGGAGCGCCCAGCAAGAGCGCGTCCCTTTTTCACCTGGGCCCGAATCAACGGAATCTACCTTTTCAGTGTCTACGCACCACCAAGACTCGCTGATGTAGAATTTTCCGCTCTTCTCGCCAACATCATCGAGGAAGCCTGGAATAAGAGGCCGCTCATCGTCGCGGGCGATTTCAACGCATGGGCAACGTAGTGGGGATGTCGAGTAACGAGACAGCGTGGCACCATCCTCCTAGACGCGCTGGCCACCCTCGAAGCTGCACTGTTAAACACCGGTGACACACCAACATTCACCGGTGCATTGGGCTATTCGGTCATCGATCTCACCTTCGCCAGCGACACACTCGCTCCTCGAATTACATCATAGGCCGTAAGCGAACTCTACTGCACGCATAGCGACTATCAAGCCATCGTGTTTGAGATAGCGACCGCCAGACCGCCTGGACCTACGACGCGCCAAAGCTGCAAATGGAACGCACGCACCCTTGACACAGAGTGCCGCACAGTTATGATGGCCAATGCTGCGGCTCCACCCGGGCCCACAGAAGAAATGGCGACGAGACTCATAGCCGCCATTACCAGTACATGCGACGCGTATATGGCCAAGTCAAATGGACGATGCCGTTGCTGCGCGGTGTACTGATGGACAAGCGAGATCGCCGACCTCCGGCGCTCATGCCTGCGAGCGCGAAGGCTCGCCTAGAGAGCACGTGGTCGGCCAAATGAAGGCGCCTCGAGCTATGCCTCCGCAAGACGTCTCCTGCGCGCGGCCATCAAGACCAGTAAGCGCCTATGCTGAAGCAAACTATGCGATGAGGTCAATGAGGACGTATGGGGCAAACCATACTAGACAGTCATGTCCCGTTTAAGAGGTCCGAGAGCAAATACTCTAAGCTCTCCGACCCTAGTGCGCCGCGCATAGTAGCTGCTCTCTTCCCTCGCGTGCCTGACGAGCCAACTCTGTCACCACCACTAGAGGCAGGAGCAATTGTACCAACCGTCACCCTGGAAGAACTTCGAAGAGCTTGCGGGAGGATCAAGGATCACACTGCGCCTGGGCCGGACGGAGTACCAAACTCCACTATCAAGATCGCCATTGCCACGCACCCTGACATCTTCTTGCAGGTGTACACGGCGTGCCTGCGGACCGGTGTCTTTCCAGCGTGCTGGAAAAGGCAGAGGCTTGTCCTGCTGCCAAGGCAAACCCCCCGAAGAACTATCGTCGTACAGGCCGCTCTGTATGCTGGACACAGCGGGCAAGATTCTCGAAAGAATCATCTGTGACCGCCTCGAAGCCACTACTGCGAGCCCTGGAGGCCTCTCAGATCACCACTACGGCTTTCGGAAGGGGCGATCGACGATCAACGCCATCGAGAACGTCATCGCCACCGCCCAACAGGCCATCGCGTGCAAGAGATGAAACCGCGGCACCAAGAAGTACTGCGCCGTGGTGACCCTCGACGTGAAAAACGCGTTTAATTCGGCTCGGTGGAACAACATCAACGCCGCACTACGCCGAATGCGCACGCCTGAGTACCTGCTGAGAATAGTCGGCAGCTATCTCTCAGCGCGGGAGCTTGACTACGATACGGACGACGGACCAGAGTCTGATTGTAACATCTGAATTAACAAATATTACGTAGTTTTTATATTTAAATTCTTTCTCACAGAAGTGGTTAGGAGTTGGGTTGAAATAATAACACGTTGACAATTTTTATATAATTTTAAAAATGACTTACATTAATTTATTTATCTCGACCTTAAAACACACAAACTAAAACTGGCGCTTCCTCTTGGCTCGAGGATGCCTCTCTCGTACGCTGCCCCGGACGATGGAGAAAATCAATGATCTTCAGAGGAGAAGTTGGAATCACTTAAGCACCGCGCGTAGCAAAAAGTTTAATTTCCAAAAACTACTATTTGTACTTTAACTTTTTAAGGATGATTCTAATATAACTTTTTGAACTTTTGACTTTGGACACTTGCACGAGTTCTTTACGGGTCGGCGGTCTCTGACTAACAAGACCGATTTCTTGGGACCGGGGCCCATCTATGCGACAAGGCTCATCACCTTTCACTTTTTTTTTACTTATTCCTCGATCCCTTCCAATTCCAAATTTATCGCAGACATCTCAATCATTTGATTCCCCAGAACACGTGTGATCGAGTGTTCTGGCTCATTAGATCATAAAACATGTGCTATGCATTGGTGTGACATGATTATAAATTAATTGAGATAGAAAGTGTTTTATTTTCCTGTTACTTCAGATATCTGGCCTCAGGCCGCCTCTGTTTACTCAGCTGGCCGTATGGCATCTTTAATTGTGTTGTTTTCACATATCATAAAATTAGAGCGTTGGTCAGATTTCTCATGAAGCACTTAAAATCTACATTTTCATGCACAAGGCTATAAGTCACTGCAGGCGTACCACAAGGATCTGTCCTGGGGCCCATCCTGTGGAACGTCATGTACGACGCCGTTCTGCGCCTCAACTTCGTATCGGAGGCAAAGTAAAGATTATCGGCTTCGCTGACGTTCTTCGGGGATGTACGGAAAAGACAAAATGTGGAAAAGAAGCTCAATAGGGTCCCCACTAGACCGGGCCGTTTTTGCAAAAAGTTTTGGTATAGCCTGGGCTCAAGGCTGAGCTTAAAAGTTTAAGGTTTGACATGAAAAAAGCCGTGCCCAGGAAGTCCAAAAAGTGACGGGAACCGGTCTCGATATATTTTTAAAGTTTAAAAACGTGAGGCAAAATTAAGTGGAGATCGTAAACTCGACGATAGCTGGCCAGTTATAGTTGTATCACTATAATTAATTTAGACAATACAATTTCTTATGTATTTTTGCCTGTTGAATTGACTGGTCACGTCAATTGAGCGATTTCAGTACATCGAAGCACATAAAATTGACTTTTCCTCTCGTTTTTTCGTCAAATTTTCGTAAAATCTCTATAAAACCGATAATAAAACGGGTTTAAAAAATGTTAGAGATATGCGGGTTACGTTAAAATTTAGGGTTTTTCTAGTAAAATCAAGTGGCATTATTAGTTTTAGTCTAAAAAATTATTTTAATTGATGAAATCGCAATTTTTCGATTTTTTTCTCTAAAAATTATCCTAAAATTGACGATTATTCGCTTGCCTAGCAGCGATTTTTGCGTGACCAGCGGCCCGGACCCCCGCAAATTATTCCTAGGACCTCTAAGAGTGAAAAAAAACACTTGAACATAAAATTTGAAAATAGTTAATTTTTTTTTTGGTCACTTATGTTTTAGACGCCGAAAAGTCATCTTTCCACGCAAATACGACTTATTGCTCGATTTCCAAGTCGTTGAAAAAGTATCAAAACTCATCTAAAAATGTTAACTGACCACTGTATTCGATAGGAAATTTTCTCAGCTTTCTGATAGTACTATTCGATTTTCCGTGTCTGGAGACCGGCGTTTTCATGTCTAGCTGGAAGCGCCAGAGACTCATCCTGCTCCCAAAGCCAGGCAAACCTCCTGACGAGCCGTCCTCCGCTGTGTGTGTTAGACACGGCGGGCAAGATTCTCGAGAGAATCATATGCGATCGGCTTGAGGCTTTCACAGAGAGACCCGGAGGCCTCTCGGAGCGACAGTATGGCTTCCAGAAAGGGCGATCAACGATAGATGCCATCGAAGACGTCATTTCCACCGCACGTGAGGCCATCACCGGCAAGAGAGCACCAAGAAGTACTGCGCCGTAGTGACACTCGACGTGAGGAATGCGTTCAATTCGGCCCGGTGGGACAACATCCTCGCCGCTCTACGCCGTTTGCTCGTACCCGATTACTTACTGAAAATAATTTCCAGTTACTTCTCAGCAAGAAAGCTCGACTTCACCACGGGCGATGGTCCTACGAGGTCACAGCAGATGTCCCACAGGGGTCAGTATTGGGCCCTATCCTGTGGAACGTCATGTATGACGCGATCCTGCGCCTCAACTTCGAGGGCAATGTTCGTATCGTCGGCTTCGCGGACGACATCGCAGTGGTGGCTGTCGCCAAGCATCTACGGCAGATCGAACAGGATCTGAACGCTGCCATTCTACAGGTGCGAGGCGCGCTCCAAGCTCTCAGCTTACAAACAGCTGGCCACAAGACGCAGGCTCTGCTCATCACCAGCAGGAAGAAAGTGGAAACCATCACCATCACGGTAGGCGACCACAGCATACGCTCGTCCCCCTCCATCCGCTACCTGGGCCATCGACGCCAAGCTGAAGTTCGACCACCACCACCGAACAGTCAGCGCGAAGGCAGTCGGGGTGATCGGTGTCCTTACGAAGATCATGCCCAACTCTGGTGGGCCCAGAAGTAGCCGACGTAAGCTGTATGCCCACGTCGTTGACTCCATACTCCTGTATGGAGCCCCCATCTAGAGCACAGCCGCACAAAAGCGAGCCTACATTCGCCAGGCGGAGTCAGCCCACCGACGAGCCTGTCTGCGTGTGATCGGAGGCCGGCCGCATGTTTCTTACGCGGCTACATATGTCCTTGCCGGCATACCACCGCTGGCCCTTCTCGCGGACGAGCGAGCGCGGCTCTACGGCCGCCGCCGAGCGGACGCAAAGGACGAGGAACGCTTGGCAACGCTAAGCAAGTGGCAGGAAGCATGAGACCGGTCGACAAAGGCCCGATGGACGCACCGACTGATTCCAAACATCAGAGTGGATCGAGAAGAGGCACGGAGAGTTGAACTACCACCTCACGCAACTCGACCGGGCATGGCTTCTTCAAACACCATAGCCGACGCTACGATCATAATCAAAGCGCGCAATACCCGGTTTACCCCTCATCCATCGAGACGCGGAGCACGTATTCAATCACTGCTCGAGGTTCAGCGAAGAAAGAGAGAGACTACACTCCCTGCTCCATGAGGTCATGACGCCGGAAAACACCAACAGGCTCGTGTTCGCGGTTGCTTCCTTCGCCCACTCAGTCGTTATAAGACTGAGAGACGAAGAAATGGACAGAAGGGAATGACCGGACAAAGCCGCTGGAAAAAGACGCCACCCCATCCAAGCCTTCATGAAGCGCATCATGCCAATCCCTCCACCCCCGTGAAGTAATGCCTAACGGCGGTTTCCGCGGGGATTGAACAAAGGGAAATTGATGTGGATGTATCTACATATCTTATGTACTGTCTAAAACAATATGCTACATTGCTACTCATGTAAACCACTATTTTCTCTTTCTACTAAATAAAATATTTATACATCCAAAAAAAAGAAAAAAAAACACACACACACGCACACACGCACACACACACATACATACAGACATGTGTCAGCCATTCGGTCTAGTTTAAGAATATATATATGGGTCAGATTCAGAATTTTTCAAATAAACCTGCGGGCGAGGTTTACGGATTTTCCTGAAATTTTGGTATGTTATAGTACATGATAAAAAAGTGCCAAAACCAAAATTTTGGACCCCCTCCCCCCTCCTACCCCCCTCTTCCGGTATAAACGTCCATTTTCGATCTATATTTTTTCTGAGGACATGAAGCAAGTAAAAAATCTGAAAAAATTCATAAAAATACTTTTCCACAATCCAAACAACCTTGAATTTTTTCAGATTTTTTGAGTGCTTCAGGCCTTCAGATAAAATCATTGAAAATTTCAAAAATCGAGATACGGCGGTATGAGCCGATGTAGTACTCGGAAATTTTTTCAGTTATTTTTCGCATTAAAAAACATAACCTCAATTTTTTTCAGATTTTTTCAGATTACCTAACGCACCTTTTGAAGCCAAAAACCGATTTTTTTGACGAAAATAATTTTTTTAGGACAGTACGGAGCCTCGAAAAATCTGAAAAAAATTTTTTCTTGTTTTTTTCATCAAAATACGTAATCTCAAATTTTTTCAGATTTTTTAATTGAAGGCGATAGCTTCTAGGGCCGAAAAATGCTATTTTTAACAAAAAATGGTTCCTAGAACCCGATGGTTCCGGTGAAAAAATTTGAAAATATTTTTTTTGAATTCCTTGTCAAATTTTAATAAATTTTGACCGTTTCAAAAGTTCGATTGAAGCTTCCTAGCTCATTTTAGAGCAGGACAAAGATTAGTGCAAAATATCTGAAGACGTTTCTGAAGACATTAAGGAATGATAAAACTCGTTTGATGCTCTAAAATGAGCTAGGAAGCTTCAATCGAACTTTTGAAACGGTCAAAATTTATTAAAATTTGACAAGGAATTCAAAAAAAATTTTTTCAAATTTTTTTACCGGAACCATCGGGTTCCAGGAACCTTTTTTGTTAAAAATAACGTTTTTCGGCTCCAGACGCTATCGCCTTCAATTAAAAAATCTGAAAAAATTTGAGATTATGTATTTTGATGAACAAAATGAGAAAAAAATTTTTCCAGATTTTTTGAGGCTCCGTAGCGCCTTAAAAAAATTATTTTCGTGAAAAAAAGCGGTTTTTCAGCTCTAGGCTGAATGGACATGAATGAAAAATTCTGAAAAAATTCAAGGAATCGTTTTTTGACGTCAGAATTCAGAAAAAAATACTCCGGTCTGGTACATCGAACCATTTCACCGAAAATAAAATAATTTAAATTTTCAATGATTTTTTCTGAAGGCCTGAAGCACTCGAAAAATCTGAAAAAATTCAAGATTGTTTGGATTGTTGAAAAGTACCTTCATGAATTTTTTCAGATTTTTTAATAGCTTTAGGCCTTCAGAAAAAATATAGATAGAAAATGGACGTCTATAGGGGAGGAGGGGGGTAGGAGGGGGGAGGGGGTCCAAAATTTTGGTTTTGGCACTTTTTTATCATGTACTATAACATACCAAAAGCGCGTCAAGATCGGTGACATACGAGCGCAGGTTTATTTAAAAAATTCTGAGCCTTACCCATATGTAAAAGTACTCTACGATTATTATTAAATAATTTCTAATGGCTATGAAGGTGGCACCCAAACTTCAACGTTCCTGCTAATGAAACGCATCAATGAAACACAAACACGAATATTAACAAAAAACGTCAAAGTTTATTAAAATTGTCGCTAACGGCAACAGTTGACATGTAGCCGTTCGCTACTAACAATCGCTCTGAGGAGGCTGATAAACTCAGCGAAATTTTAATAAACTTTGACGTTTTTTGTTAATATTCGTGTTTGTGTTTCATTGACGCGTTTCATTGGCAGGAACGTTGAAGTTTGGGTGCCACCTTCATAGCCATTAGAAATTATTTAATACACAATGGAAGGTGAAAATAACATATACAAAAAATCTACGATTATTAGTTATGAAAGTTGAAAATCGGTCCGTCACAAAGCTTCCTCTATGAGGAAGCAATATTAGGTTAATCGTTTCGAAATCTTCATATGATCTCATAACTTCTTGGAATACTATAATATATTTTAAAAAAAATTTCATTGTAAAATTTATTTTTTCACATAGTACATTTCCTTAGGCGAACAATGTGGAGTTGGCTCACACTAAGCATGTGGATTATCATTGTGGCGTTAAAAAATCGATAACGCCAAGCTCAATCTTCTGATACGTTATTTGAAAATATCCGCAAGGAATCCACATGGTTAAAAAACAACGCATTAAACTTTTTATCTCACAATTTATTCAACATTTGTTTTTCAGTTTTTATGGGAGCTTCATTAGTAGATTATTAATAATACTCGCCGTATTTTTTATCCCACGAGTTTATCTTCCTTACTGCGAGGCGTGATATCCGATAAACTCTATAACAACTCCTGTAGTGAGCATTATATTAATTTCATCTCCCATTAAAATATAATTAATGGTTCACGCAAAGCGGATGATATAAATGACTATATTGCTCTTAGATACTATATTCAATCGAAATTATCCATGTTCTTAATTAAGCGTTCATTAATTTAGAAGTAAATTCGGTTATTTGATCATTTTGTGAAGCAACAAATACAAATTTAAAATGCACTCATTAAATAATTTTTGTTTAAAATTATTCAATGTAAAAAGTAATTTGAACTTGAAAGAATTAAAGACTAAATTTTTTACGAACATTGACAAAGTTGACTTACTTGAGCCTACTTTTTTTGTATTTTTTTGTCAATCTCATGTACAAAATACAACAATCATTATAAAACACTCGCATATAACACTACAATAACTGCAGAAATCGTCGTGAAGGTTGTTTAAAAATTGCTACTGCAAAAAAAACAAACCACATTGAAATCTATTTCTCACTTGTATGAATATTTTCAAATTTCATAATTGTAAATTGAAAGTACTAATATTTTCACTTGTTACGTTGACTCGTTTTAACTTGATCAGATTACGAGTGATGATATATGCAGTATTCACTACTCAATACGTTGCATCGTAGCGAAATTGATATATTATATCCTGAAAGACGCTTTTATGTGTACTTCTGAAAATATATTTTAAAAATAAGAATAAATTTTCAATATTAAACTAGAGTTTTATGCAAAATTCTCATAATAATATTTTCTGTGACGTTACTTTCAAACAATATATTTAAACAGAAGATCTCAATTATTTTTTAATTAAAGTATTATTTAGGTCATTTGATCGAATCTAAAAGACGATATATTATTTTTATTATCAAAGCAGATGCAGAATTCTTGAAAATGTATTGCACGTGAAGTGAAATGGGCTTGTCTGACTGTTCCGCGTGGCACGTGTCTGCGTACTTTATCGTAAATGTCACATAATACTGTGAAATTAGTTACTCGCGTCGTTCGCATGCTACAGTCACGCTGATTGCGTTTAATAAAAGAAGTTTATCAACGTTAGATTTTATTTACACAACTGGAATAAGTTTATTTATGCTGTGATTTCTTGTTTCGGTTATAAGAATTTTTTACAATATTTTTGTATATGCTGCATATGATGCTTTTCTGAGAAATTACGAGTTTATTGAGAAGGTAGAGCCGCAAAATATATTTACAGTAATCTACTTTTTTACTCCGTTGATTTCTCGAGGATTTCGATGATCATTCGTGTGGAATATTTCTCTCTTTAAATCTCTAACACATTTTCGGACCTCAACGCTATTTTAAAATGCTAATGTATTTTCTATTTTTTAGTAGAATAAATGAAATTAACACACATATATTATCAATAAAAATATTTTTATTAATAAAAAATTGTCGATAATTGATGCTTGGATTTGTGTCATATTTTCATGAAATGTTTTGAATTTCTCGCTATACTTTTTGATAAACATATTTATTTTGATTGGAGAGGGTATATGATTGCTTATTTACATACTATATATTCGTCATTATCGATTTGTTCATAAAGGCATGCACCAGCGCGTCTGCAACTAGAAATAATCCCGTGGCCACTGCACGAGATACATTGTTCTTTGATTTAATAATACTCTTTTGCGTATCGCCCCCGTTGGATCAATTGTAGTCATAAACTACTCGTCATCTCTCGTGGCACGAAACGACATTTTGATGAAAAGAGAGACGAAATTTACTGTACACGGTGTAAGTATAAAAATTCAAGTGAAAAATAATACTTTTCTAATTGTCCTATGGCTATCTACTGTACATTATATTACGCATCTCGCTCAGCAAGAACAAATCGGCAACTTTCTGAAAAAATCTTGGAGATTTTCGATTGCCCGAATCTTGAATTCATTCTTCAATCTTGTATTATTTTATCGCTTTTAAAGATGATATTCTCAATGTCGGTTGGTGACAGATTCTTGAACATGCAAAGGCTCTCTTCTTTCGTTGGGAACGAGGATCCAACTATTCTATAGAACTTCTCAATCGGGCAAAAGTAATCGCAGTCTTTTAATTTCACATAATCCAACGGTTTCCTCTTTACCTCTTTGCCTTTTTTTTCTTGCATTAATATCTTTATTTCTTCCTGTCTTCCCACGTAATACAGCATCTACGAATTTCAAGAAAAAACATTTAACGTAATCAAACGAACTATCGAATGAAAATGAACCACATTATAGTCGCAAACTTACTCGAACATAAACTTGGCCATCGAAGTCATCTCGAATCTTTTCAATAATCAATGCGGAGCCGTATTCGGGCTTGTCTCCAAGCTCTAGCCCGAGCGCCTTGGCAACTGCGTAAACGTTGAACTCGTGCGCGCTGTAGAGGTAAATTTTGCGCGTCGGCCTCTGGCTAGCATCAATAAGCATATTGTCGTACATGCGCTTCGTCAGGGGCCCGCCGTTCATGCGTTTCAACTTGTCCGTCTCAGACAGTGATTCGAGGTAAAGTATCACCATTTCATGGATCTTATCATGTATTTTCTGCGAATACCAGAACGGCATTGGTCCATTCAGGCTTTTCTACATTCGAAAGAAATTTTATATTCGAGGAAACGTATCTTATATAAAGTCAAGATAATGAAATATTTAGGGATACTAACTTGTATGTTGAGATAATTGTTGAGTAAAAATATCTCTTTCAATGAAAAATCTACATCGGGATAGAAACTGTTTAGCAGTCTGAAGAGCGCTCGATCCTTCGATAAACGGCTCTGCATTTCGGTCGAGTTCATAAGTCTATTATACTCCTCCGTGTACCTGTAAGGCAAAGGAAAAAATAATCAAACTGCTATTAAAATCAAAATTTACCGAGCAAAGCATGAATCTTAAAAAAAAACCTACGCAGGACAAGAATCCAGTCGGAAGAGCGAGTCGAACTTATCCGGCACCGAGTTGATGGGTATGGGATTCCAAGCGAGCTCTCTGTTCCATCGGAGCTTCGTCGAGGGCGGGTAAAGTCCGGAGAGAGCGAGCTGCAGCGAGTTTTTCGTGCGATCGAAATTCGTGGAAATGCCGTAGACCAGCGACGGGTGATAATCACCGAGGAAGCTGTTGTAACGCTCGCGCAACAGCGTGCCGATCTTGTACTCGTCTTTTTTCCCTTCCTGCGGGGGTTTAATCGCGTTCGTTGATTATTTTATGAATCGTAAAAGAAACTAGAGTGCGCAGGGTATCTACTGCCTTTCTCGCAGATGCACATTTTTGACACGACACTCACGTTTGTTAATTGAGCGAATCCCCATGGCTCTTGCAAATTGCTACTTCGGTCGCTGATGAATTTGGCCTCGTCGCGCTGGAAGGTACGCTCCCCGTGACGGAACACCTGAAATCATAACCCATTTTACAATTGTTATTGATCAAACGCATTGTTGTATACAGCGCGTGGACTTTATTACCCGGTGATTTTAAAAACATTATTATGTAAATCGTTTCAATTATCGATAATAATACATTTTCCGGAGCTTTGGCATTCAAATGATGAAGGTCTTCAATTACTGAAGTTTAAATCGAGGAAGGCGCAATACAAAGATTCCGTCGAAGCATTAGCAAAGTCCGCACGCATTGCATAATACAGTTACGATTATTATTTAGACTTTTCGTTTTATGCGTAATATAATTATATTCAATTATGGGCTAACAATTACAATATAAATTAAATAACGTCCTGTCGTTAAAAAAGTTAACTGCAGTCTTTTTATGCTTTTTTACGATTGTAGCGTTAATTTGATCACCATTAAATTGTAAACTATATTTTATCTAGACGTATCCATTAATATAAATTGAACTTAATCATTCCTTCTGCGAATGATTTTACATATTTCAAGAGGTGAAAAATAAGTATATCTTTTAGGAAAAATTCAAGCAATACATAAAATTTTTATCTGTTTCTTTTTAATCCGTGGAAAAACAAAGGAAAATTCGTAATTATTCGACTCTGTTAAGTTTGAAACCAAAGGTTGGTTCTGCAATCAATTTCTGAACAATAAAAAAGAAAATATTTTGAATTTCAATATTTAACGAGATAATTGTAAAAATTGATTGATACATTGGGTCATTAGATAACTCCAAAATTAATTTCAATAATGTCAAGTAAAAGAGAAATCGCAATTTAATTTCATTCAAAAATTTTGAAAATCTAATAACTTTGAATAAAAAATTGTATTAATTAAAAATATTGAAAATATGTAAATTTATTTAAAAAGTATTTCCAAAATTAATTTAAAAATAGCCAATTACTACTTATTTGCTAAGCATTATGTTACCACTAAATAAATAAAAAGTAAAATAACTTACAACTTGCACCATCTCTATCCGGCATTTAACACACGCATTGGCGCCAGCAACAATCAAAAGTAAGTTCAAAATGATTTGTTTATTCATATCGAATGGAAAACTAGAACGAAATTTCGAAATGATATCACTCGTACGAGGAATATGACACTCATGCAACAGGTGTAGCGAAGATCACTGCGAGAGCTTCGAGATCGAACTGAAAGTATTCATCAGTGTGCTCCATTATTTACTGATTTAAGCGAAGATCGGCATTTAGAAGGAGAAAAAATGGAAGGGGTTTTGCGTCAAAATAATATTTGATTATGGGGCTTGCCTGCGCTCAAGATTAAAGGTCGCTAACATTTTGGGGAAAAACCTAACACCGTTTTTTTATATAGCAATTAATTAAAATTTCAAATATTAGCGTCTATTTATAAATAACTAATTTATTCAGCTGTTACGTTAGTGCAATTATTTTAGAAATTTACAAGGAATGAAGAATATTTTTAGTAATTATTTAGTTTGGTTGTTATATCACAAAGGTAAATATTCATTTTGGTTGCTGATATTTGTACGATTGATAAAAGTACACAATTGCACTTTTTTAGGAAAAGTATACATTTCATTGGAATTACTTTAATACTTGACCTTGACATTTCTGGATTCACATTATTACATCGTTGTTATAATAATTGCAATGTAATAAAAAATGGTATTAAAAAATCGCACAGCTTATGACTTTTTTTACTTGTGCATTATTATTCTTTGAACAAAATAAATTGTATCTCAAAAACATACGTCATGTGATCGGATATTCTTTGACGATACATTTTATACTTGATCTAATAATTTTCTTTAAAATTATATGTAAAACGAAAATCCAGTCCTATTAAAATTGTTGGTATTTTTTCAAATTTGAGAAGCCATAGATAATTTAGTCCAAGGTCAAACTCATACGTTAAAGCTATTCTAAATTTTACACATACCACGGGAAGGCGTAGAGTTAATTCGTAATTAGATGAATCGAGTGAAACTAAGAGTAAAGATTTATTGAACACATAAAGTTCAATGAACATTTCTTATTGATGTTTTTAAAAATAAAAAACATCAGTTGCAAATTCATTTCTTCTTATCATTCTTAGCATCGATGGGAATTTTTTGCAATGCAAAAGTATTACGCTGCATGGAAAAAATTTTCTCATTAATTTTTAAGATATTTGCGATTGTATAATTCATCAAAGATATCGACACAAGCTGAACGCAGTAAAATACGGAAAATTTGAAGTAACGTATATTCTTTAAAACAATATTTAAAAAATAACAGAGTTTTCTGGATTATTTTGCCACTCTTTATTGTTGAATGATACATTTCAATCGGCGTATCAAATAGTTTATAGGTTCTTGAATTTCCGTTAACTAATCTAACGTAAATCTGCGAAATCAGTTACGCCGACAATGCAAACAGATTTTAATCAGTTCTTTTTAATTAATTAAATCGTCATTATATGATCAATAATCTTTGTAGCGATATTATGACACGGATCATTGATAAACACAAATAAAACGAAACGGAGAATTTTTACAAATGTATTCTAGTAACAACCTGTAAATCTTATTGAGATTTATGTCAACTTTTATTTGCACAGTTTCAAATTCAAAAACTCCAGTGCCTGTATAAAGGTTTTCCTTTTCAAATTGTTAATTCACTCTTACAAATATTTAGTGAATATATTCGGCTCATATAATTAACACAGACTCTATACTTAAAACAATAGTCTGATGGCAAGAAAGTTTTCCGAGAAGTCTTCCATACTTTGAAGTTTATAAAAAACAAAATAAATAATAAATATTATTGAAACCAAAAGTAAATTTGTAGTTTCTTTTTTTTTTTTTTAACTATCATTTTGGTCAGAGGTCAAGAAACAATGGATGGAAAATGAAAAATGGAAAACTAACGTGAAGACATAAAACTCTTTTCGAAGTCAATCAAATTTCGAAAATTTTATGGTCAAAGTAATAAAAAAAAACAAAAGATTTGAGTTTCTATCCAGAGCTTCGTATGATAATTGGTTATTATAACGTTTGATGTTATAATGAGAAACTTCTAAACAAAGATCTCCACAGAATTTTTTTTTCGACAACAATATTGTTAAAAAAAATATTTTAAACGTTTTAAACATATCCTTCGTTTATTCTACAACTGGTGATATCTTTTTATTTTTGAATTTCAGATAAGCGGGTTTCACGTAATATTATGACACTCGAAATGAGTGAGTTTGAAAAAAATGAATTATGCCTTGCATATCATTCAGTGTGTAAAAATGACTAGTCCTCGAACATTACAACTTTTTTCAAGAAACAAAACGCAATTTTTAGTAAGACTGCATCTTCTGCCAATGACAAATGAGCTTATCTTCGCCAATGGTTTTTTCGAACACTCAACATTTACTCTTAATCCATCTAGGATAGAGATTTTGAATCATAAATTTAGAAATGAAAATGAGTAAGTCTCATATCATTGGTTTTACTTTACAATGATTAGTTGCGTAAACAATTAGCTTTTATTAGATCGGTTTCCGCGAGTTATTTCAGGGATTCCTTGAACTCGTTAAAAACAAGTCAGCTCCAAATACTCGAATCAATTTCGATAGAGTGAGACAAATGAATTTAAAAATTGCATCATTTTTGGCGTTAGTTACTCATAATCTAATTGTACTCTATATTCTTTTCAATTGCAGTTTGATCAAACCCCAAGAAACTGACGGCAACGGTGAACTTGGGAATCCGAGCTGACGAGTGCAGGCGAATAGCACATCGGACGTCATTACGCGTTTGAGTCATACACGCACTGCAGCAAGAGAGGAGATCATCCTTCGCTTCGATCGCGTGCGCAGGAGAAAAAACCTCAGAGCATGAAATGACGATCAAGACGCCGCTGTGAAAATCGAAGCTGATGCAGCGCACCAATCGTGCCATGACACCGGTACAGTTTGCATAGGTAAATTAATTACGATACGCAATCACGTGTGTACGGCGTTTAGCGCGCACATAGGCGTTTCGGGCGAAAATCCCGTGCGTACGCATTGTGTATCGTACACACGCGAGCGCTCTGACGTCAGAAGATGGAATAATATTATAAGAGCTGAGAAAGTGAGCAACTCCCACCACGAAGGTCACACGCGTACATGCAGCATGACATCTTTAATTTTCTTGTCAATGTACCGCTCGAGTCTCGTGACGCTCGGTGTATCGCAGGATCTGTGATAACGTTGCTCTTTTTATTTAATCTTTTTTTTCTACTCGCGCTGTGTCACAAAGCTGCAAATTAAGAACAACCAAAAAGTATCGTTTCTTTCTAGCTTTTGTCAATCAAACAATGTGGATGCACAAATTTACTTTTAGAATCGATCGTTCACGTTACTTATGAGTTCGTGACCTTTAAAATTATAAAATAATACATGAAAATTATTGTGAAAAATCATGTAAAGGGCAAATTGTGGTTGAAAAACCGATCGATATTAAATTATTCTTAAACTGTTGATAGATTTTTCTATTTATGTTTATACGAAAACAAATTTATGATTTTTGATCTTTCAATTAGATCTAATCTAATCTAAAATCTATACTACTACTTCAATTTCATTAGATTTAGTTAAAATATAAAAACTTTTTCATTTCAATTTTTCAAAATTTTAGTTTATTTTTTATCCACACTATTGAACTTGATACAGCTATGATGCCGATGGATGGTTTTTAAACGAACTGTACCATTAATATCACATAAGTGCAAATGATACCAAGAAACTACAGAATGAGATGTAAATTAGTAAGCTATTAGAATGAGGGGCAGATCAGCTGTAAAAACTTACTGGAACGACTAAATCGTCGTTTATGTCGTAATATCCGTGAACAGAAAAGTGTATATCGTTGCAGGTCAGATAATCGAGTATATGGCACAGCTAAAATGAATAAAAAGATAATGTAAGTTGCCAAAGTTGAAGTATCGATGTTCTTTCGTACTTGTTGTTCCGTCGGTTCATCGTAATCATTAACTATTATACTTTCGCTTATGATTTTGCCGGTACGATTGCTCTAAAAAATTAGAAAAGCAAATAAAATGTCACTCTGATTCAGTTTGGTGATCGCAAGTCGGCGTTACCTCGTTCAAGGTGACAGTAGCCAAGCCCGTCAGCATGACCAACGAAACTAGGTGGAAAATGATGTTGAACAAGTGCTTGCATATGTCGAGTATCGGCGTCAACGGGCAGCTATTGCAGACGACGATCTCGGCCAATGTGTAGGAGCTGCTGATTATGGTTATGAAGTAGCGGAACACGCAGAGAAACAAGACCGTCTGGTACAAACTCGAGAGATTTCGGGCCAGCTTGACCACGACGGCGTAATACGTCTTCAATTTCGTCACCTGCTCGTTGAAGCGGGCATTATTGTAATTGCGATAGATCGAGATATCTCGCGGCTGCTGCTGGTCCATAATGTTGTAGATCAGGCTGGGTTTTTCCTTCGAAAGTACGATTTTTCGACTGAAAAGCAAATTGAAGCGCTTCAGTAGAGAAAGTAAGCTACGATTGATGGCTTTGAATGCAGCGTGACAAACGCCAATAGTGGTGATGTAATGCATAGTCATGCCGTGCATCAACAGGTCCAGCATGTGGTCGCCGAAATCGTCAAAGTCCCAACTGCTCTGGTACAGGCAAAATGTCACGTGCATAACCACCTTGCTCAAGATCAGGACGAATGTTATCGAGTACAGAACAACGATCGCGTCCATCGAATTCGACGACTTTTTGTCCCTGTTCTTTTCGATACTGCCCGTCAAAATTCTGACGGCGTTCATCTGCTTTAGGACCTCTTGAATGGCTTCGTGCTTCCTGTAAAATGTCGTGAAAAAATCCACATAAGCTAGACTGATGAGTAAGTGTATGAAAACGTCCACCACTATTTTGAACTTGTATCCGTGTATGAGCGACATTTCGTAAACCGAATTGCATTGTGATGATATCAGAATCGACACGAAAACAACGCTATAAACTGCGCTGAATAGCGGCAGCTTCGTAGAGTAATAATGAAGGCAGCCAATCTTTTTTGAATTTTTGAAATCAATGTTGCCGGTCAGACCGAAAATCTTCAAGTAGTAAAAAGCGCATCGTTCGCGAATGTTCTTCGACATTCTTTTATTTTCTTGGCTCACTTGTAATAACTGAATAATCTTAAGCGTCTCACTGTTTCATGTTCGAGACCCATTTTGTTTATACCTTTCCATAGAATGCATAGAACTATCGATTAATGTGACTTTTAGGTATTCGCCAACGCGATTTCACAAGTACTATTGACAAGCAAAGCAGGTCAACTCATATCGATTAAATGAATCGAATTATCTCGTTAATCTACAACTTTCCCTGAGTATTTTTATTTGCAATACTAACGTCTACTCATGAATATGCTGATAAATCGACATTTCCATAAATAAATGTTCCCAAATTAAATATTTATCTTTCATTAAATGAAAATTGTAAACAAGCATTTGAGTTTTGACAATAAAATCACATGCTTATCCCCATTAATCGTATTTTCTATCAAATAAAGGGGCCAACTCTTTTGCCAATTAAGGAAGTACAAACAGAACTTGTAGCATAAATTGGTTTACATATTTGAAAACTAACCCAATTCTTGGGCAATTTTCCGACCTTATATAGCTTCAATTCTAAGGTTTGAGTCCTATAATTTCTTGTTTGTATTTGATGAAAAAATATTCCACTATCAATACTCAATATAAAAGTCAAATGAAAAATATTTAATCCAGCTCGTTCTTTTTTAAAGTGGAATAATTTATCATTATTATAACAACTGCACGTTAAAGTAGAACCAATAACTATTTTAGGAGGAAGCTTTTTTGCCGATATATTTGTTGCGGCTCTTTTATTTCTATTTATAATAAACACGGTTCACTCATAAACTTGATTAAAATGTTTCTTTTTTCGGTCACAATGACGTCGATTTGTAAATGTAATGTGTGAAAAAAAATGTTGGCCATTAAATTACGCACGTGTGCCACGATTAAGAAATACGAAAGCGTTTTTTCCTCATGAATTACATTATATATCTATCTATAAAAGTGAAGCTTTTCATGTTCGACAAGAGCTAAGCTTGAATAACCTGTTGAAAATGTGAACAATTTAATGAAACATTCGAGATATTCATTTCATAGACGTATTATTTTTTTGACAATGCAGCACCACGTTGAAAATTTAGCCGCTACAAATTTTTGAAATAAATGAATTTTTACTAATTCGTTTGAAAAAAATTTTTTCTGTTATACAGCAGCAATAATTCATTATACTATATTTCGAGGCACGCTCAATTAAAATTTTTGGAAATATAAATTATTAAAAAGCTTCTAGACAAAAAAATTTTAACTCGTTTTTAAGATACAGATCAGATTTATTTGTTTTTTTTTACATTACATTTAAAGAATTTTAAATAAATCTCTTTAACTCTATTTTTACGATGCGATCGGCCTTCGCCAGTCGCCACTCTATTAGTTGGGTTTTTCTCTATTTGCTTTTGAAATCATAAATACAGTAATGAATTGTTGGATATTTTAATCAATCTGAAATGAAAATTATTTTTTTGATATTTAATAAATCGAAACAATAACCAATGTGGTTCCTAATTTTCATCTCATTTTCGCAACCACCGAATAAAATCATTATTCCTTTAACATTGATTACCAACAATGAAAAAAAATGATGTCCCAACTGTTTGAAATAGTTTTTTTTTTAATTCGCAATAATTTGGCATTGCAATTTGCGCGCAAAATGTGCAAAAGTCGAGAACGCATGCGCTGTACAGCGGTGGTCGGCCGTCGGACCAGACTACCAGGAGCAGAATTCAGATATCTTATCATTAATCAGGACAGGATTCAGGTTGGAAAAAGGTTACAGGACTCCGAAGTCTTCACAGCTTTCTGAAATCGAGAGCCAGTAGTTATTGATAACCAACATTTTAACGATTAGGTAACAGGCTTTGAAAGTGAGAGTTATTGTGATTGGCACACACATTGGCACTGTGAGCGAAAGTGACGTTCAACGCTTGACTTCTAGGCTTAATTATCTACCTTATGGGTTTACCGTTGGCAATCAAAACTCGATCTGCCACTTGAGTTCGTATTTTTCGCAGAGATTTGACAAGTGATCAAGAGCAGATTGAGAAGGTTATACAAAAACAGCTTATTTTGCTCTCTGAGGATTACATTATTTCATCCAACGTGAATCTTCTTTCATCAAATTTTTGATAGTTGCTACTTTTTGCCGTTCGTACGATGCCTCACGATTTTAGTATTGTTGAATATTATTCGCAGCAAGGACGTTCCCGTTGTGGTTACTGTCAGAGTCCTAATACTAGCTACAGTCATGGTGAGTTATCAAAAAAAAAATTTCTAATTATCTTGTTTTTTAAGTTGGGACAAATTTCGTTTTATTCTATGAACAGAGACAAAATCCTATACGATATGAATACATATATTTGTAAAAAAGTTTGTGTTACTGTTATATTGACATATTGTTTAAAAAAGGAGAGAGATTATTGCATCTATTGTCATTATTATAATTATTAATTGATATTATAGGCATGACAACGGAAAGGCTCACTGTTCAGCAGTACCAGACTCTTATTGATAGAGGATGGAGACGAAGTGGTTATTATTGTTACAAACCTACAATGGATATAACATGCTGCCCACATTACACAATTCGGTAAGATAATACATAACAGCTTCCAAAACTATTCAACGATAACTTGACTATTAGTATATTTTTTAATGTAGATGTTCGGCACTAGAGTTTAAGATGTCAAGATCTCAAAAAAAAATTCTCAAACGTATGATTAAGTTTTTAAATGGTGAATTGTCTGTGGATGAACAAAAAACTAGTCAAAATACATGTGATCATGACATAGGTAATTTATAATTTATATAAAACATTTCATTAGAGTAATTTAAAATATAAAGTTACAATATTTTCAGTAAGATGCATGGATGTTCCAAATCAACTTGAAATTACAAAAGAGATAAAACCAAGTGCTTTAAATATGGAAATTGCTTCTTTATCAGAAGAAAATAGTTCTAGAATAAATTCTGCAGGCAATAATCCAGAGTTAAAAGTAAGCGTGGAAAATAAAGAATGTTTGGATTCCAAAACCATTAAGGAAGAAAGCTCTGAAATAAAACATGATTTAAAAAAAACATCTGTGTCAGAATCAGGCATGATTCTGCAAAGAAAAGCTAAGTTGATTAGGATAGAAAGAAAAAGAAATAAACTTTTAGCTCAAGGTAAAACAGAAGATGAGATCAAAGTCATAATGCTTCAAAAAAAAAATCAAAATGTTGGCAAAACTCTTGAAGATTATTTTAATGAGATTAGTAATTGTAAAAATAAATTAGAGGTAATTAGTTAAACATTATAATTAATATTTACAATTTTACATCCTCTTTACTCCTTAAAAAATCGGTAGATTGTTGAAGGAGAAAGGAAAAGACCTGATAAATTTTTGTTGAGTATTTATTTAATACTATAAATTTTACTAAATAAATGTTTTATTTTTTTTTTTCATTTCAAGTTGAAACTTGTTAGAACATCACCAAAAAGTGATGATTATAAAAATACTTCTAGAGAATCATTTGAGGTTTACAAAAAATATCAATCAATGATTCATGAAGACAAACTGTCAAAACTTACTTATGATAAGTATTCCAGATTCTTAGTCACATCTCCCTTAAGGGTAAATAATATAAATTTTATAACGATAAATATTTGGAGCAAAGTGGATGTTTATTTATCTAAATTGTACAGTTTGGTAATGATTAAATGTCAACTCATTTTCATTTCATTAATAAATTCTCAATACCAATAGATAAAGTTGGTTAAAAAAATGTCCAATGAGATGATAGATACACTTGATCAAAGTGCAGAAGTTTTCAAAAAGTATCAAATGGTAATTCATAGAGATGCAGAAAATGAATGTGATAAAAAATCGTATTTTGAATTTTTAATTAAAAGCCCACTCCAGGTACACTTTGCTCCATAATATCAGAGACTAAAATTGAAAATAGACTAATAATGCAAATAATTCTTAAGGACACAATGCCAGAAAATAATCTACCTCAGGGGTATGGATCATTTCATGAACAGTATTGGTACAATGGAAATTTAATTGCTGTAGCTGTTTTAGATATTTTGCCGTTTTGTATATCTAGTGTGTACTTTTTTTATGATCCAGCATATTCTTTTTTAACTTTAGGAACATTCAGGTAACCTAAGTATTTAATTATTAATTTCTTTAGTTACATCAATGTTAATCTAATTTAAGTTGATTATATGAATTTACAGCTCTCTAAGAGAAGTGTTGTTAACTCAACAGTTAAATAAGTATCAACCTAGTTTGAAATATTATTACATGGGGTACTACATACATTCATGTCCTAAAATGCGATACAAAGCCAAAATTAAACCAGCAAAACTTCTGTGTCCAGAGTCTTATACGTGGTGTGACATTGACAAATGTTTGCCAAAATTAGATGTTTCTAAATATAGCAGACTAAATGAAGATATAACTGTTAAAGATGAAGATGGCAATGCAACAGCAGACGAGGTAATTGTAAATTTAAAGATATTACTTTTATCAATGTGACATTGTAATTCAATCATTTTAACCAATTTTAGGTTTTAATATTGTGGAATAATAAAGTATTACCGTTTCATATATTTAAAGCTTTTTGTGCAGATCAAAGTACTGAAGGATATGTTGATGAATTTGCAAAATTAGTTGGTAAAACTTGTCTTAAAAAAATGCTGTATTGCATTCACTCCCGAAATTGAATGTTATTTGAAAAGTCATAACCATATAGAATTCGACCAGGGCACTGAAAGTATAACAAAAATGTGTGATAAGACGTATTTTATTAAAATTTTCAAATAACATATGCCTAAGAAAAAAAAATAACAAATTTGAAATTCGATTGTGCTAAAGTATTACTGAAACTAATGATCTCACACAACATACTTTCAAGATGCTACATTATCTTTTATCACCGAATTTGTACAACAATAATTGTTAGAAAATACATATTTGATTACTTTCAATATCACCCAATGCTTATCAGAACAATGATTTAGTTAATTTTTACTGTTGCTCTTGTTTAGAAATATCATATATTCAAAATTTTTAGACGATTGTAGAATTGATATAAAAAATTAAAGCTCTATTTTACAATAAATAGAACAAACAACAATTTAGATAGTTTAAAAAGTTATATTTTATAAAAAAAAGTAAATAAATGAAAAAAACTAATTTTTTTTTAACTAATGTGCATTTTATTTAGCCATCCAGTTGAAATGATCTAAATACCAATTTTCCTAACTATTTGTACAGTAATAATTTTAAAAAGGTACTTGATAATTTATCAACATTTATTTGACATTATCGATATCGATTTTAGTGAATTTACACGTTTCAATTACTTCTGTAAATTATGTAGTATTCTTTTAACGAGTGTGACTCGTTCTAAGCTTTTTCACCTGTCAATATTTTCGCTTTTTCATAATTGTATTATAAAAAAAAAGATTCCAGAACGTCATTGTATATAACCTTTTTCGAGAAAAAATTTATTTTGAATGGCTACTGGGAGTAATAAATTCGTTTTTATAATTAGATCCTATGAGAATGGTGAATAACGTCGAGAATGTAACTTTTCTAGTAATGGTTGTTTTTTAATGGTCCAAAGTAGAACATGGGACTAATACATTTTGACTTTTGAAGCTGGCTTTCTCTGGCTTACGAGATCTTTGATCGATTTAAACTATCCGAGGTTAACTATAGCTTATATAATATTAAAAAGTTCCTAACAACGACATATTTTACGCACAACAAAATGGCGTAATTTTTCTAAAAAATTTTGAATTTTCATGGAGCTCAAAATCGACATTTCGTGCAAAAATCCTGCGTGCTCTCTCGTTTATTTAAATGAACAGCAGCATGCATTTGAATTATAAAATATTTATCTCTTTGGTAAGTGCAGTCTGGCACAGAATAGAACTTGCTCGAGAGTCTGGATGAAAAATCATTAAGAATAAAGCACAATGGCGATGGCTCGGTCAAACGGCGGTAGAGACCTTTGCTTCGTCAGCTTTAACGGATGAGTCCGAGGGAACTTTGGCATCCTCACCGCCACCGGCGAGTCTCTTGTCGTTCCAGCTTTGAATTTCGCCGCTACCAAAGATGACGAAAATGACCATGGTTAGTATGCATACAGCTGCGCCGATCCAAAAGACGATTTGCCATTCCGATTCTAAATTCTAGATTAGAATCATGAATAAATATTATTATTAGGTGCAGTGAAAGAGACTAGGTAATAAAATGAATTAAAAAGTACCAGTACCTCTTTGGAGACGATACCTTCGACCATGGGTGGTCCGATAATACCACTCAATCCGCCGATCGTATTCATGATGCCGTAAAGAAATCCGGCGTAATTCGGCGATAAATCCTGATTATTGCTGAGATTCGAGATACTCGCCGCGCCGTTGAAGCCCAAGGCGAGCGCGAGCATGGCGACGAGGCCAATCTCGTTCATGCTACTGCCCACGTATCCAACGGCGATCAAGAACAAACCGGGAATCAGGTGAGCTGAAAGTAGCGAATTATTTGTTAGTATATACTTTCGGAGTAGCTTGTGTGACGTCTTGAGAAAACTCACAAAATATGGTTGCAAGCTTGCGAAAAGCCGTGGTCGAGAGGAACTGCTTTTTCTTGTTCAAGTCGCCGAACCAGCAGAAAAAGAATCCAAATACCATGCGTAAGGCCCAAGGCGCGGCCGTGGCGACACCACCCTTGGTTATCGACATTCCCAAGCTGTCCGTCATGTAGAGTATCAAAGAGAACGTGTAAAAGTACAGCAAGAACAAATTGCCAAAGTGACAGATGACGAGGGCGATGAAGGGCACCGAGGTGAATATGTCCTTCATGGGCGTCTCCTTGAGCGAGGGCTTGGTCGTCTGGACCGTCCCCGCCTGCGAGGCCACGATGTAGGTCTTCTCATCGTCGCTGATGCCGGGATGCTCGAGCGGCGAGTCGTAGGCCAGCATCCACCAGACGAGGCACCAGATCAGCAGCAGAAAGGACGGTATGTACCAGCCCCACTCCCAGCTGAGGTTCTCGGCTATGGCTCCGATCATCGGGTAGGAGAAGACGGTGCCGAAGGTGCCGCCGAGCAGGGACCACATGAAGAAGCCCTTCTCGGCGGGCGGAGCCCACCTGGCCACCAGAGCGTGGCAGGCCGGAAAGGTCATGCCCCCGGTGAGGCCGATGATTATGCGGCCGACGACCAGCAGTGACCAGTGGATGTTTATGAGGATCGGCGATATCAAGCTCACCACGACCGAAATTATCGACGACCAGAATATCGACGCTCGGGGTCCGAAGCGAATCGCTGCCATGCCACCGAGAAAATTGCCTACTACGTTGCCGTACGCGTACGAGGCGACCAGCTGACCTGTCAAATTAAATCGATCGTTGCGCTCGACTTTCTGAGCTTTGCGGGCTTCGTTAAAAAAATCGTCGCACCTCTGATAATTTTCCCCCTTTCCGCTCCGTAGTCGAATGGTTTGCCACTGGCAAAGTCCAGAATGGATCTGCCAGAGTCCGCATCTCGTTTTAGCCTGTCTAAATCGTCGAATGTGTCATTTCCCACGGACATGTTTCGCAGTTGGAAGTCATCGATCGATCGCTTCGATGATTTTGGAATATTTATCATCGCAGTCTGGAGGATCGGCATCTGTGTACGACACACGTACGACGTCCAGCAAGCCGTGAACATCATCAAGCACATGATCGCTCGCATCGGAATCCATTCTGTAATTCATGACGTTCATTCCATTCAAGTTCAATACAATGATCCGATTTTTTCGCTTTGTTTATTAAGTATTATTGTTTGTTGTGATTTTAATGCTTTGAGAATTCGTCGTGCGTTCGTGACTCTTTCGTTATTGGGCAACCAATACGAACGACGTATGACAATTTTTCCAACATCGTCGACTCCGATTTGGGACACTGCATCGACGGAAGAATTATTACTTTTTTTTTACTTCGAGATAGGTTAGATTTTTTTTATTTTGGGAGTGACATTGTTGTAGAAATGTTTACGCTAAAATTTCTATAGCTCTTACTTAAACCACCCCATATTTTGGGAGGCATGCTGGATATTGTTCTTGTATCAAGATCCAGAATAAACTTTTTTTTAATCAGAAAAAAACAAACTTGCGAAAAAACTAGTAGGAAAACTTTTTATTGCTATGCCAACAGATTTTCGACCAAATTTAATTGTACACGCACTTGACGAAGAAAATGATTGTATTCAGTATCATTTGTTACACTTGATAAACCTTGGGCTTAAGCAGGTGTAACAACCAATATCAGAGTTTGAACATTTTTAGCATGAACATTTTCATTAACTTATATTTGTCATTGACATAGTTCGAAGATTAAATGAGATAAAAAAAAAGAAGAAATCTCATTGTTTTATAAAAGAAAAGTTTCCCTTGACACAAATTAAGAAAAATATATATGAACGATTCTCACTAAGCGTTAAAATTTAAAAAATTGCTATATACATCGAAATTAAAGTCTTTATCAGGATCAAGGGGCATGTATTTTATTGATACATGCAATTGAATCCCGCATGTATGCTGCGCCACTCGCTAAGAAAATATGGTTTTTTTAATGTTACACCCGTAAAATTATTCGGATGTTCCTAAAACCATTTGCCATTTTTAATATCGATGGTACTCAATCTAAAAATGCGTATCTTATACCCTAATTTTTATTTCAATAGCGGGGAAACGCTTAAGAAAATCGAGTAAAAAATTATAATTGCAGTAAATTCGTTGAATGTTATCAAATTCGATTCAAAGCATAATTTTAACAATAAATGAACTAGTTTATTGTTTAAACAGCAATAATTATTGTTTAAACAATGTTGTTTAAATATTTAAATATTATTATTATGTTACGTTTATTTTATTGTTAATATTATTATGTTTTGTTATGTTTATTGTAATACATTTTTCATGAATTTTGAGAAAAAAAATTGCGGAAAAAACTATAATATTAATGTTTTCTAAGTTACATAAAAAACCGAAATAAGTTCATCGTGCATTTCATTTAATAAAGGTTTTTTTAAAATGAGTGGCAACAATTTTTTATTGATTTATGCCCCTGAATGTTAGAAAAAAATGATTCAAATTAAAAATGATTTATGTTTTTAATTGTATAATAATTAAATTTTTGAGCTCTAAAATTAAGCACTTAACGATAGAGCGACTTTCACATTTTTGGATGTGACCATTTCGTTGAAAAATCCAAAAATTGCTCCAAAAATTCTGAAAAAATTTAGGGATATTCCTTGAACAATTCTAAACACTTTTTATGAAGACAATTTTTTCACTAGGTGCATCCTTGTCATATAAAATTCACTTCAAAATTGACAGCTTTTGAGGGGTTGTTTTTTAATAAAGCTTTTTCAAAAATGAGTGGCAACATTACTTTATTGATTTATACACCAGAATGTTAAAAAAAAAACGTTTTTCATGGGTGTAGTGCAATAAAAGAATCATTATGATTTTATACTTCAATTTTTAACGCTTATTGAGAATCGTTCATATACGCGTTTAGAAAAAAAGCGTAATTATAACATTTGATAATTATGATGAAAGATGTTAAACTTAATTGAGGATTAATAAATGATTTCATTTTTTTATACACTATCACAGGAATTATGGTGCAAGATCAATTGTAAAGAACCGCTTACATTTTGTTAAGTTAACGATAGCGTTCGAAAAAAATATTGTGCGAACTTCATCATCCCATGAAAAATAAAACTCAATCACTTTTTAATGAGAGAATAGTATAAGACAATTAATGCACAGACAAAAAACTTACTTGTTTGAGGATCTCGAAACTTTGAGAAAAATTTCATCTCTCGAAAATTATCACTAATTAAATTACCCGAGAAAACTGACTCGAAGCTTATTGCTGTGACAGTGTTAATGAATGTTGGATTCGGCAAAGCACCAAGTACAAGTTTCAATATTCTTTCGATCTTCCTCCTTCCCACTCTTTTCTTTATTGTTCTTCCACCGCCTCAGCGGAAATAATTTGTCGCACTTATTAGATACTAGTATAGATTATCAAATAAATTACATATTATCTGATGATATCAAAAAAAAAAAAAAAAAAATGTAGTAGAAGAAAAGATGTAATATTTCGTCGGTGAAAAGAAAAAGGTCGATTTTTATGTTTACACTATTGTGACGTCAAGAGTGAAATGATGTAGCTTAATCCAACATCTGTTTTATGTTCAAAAAATTTCAATGTTAAAGACCCTCTAAAGCAAGGCTCAATCAAATTTACCTTTTTAAGATGTTTCATACCCTTTTATTGTTTCATTTTTTCTTATAATAATTCTTGGTGAAAAAATAAAAAATGTATCCAATAAAAAAATTGTATTAAAAGTCAAATAAACTTAAAAAAAAAATAAAACTTGAAAATTTGTTGGATATTATTTGAATGGAATATCAATGTTTAAATACGTTTGCTTAACGTGATCAACAAATCGAGTGAGGGCGCTTTGCAAATTCGACGCGTGGAGGTGTGTCAATTTCACTGAATGATTAATTACTATGTCGACCACACGTTTTGGCTGTTTTTCTTTCAATAAAAATAATAAACGTATGAGCTTAATTAACGCTTGGCTGAAATAACCGATAGATTTTTAAATAAAAAAGTTTTCAGAGACGATATTAGGCGAATAAAAACATTTTGCACCTATGTAGCGAAAAAAAAGTCTCAGAGCACGTGATTATCAACCTCGGCTTCGCCTCGGATGATAAATTACACGTGCTCTGAGACTTTCCAGTTTTTCACTCCCTAGGTGTAAAATATACTTATTTTTAACTTTTTTTAACTTGAAATAATTTTTTCATAAACCACGCCAATACCATTGATGAAATCAAAGTTTAACATGAAAATTTATAAAATTATGAATTTACTCAAACTTTATTATCAAATTATAGAAAAAATAAAGATTTATTTTATGGAAATATTTTATTATTATTTTAATCTTTACAACTTTTTATTATACTTATTTTTATCTTTAGAGAAAAAATTAATTCATTCTGCAGTCTGCACAATGAAAAATTATCGGATGAATTTGAACCATCATTGGTTACAGTACAGATTATTCATTTTATCAAAAGATTCTAAATAGATACATAATGTACACAAAAAAAGAAAGTTTTTGAATGAGAAAAAATTTGAATGATAATTTCTCATATCTTGAAGGTTGAATTTATCAAATACTATCTTTAAATATTCAGATCTTTACAAACTCTCAAAAGCACTATGATATTAGTCATATGATAAATTTTCCAGAATTATGTTTACGATGTGTTTACATGTTTATAATTTAAAGCTAAATACGCCGTTCATTCAATATTTTTGTATTCTTTTCAATTATTCGAAAAAACTTCAACTTCTTGTGCTACATTGACCATCGAGATAAACATGGAAAATTTCATACCAATTATGTGTCCCGATCTTAATATCACCTTTTTTGACATAAAATTCTCAAGTTGAAATCCTTTCTTTCATTGCTTGTGGCATCTAGAAGCTCATAATTTTACAGAATCAATATTCATCATAAAACTAAACGTAATTTGTGAATATAGTTCCCGAATTCCATTTTTACTTTAATAATTTCAAGGTTTTAAAACAATTTAACTAATAAATATCGCTAACATTGAAAAATATTTCATTTTATTTGAATTCTAAAGTTAGCAGAGATCTGGAGTATGAAAAATATATAATCTTGTGCACTGAACTTAATATGACATAAATGTTGAAGTTATCAAAATTATTTAGAATTATATTAGTAGGAAATAATATCGATTAATCACACTATAGAATAACCGCAGTTGAATAAAAATTATAAGAATTGAATTGAAGTAATTTTAGTACATCACGAGTGTATAGCTTGATTCATAAGGTACCTTTTCGTTGTTATTCCATTTCAATTGTAGATTTTCATAGCCTACGTATCATTACAATGAGAAGTTATAAAATACTTTTTACTCTTTCATTTTACCTAATATCATAAAGAAATACGACAAATTATTTCCACACGAATTTCATCCTAGATTTCCCAGTACAACCAAATTTTAAAAATTTTTTCTCGAAACAATCGTAAGCGTAAAAAATTAATTCATATCGCTGGTCCTTTTTTTTCTGATGATCAATATAATTGTTCATTGATTGAACATTACTCTATTAATTCTTTTAGCAAGCACATAAAACTGAAGCACACGATCACTGACAGTCTTCAACTGCAGAAGCGCGCAACTGTCAAAGAAGCGTGGAGCCGCAACAAGTGGACGCGAGAAGACTTCGTAGCTGATGTTGCATGCTGCGCTCACACAGCAGCTGTTCTGCAAATTTATTTCTGCATTATGGATGTGCAACCGGCATTAAATAATCGTCGTCGATGACACGAACGAATGTATCCTAGAGCGGCCGGAAAAGTCTTGCGGAAAAAACAAGAAAATGTGAAATATCGTTGGCGTTCCGCTGCTCGTTATAACAGAATCAGCGAGTAAAAAGCCAATTGTCATTGCATCGTAGCGCAATTGTCTTGTTTTTTGAGAAACGATGTATTTGTTGGTATCCGGTGCAATGTTCGCTTGCTCCAATGCTTTAGTTTCTAATTGCAAATTATTGTTATTATTTTTTTTCTTTTTTATTCAAAATTCTAGTTTCAATACGTCCTTGATCCTTTATTATATTAAAGTACATACTAAAAAAGTCCGACTTTTCCCAAAATGTTGTCAAAAAGATTTTCCCAAAAAAGTAGATTGATTCTAAATTTTACTCTTGAATGTTATAGCGAACCACTTCGTCTAAAAACCAATAGTTTTTTATCTACATTAAAATTTTTTCAAACGTCTATAGCAAGCAAAACCTTTCAGGAGCGCCTTGTCTTTTCGAAAACTGCTTTAAAAAAAAGAGTTATTGCTATCCATCATCACAGAAAAATCATTGGGCAGGAACAGTAACAAGGAATATACAACAGATTTACATGATATTCTAATGAAAATCTTTGATGCATGGACTTCATAATGTCAAATTTCACTTCAGTGTCTGGAAAATCAAATAAATTTTGTGAAAAAAATTATCGCTGAAAAAGAATTTATATCTGTTACCGGCAAAACCCGATTTTAGGTAAAACCTGGTTTTGCCTAGGCCAAAGCCATATTGCCCAACCTACTTTAAGCATTTTTGGAAAAACAGAAATATCAGTGTCATTAGTGAATAATTTTTCACGTTAAATTTATTGGTTAACGAAAAAAACTAATTTCTATATTAGCTATTGCCAGTGGGTCATGAGCTTAGAACTAAAAAGGATTACAAACGTTCATTTATTGCAACATCTGGTGCTACTATGTCACTTTGAATTGCATAACAATCCTTTTTTTTTTACATAAACAAATTTTGGCCTTAAAATATGTTTTACAACTATATTGAAAATAGCTTTGGCCTCCTGAACGTGATTGCTAGCATTGAAATTAGTTTTTTTCATTAAATAATAAATTTAACATGAAAATTTTTAAAATGGGCCAGACAATACGGGGTTTGGTTAAAAATGTTAGGAAATTCCTATAAATTAGAAGGTAACTCGGGTATTGCCTAGACTATATCAGGTTTTACCTAAAAAGAAATGTTGGATCTTCAGAGCTTGCAATAAAATATGCAAAATCGATATTAATCAGTTTTATAATGGTCCTTCTATATGAGACTTATAACTGTGCCGTCAAAAATGTGCAACAATGCAAAAAATCAATTGAATCGAATTGATATGGATTTATCGAAATTAATTCAACAAGCCAAGAAACAAAAATTTTAGGTAAGCAGCTGAGATTTTAACGTTAATCACAGTAATAGAAACGGCGCCATCGTATAAACTTTCGATCGGTCGAATCTAACAGAACCAACACACAAACAGTTTATAACGATGAATGGCCCTAATTCACCGTAGACATTTAGCTAGAAATAATAACAAGGAATTTCTGCCCGGATCAGTTGCCTTTATCACCTTTGCGGGTAGATCAGGTGTATCTTTTAAATAGCAAGCAATTGCCGAAGTAGCACCGATTGCAAAAAAAACTTGTTCAACTTGCAAACCGACGAGCGATCGAACAATTCACAAAATGGGCGAATCGTACGCAAGCAACTATACTGGACTGACGAATTACGAAACTGTGAGCATCGGAGAATATACGGATCTCGTGGTCACAGAAATTACTGATACCAAAAATGATAACAAGGTGGTGAATTGATTTTTCTCTTACATATTAATTGTTAACAAGAGCTTCTGCGGTAGATACTGATTTTCGTTTGATTTTCGGTGCTGTATATTTCAAAAATATAAGTCTAAAGTATAAAACAAAAAACACTGACTGTACCCGAAGTACGATTTGCTATTTTAAAATGATATTCTAGTCTAAAGTCGAACAGTATTATTTATCAGTATTATTTAGTGAGTTGAAATTAATTTTTACATTACTCAAATGAGTTATTGAAAATGTAGCTTTGCGAAAAATGTAACACTATAACCAAATCAACGTTTCATTATCTTTTTCAGAGAGAACGACAGAGGTTCGAAGAATCGCAGATATCGATCGGACTGCAGAGCCAACTAGTTAGTTCGATAGTCTGTAAAAATGCGACAGAGATGTAATAAAACGAGTGAAAATTTGTTACAGGAGTACAAAACGAGCTCGAACGGGGACAAGTCGGAGCTCCTCGACAAGTCGCCAACGGAGCTGTACGCGATGCTGTTCAAGTTCGGCTTGGCAAACAATCTCGCCTGGCAAAGCCTGCACAACTTGATCGGATTCCTGAGCAAGCTGTTCCGCAAGCCGATAATGGACGAGGAGGAAGTGGCGGCGTTGGACAATCGCGACATCGAGATCCACGCGCTCTGCAAGTTCTGCCAGGCGCACCTGGGCGAGTACACGGAGGCCGTCGAGCAGTACGGGAAGTGTCCCCGCTGCCACGAGGCCATCGCCGAGGACTCGAATCCCAGTACGGACAACATGTTCATCCTGATGGACCCGACGGAGCGGATAAAGCAGCTGCTGGGCGCGTTCGCGGCCCACTTGGACGAGGTGAGCCGGGAGGCGCGCGAGAACCGCTTCGAGGACGGCCAGCGGGACTCGGTGTACGACGGCTCGCAGTACCGCTGGTTGCGCCGGGTCATCCGCGATCCCGACTACCTGACGGCGGTGCTGCACGCGAGCGAGACTCCCCTCGAGCGGATCGGCCAGAGCGACGTCTGGCCGCTCTACCTCGCGCTGAACGAGCTGCCGCCGGAGGAGCCATCGCAGCGGGTCCTCTGCTGCGGCCTGTGGATCAGCCAGAAGCCGCTCGATCTGCACTTGTTCCAGCGCAAATTCCTCGAGTGCGTGGAGCACCTGTCCAAGACGGGCCTGAGCATCGAGATCGAGGGCCAACGGCGCCGTCTGCGGCTCCACGTGGTGTCGTGCGTCGTGGACTCGCGGACGCACAGCCGCCTGCTGGACTCGGCCGAGCTCTCCGAGCTGCCCTACTTCGACATGGACAAGAGCTTCGTGCCGGACGCGCTCGAGTGCATCTCGGCGGTCGCCTCGCACATGTTCCACACGTACATGCGTCTGCTGGAGCCGGCGCAGGTCAGATACGCGAACACGAAGCTGCGGGCCCTGCTGCCCCCCTCGCAGAGCCTCGACTGGACGCCGCGCTTCTGGGAGAAGTTCGTGCTGTACTACAGCGTGCCGATCTTCGCGGACCTGCTCGACGGGCCCCAACTCAGTCACTGGATGCACTTCGTGTCCGGCGTGTACTTGCTGCTGAAGGACCAGACGAAGCTCCACGAGCTCGACCGGGCCGAGGCGCACTTGGAGCAGTTCGTCTCCCAGATGAGAAGTATGTACGGGCAGCGGAGCATCGGTCCGCAGGTGGATTCGCTGCTGCAGCTGGCCAACGCGGCCAATCGCTGGGGACCGCTGCGCCTGCTCTCGAGCTGGTGCTTCCAGCCGGCCAAGCGGGCCACCCTCGAGGCCCTGCGCAGCGCCCGCGGCCACCCGCCCAACTTCTTCGACTTGGCCAAGATGAGCTGCTTCTCGCTCGGTCTGGAAGCCCGCGCGCGCGACCCCCTCGCCGAGCCGTTGAGGGAGTCGAGATACAGCTCCAGCCGGACCGGGGCCGTGTACTTCGAGGCGGAGGCGATCAAGCTGCCGATGACGGGCCTCGGCCTCGGCGAAAACCTCGTGGCCTACCGAAAGATGCTCAAGGCCGGCTACCGCTTCGAGGCGCTCGACGAATCCAACTTCACGAGCTGCTTGGACAAGTCGTACGCCCTGCTGGCCGACAACACCTGCGTCCGGATCTATCAGTTCGTCGTTGACCTGGACAGCGAAGCCGAGCTGGTCGTTTGCCAGCGCATCCAGCTGCGCAGCTTCTCCAACGACAATCCCGATGTCAGGATTTACCTGCTCGACTGCGACTATCCGATCAGCTATACGGTCATCTACGCCGAGGATCTGGCAAAAGTCTGCGACATCGTCCACGACGATAACGACATGTACATCTGTCCGCCGCCCTACGCACCCTACGATTGACCTGCACATCACCTTCGACTCTATTAATTCACGTTTGCATCGTCATCCATTGTGCACGTGTACATGATTTTAACGATGAAGCAAGATGATTTGTAGGCAGGTAACGGAACGTTCTACCTGTTCAACTTTTAATTTTTATATATTGCAACATGACTCGGCAATGAACCGGACGAATCTGTATATTTGTATTTTTGTATGTAATTACGAAAAATAAATTGATGCTCGTGGAGGAGAAGCCCCTCCACATCTCCTTATCTCGTTTCTCCGTCTCTCTTTCTCATCTTTCTCGCCTTTCTTTCTTTCTCTCTTTCTTCCTCGATCGCGAACAGCCGCAGATAACGATGACAAAATTGCAGTGCATCGGATCCTCTTGGGCTTAATTGATAGGAGTCGTATCGAGGCTCGGTCGCGATCGATCTCATCGCGATTTTCAACTGCATCGCGCGCGAACAAATAATAAAAAAAAACAAAAGCAAATGTCATTGTCAGGCTGGACAGGCTCGAATCTGCGTACTGCGCTGCAACGTCAGTTGTTCCGTCCCCGGCGACAAGTGCAACAGCAGCAGCAGCAGCAGCAGCAGAAGGTCGTTGCGCGTCAATTACTCTGCAACGCAGCCGAGCACGTAATAATTCGCCGAGCAGCGACTAGTAGTGGCAGTAGTTTTAGTGCCGCTCGCGAGATCGACGTGAAAATGACAGACACCGACGGTGACAATGTCCTGGCCGAGGCTCTCAGGGATCAGGTAAACTCCAATTTCTCGCTTCCTTTTACATCGAAAACTGCGACTGCTCACTACTTGATCTTTGCAATTTCTGCTGCAAAACTTTTTCGAGGTTAATCAGACATCTGTAATTATATCATCGATTGCGAACAGAAAATCTTAAAACGATCGCGCCTGTACATAGCGAATAATCGCACGCGAAGCTCGACGCGAGAGATACGACGATAATTTATTCTCGCGTACTTACACGAAAACAAGTTTTTGTTTGCAGACGAGCGCAATGATAAAATTAACGTGACAGTCGATCGTTCGACTCGGCTTTTTACCAAGTCACGGCGTGGCGCTAAATTCAAACGTGCGAAATTGTCGATATACGTACTTGGTGCGATGCGATTGGCCGTGCAGGTGGTTCTTCTGTTGGACTCGATCAGCGGGATCGTTTCGTCGAAATCCATCTCGTACTAGCAGCCTCTGCGATCGAATCGACGCTACTCGAGCTCAAAACTTTCGCGTGAATTATTGCTCGCTTATCAATTATTTAACTTTGTTCGCATGAACGGCGATTGTCGCTATCGTTGATTCTTCTTTTTTCTTCTTTTCTCAACTTGGCACTTATTATACCGCGCGCACAAATTACATTATTATCGACGATGAAGCCTAATCTCCCCCTATGTCTGTGTCCCTCGGTCGTGCGAAATTCTCCTGACACTCGATACTTGCACTCGCGACTGTCCTCGAGTTTTGACACCAAAGCTCTGTATAAAACCGATGAAAGATGCAAAGAACGAGGCGCTTGAGTATTAATTTTGAGCATTTTTACGCGATGTGCGACGACAGGGACTGCAATACGTATTCGGCATCATGGGCCATCCGGTGATCGAGCTGTCGCTGGCCCTGCAAGCCGCTGGTTTGCGCTACCTCGGCTTTCGCAACGAACAGGCCGCTTGTTACGCCGCTCAAGCCTATGGCTACCTTACCAGTGAGTACTTGCAGACCATTGCGCAGTACATCAGAGATGTTGATTTGAATGTTTGCCGACTGACTTCTTTATTTAAAGGAAAACCTGCAGCTGTGTTGTGCGTATCGGGACCAGGAGTACTTCACGCGATCGGGGGCATGGCCAACGCTCAAGTCAATTGCTGGTAAATTTTTCAACCATCGCAACTATCTCTAATATATCGGTTATAACGCAATTCGTTCGATAGGCCAGTTTTGGTCTTGGGTGGCTCCTGTCCCCAAGACCACGAGGGCATCGGAGGCTTTCAGGAATGGTCGCAAGTCGAAGCGGCCCGACCCTACTGCAAATACTCGGCGCGACCGCCCTCGGCTGCTCTCATACCCTTGCACGTCGAGAAAGCCGTGAGACTCGCTACTTATGGCAGACCAGGTACTACTTATACTTGCAGCGATTTTTCTTCGCTGGCTGGCAAATTTAAGTCATGTAGCTATTTTTTATTCGTAGGTGCGGCTTACTTGGATTTGCCGGCGACTTTGTTGAAGCAGAAAGTGGACTCGTCCAGGGTGGTCCGAGTGAAGCCCGTGCCGGAGCCACCCCTCGCCTATCCGGACGCGAGCCTCATCGAGCAAGCCGCCGATCTCATCCGGAACGCCGAGAAGCCGCTGCTGATCGTCGGCAAGGGGGCGGCTTACGCTCGGGCCGAGTCGGCGGTTCGCGAGCTCGTCTCCGACACCGGCATCCCCTTTCTGCCGACGCCCATGGGCAAGGGCGTCGTGCCCGACACCGACGTCAACTGCGTCGCGAGCGCCAGATCCTCGGCGCTGCTGCAGAGCGACGTCGTCGTGCTGCTCGGGGCCCGGCTCAACTGGATGCTGCACTTCGGCAAACCGCCCAGGTACAGGCCCGACGTCAAGTTCGTCCAGGTGGATCTCTGCGCCGAGGAGCTGCACAACTCCGTTCAGGCCAGCGTGGCCATACAAGCCGACGTTGGCCCGGCTGCCCGACTTCTCGCCAAGGCTTTGAGAGACAGGCGTTTCAAGCTTTCCAAAAATCATGCTTGGTGGAACGAACTCAACGCAAAAGGAAATAAAAATAAACAAATACTAAACGTGAGCAACTTTTCAAATTACCTTTGTCGTGTGAACAAGTTCTTTGAATTTTTACAACATGGCTTGTGGTTTGTAGGAAATGAGCAAAGATGTCAGTGAGCCACTGAATTATTATGCAGTGTTCAAAACCATACAAGACTTCATTCCAGACAGTAAGATTTTCAAAATATCAATGACAAATCATTATTGTTCATTTATCATATTTGTTACTATCTTGCAGATTGTTTGATTTGTTCTGAAGGAGCAAACACAATGGACATTGGTAGAACAATGCTGCTGAATAATCTTCCCAGGCATAGATTGGACGCTGGTACCTTTGGTACTATGGGAGTAGGATTAGGCTACTCAATAGCTGCTGCGCTTTATTGCAAAGATAATCATCCAGAAAAAAGAGTATTATGTGTAGAAGGCGACAGCGCATTTGGATTTTCAGGCATGGAATTGGAAACTATGTTCAGATATAACTTACCAATAATTCTCATAGTTGTTAACAATAATGGCATTTACGGTGGATTTGATATTGAAACTTACAATACCATTAGATCAGCTGGCGATGCATCAGATGTGTAAGTCATTAATATTTTTTCTTTTTTTGTTACTTAACAAAATCAGGCTAAATTTTGATATAAAATTTAAATATTATTATAGAACACCGCCTAATACTCTTACACCAAATTCCCAATATGATAAAATGATGGAGATGTTTGGCAAAAGAGGACACTTTTGTAAAACTATTGAAGATATTAAGACTGCTTTGAAAGCTAGCTTTAAGGTATTAATAATACTGTGAGCTTGAGCTCCTTTTTCATGAATTGTTTTTAATATATAAAATTGTTTTTAAGGTTCAAGATGGTCCTTCATTAATAAATATTATGATTAATCCACAAGCAGATCGCAAAGAACAAGCTTTTAGTTGGTTAACAGAATCCAAACTGTGATATAATAAAAAAATAAATTTTATTTCTTATGGTGCCACGGATGAATACATTTTTATAAAGGTTTTATAGTTATCACTTTTTTGTAAAGTTTGTTTATACAAAATATATAAAAAAAATAAAAAAAATAAGCTACAAGGTTTATATCAATTTCTTTCATCGATTTTGTAAGCTTTTAATTGTTTGCGTAAGTTTTTCATTAATTTCAGAGAACTCAGAATCAATTGACTTCTGATTTTTATCATTTAACTTTTCATTATCTTCATTAAAATTTTCTGGTAAGGCATCTAAATCCACTCCTATTTCCTTTGCTGCTACCAACAATTTGCTATTCATCATCTTGATAGATTTTGGCAATGCTGAACCATCATCACTGAAAATGGCCCCAACCGATGCTATTTCAGTTTTTCTAAGAACAAAAAAAATGTTGGTAAAAATTGAATGTAAAAAAAATATAGAAAATACCAATAGATTTTTTCACTTACAGTTTCATCAAATCATCATTTATTGCAAGTAAAAGTTTTTGAACTTGAACATTCATGTCGTCGTTGCTTTTAGTCCCAGGCATTTTTGTGGTTTGAAAATTCTACGCACAGTCAATAACGTTTTCACTTGAAAAACACTGGACTTTAAACTACAAGAAAACAAGTTTGTGATTGTTCGAAGCAGAATTGAGTATCTGACAACTATAGTTGGTTGCGTGACACGTGTTGTCTAAATTGAACTCTTCATTAAAACGTGTAGAGGTCGCTTGGGTACATACACATAAATGACAGTCACCCGCGAAGTTTTCAAGATGTGACAAGTGTCTATGGTTACACTCTACTTGCATTCGAAACAGCAATCGATCGTAAGATTTTAACTTTTTCTAATTGATATGAGAGCGTACGCAAACTTGATATATGGGTTATAAAAGAGTTGATGGTTTAAAAAATGTGAACCTACAAAGCCTCAAAGTTGATTTATTATAGCTGCCTGGTAGATTCTCTCTATAGATTAAAATCTACTTATTCCATCTTAGATAATAAGTAAAATAATATTTATTAATTAAAATATGATACAGGTAAATTACATTTATTAGAAGGAAATATTGTATTTTTATCATATGTTATTTATTTATACGATATGTACAAAAAATAAAGCTGGAGAAAAGTGAAAGAGTACCACAAATCATTATAAATAATTATGATGATTATTCACACATTCTAAATGCACTTGTATACAATTGTCTGCTTTCTCACAAGTTAAATATTAATGAATCACAGTTGAACTATGATAGTAAGAGTTTTGTAATTCCATTGAATTATTTGTGCTTTTTGAGTTTTTCACTCAACTTTGGATTTTGTGTCATCTTTAAAGTGCAAGAAAACAATAGAAAAGAGAAACACTCCAAACATCATAGAAAAGGCACTGATGTAGTATGGATATGCGCTTGGGATAAAACGCTCATATTGAGTGTGCTGTAATGGCCTAACTGATACTTGTGTTGTACTGTATAAGTGTGTAAGACCTATACGAGTGTAATCAACCTTAAATTGATATACTCCATAAACATCAGGAATTTTGAATCTGGCTTCATAACGTCCATTAGCTACATGTTTCATGGTCTGCCTAACAAATGGATCTATTCGCACAAATTCCAATTGCAAGTCCTCAGCAACGAATGGTACCCATTTATCTCCAGAAAGTTGTTCCACATTTATTGAATATACAACATCATCCATAATTGTGTATGCTACAGGAGGCTCAGCTTCTCCTTTTTTATGATGGTGCACAAACGATACTCTAATGACTCCATTTTCTTTGAAAACCCACCTAGCAATAGCTTCAGCAACAGCTTGATTTCCAGACACTTCATGTTTATTTCCACCTTAAATAATACATAGTTTTAATAATACAGAAATATCAAAGTAAAAATGAGCAATTAGCAGTTATTTACCTTGAACTTTGTGAACAGGACTAGTAAATGCTTCATCACTGAAGAAGTATAAGGAACCAGAAAATACAACTCTAGCATTATTTCTTGCTTGTAAAGCAGCAATAAGTAAAGTATTTTTCCCAACTGCATGTGGATAATCCTTAACAGGCTTGTCAGGATGATAAGAGTAAGCAGAACTTGAAGCAGTAAGTAACTTTAAAACTAAAGGATTTTCTGGATCAGCAATGAGTCCAGTTCCTTGATACAATAGAGGAGATACTTTTCTGTCTCCAACAATCACAGGAGCATCAATTAGTTGGGATGGTTCAGCAACAATTTTGGTATGACGACCATAATCAGATACATCGTAGTTCATGTGATCTATAACACTAGTACCTACTTCGTCAATTTCAAAACCACTTTCAGAAGCTAAATCTCTAAGAGCATCACCAGTTTGTGAAGACCCAGCCACTAGCACGTTACCGCCTCCATCTATAAAATCTGTAATTGTTTCAACACTCATACTACCCCCAAATTCTTCCACAGTTGGAGCAAAAATTATCAGGTGATCATACAGATGTTCTCCATACTTTGATAAAACCAAGTTGGCATCATCAGCAAGTTTGAAAGTCAAGGTGTAGCCACTACCTTTAATCATAATTTTAAAAAAATGTTAGGATAGTTATCAGTACAAAAATAAATTATAATTGTTAACATATATTTTAATTTAGGATAATATTAAAAATTAAGTAAGACATGGTTAAACATAAATTTAATTCTGAGTAAAATTGAAATTAATTGAATGTTCCTCAGCTTAAAACCATATATCTACTGAAAATCGATAAAACTGCAATTGAATTGTTTGCTTCACTTAACATATTATTCATAGCTGTGTGCAGGCTAAGTCAACGTGACATCCGTATAAACAAAAGTATACGAGCGCTATGGGTCTTCTTAAGACTTTAAACGAAGCCACATTTTCGTTGGTTAAAATAGAGATGCATTTTAAACACCTAATATATATCAATAATAAGAGAGAAAAAAAGCATAAATCAATTGGTCTCGGACCTTGTAGCATCTTGAAAAATATCGAGTGCGTCTCCTTGATAGCCAGATTATCGAGAAGCACGAGGGTCGGGCCACCGGCTTGGGTCATCGCGATCAGCAGACCCACCAGAAGACATCCAAACATACCCTTAGCCGACTTCATCTTGAACTACTGAAAGAAACTTTCGAGATGAGTAGCAAAATTTTTCGACGACCGGCTCGAGGAACAAGAAAAGTCAACGGCTCTCGCAAAATTTGTTGTATGTTTGCGAAGACACCGGCTGCCGCGAATCACTGTATTTTCTTGCAGACGCGACGCAGCTTATTCTGCCACGAAGCCGCACACGACTGGTGCGCCAGATACCACGAGCAGCAGCTCGATCTGCAATTTCTGCTTGGTCGCAATCGTTATTCGTTACCCAAACGACCCGCTCTATTTAAATGCATTGAGACTCTCTGCCCTTATCGTTTTGAGAAAATTTGTCGTCCTACTTTTCATATAGGTCTTTTAAAACTGTTTGGAACATCGTTTGACATTAATGCAACTAACACTTTATTTGGACATTCGAATGTAAACCATATGCTATTCAAATTTCCAAATAGGTAAGCAATTATTTTATTGGCATGTCGTAAGCGATTATTGCGTCTAAAGTCCTATATCAAGAGACTCCCGATACCAAAATATAAACCACTCATAAACTCTCAAGCATCGCTGCTACTGCTGCCATCACTTGCAGGCTACAGTTCAAATGAAATTTTATCTTTTCTCGATAGGCGCAAATGTATAACAAATGAATTTAAGTTGAAAAGCTAATGGAAAACTAATGTACTAGATAAAGCCGAGTATTCTTTATCAGTAGTTAAAATCAATATTTTAAGATCAATGGTCTAAAAATAATAGGAGCAATTATTTACAATTATGTTTAAAAAAAAATTGAAAAAATTTGATTTTTACGAATAATTTAATTAACAAAATTACATATTCTTTTCATGAATAAATGATTTTACGTCATATCTAGCATAATGTAATTTTTGATAAGAAAGATACTGCCATTTTTTGATAAGATTACTAAAATTATTTTTAATGACGTTAAAAATTTCATTTAAAATGTTGACTTATTGGTAAGTAGAAACCGACTGTGTCGATCAGAAAGATCGACCCAGAAGTTTGGCTAGTGGACATATTGCGTCGATCTTTTCACAACGCTTTTAAAGGCCTGAAAAGCAAAAAAAGAAGAAAATAATAATCATTCAACTGCGCGAGTGCGACGAATTCTGCGCTTATGTTTGTCTCCCCTTCCACTGTCGTACTCGAGCCACCTACTCTCTCTCTCTCTCTCTCCTTCTCTCTTTCTCGCATGTACGCACATCTCATGCCAGCTGCGCGCTTACTCCGTGTGACTTAGCCTATGCTGCGCTGGCACACAGTGTCATCGAAGGATCGACCTCGAAATCGTCTGTGTACATACATATCGCTGCTGCTACACTGACACTGGCTGCTGACTGCACATACATATCCGACACGTACGTGAAACGAGCATACATACACGCATACGCACACCTTTCGATCATCTGCGACGAAGGTTAACAAAGATCCAAACCCAGTGCATTCAGTGTCATAGGATACAGATTTTACTAAAATATCACCATGGAACAGAATGCAGAAACCTACGAGAGTGTCTTGCTGGTCAAGAGCGAAGTGTTTGTTTTCAAAATCCCACCAAGATCGACTAATCGTGGCTATCGGTAAGACATGTCTTTGTTTTTTATTGTGTCCTGTTGAGCTGTCATCGTTTTTTTCCTCTCGATGCTTCTTTATATATAGAATGTGTATGAATACTCTGCGCTCGACAGACTTCGTTGATGCAATGCTTCTATTTTATTACTAATCATGATTGTCTACTTTCGACACCTAAATTTTCATTTTTAACTTATAATTTATTTTACTGATCTTTTTCCCAAATTTTTAGAGCTGCAGATTGGAATTTGCAAGAGCCTTCATGGACTGGTAGAATGAGGCTAGTAACTAATGGTGATGCTGTTAGTATAAAGTTAGAAGATAAGGCCTCTGGTGCTCTTTTTGCCAAATGTCCTATAGAACAATATCCTGGTATAGCAGTAGAGCCAGTTACAGATTCTTCTAGGTATTTTGTTCTGAGAATACAAGATGACAATGGCAGGTCTGCCTTTATTGGCGTAGGGTTTTTAGACAGATCAGATAGTTTTGATCTCAATGTAGCTCTACAAGATCATTTTAAGTGGTTAAAAAATAGAGATCAGATAGAGGAAGAAAAGAAAACTCCTAAACCAGAACTGGATCTCAGGTTTAAAGAAGGAGAAACCATAAAAATAAACATGAAGATCACTGTAAGTTTGTACTTAATATTTTATTTTATTATCATGCAAACATTTCATCCTGTAGCCGCATCTATATATTTGCCACCAACCATAGAGCTTTCACTTCTTGATTACTGCTCTGTGATTGTGCCCTGACACAGATACTTTCTAATTCAAATGAACATGGTTGATCCTGCAAATAAGAACAATATTTTCAGTGACCATTTTAATAAAATTCATTCATTAGATTATCAAATATTTTTAAAAGAAAAATGAATAATTATTATTATAGCATTCATTTCTTTAATTTCTTTGTCTGTTTATTAAATTTTTGAATTAAAATAGCTATAGAAATTAATTAAATAAAGATCCAATAGTTTATATGAAAAAAAAAACAGTTAATTAACGTCAGAAGAAAGAATGGCATTGTGTTTTCATGTATCTTATCTTTGTGCTGAGATAAATGTCACTGTCGTAGTGACGATTATTTTAAATTATCAAAAATGATGCCTCAATTTTTCCGCAAAAAAAATTTAATTCAATTTATCAATACAGATTAGAAAAGTTTTGTTATTTTTATTTTGAAAATTGATAAACTTAGTAAGCTTAAAAAATTTTTGTATTTCTTTTAGAAAAAAGATGGAAGCGAAACATCATCAAAAGCAAAAAAATCATCTGGCTCCGGTGTACTTCCTCCTCCTCCTGGTGGAGTGAAAATAGCGCCACCGCCTGCCAGGACTCCTACCATGTCACCTGCACACAAGCCTACACAGAATCCACAAAATCACTCTGGAACAGGACCCGAGTGGGGAGAATTTGCCAGTGCATCACAACAGCAGCAACAAGCACCAGCAGCTCCAACTACAAATGCCAGCTGGGTACAGTTCTAATGATTGTTTCAATTATAATGAAATTATGTTTAGAAGCACAGTCTTTTATCACTGTATGTATTGTTTCTACATACAAACTTATGAATTCAAAAAAATCACTTATGTTCCAAACAAAATGTATAAAAGTGTATGAATCTGCTGTTAGGCAGAAAAATGTAATTTAAAACGATATAAATATTATGAGAAGAAAAACGAAGACAAAAACACATAAAATAATGATGCATGCATGGAATTATGAGATTGTCCTTATGTTGTTTTTAACTGTGGCATTTGTGTGTCGTTTTTCATTTATTTAAACAGGACGAGACAAATCATAAGTCTTTGCATTTAAAACATTTCTATTGACTTAAATCAAAGGATTTCCAACTTGAAATTTGTTTTCCTAGATTTTTTTAAAACTACAGTATTAGGTCAACGATCTTTTTTTTATTAAAGTATTCAGAAGTTAAAATTCTACTTTTCTCAGTGTATTCTGATTTTATTACGTGTACGGTTTTCGCGCATGTGCGCAAGTCGTCTTTGGATTTTGTAAATATTGTTGTATTTTCAGAGCAAAAAGTACCCATGAATATAAATAAAAAAAATTAATATAAGTAGCAAAAGTCTAGGCCTATGAAAAAATAATGAATTGAAAAGAAACTGCATACTAAAGTAAATGTTATAACACAAACGAGTAGAAAGCATGCTCATATTGTCGATAATTAAAATCATCCGAAATTGCGTTAAATCAAAACAAAAAAAATTCCAATCGCAAAAAGTGACAACATTAGGTAAATGGAAAAATAATCGGACGTTGTGAGTCATGACTCCGCTATAAATGCATATATACATATGTATATATATACATATATTGCTTCTTCGTGATGACTATACATTGTAAAATATTATAACAGAATGTTAGAAAAGAGTGCAAGTGAAAAAAATTGATGTTATATGAACCATAATTATTATAACTAGTGCGCCTAGATTAAATAAAAAATACTCGATATGTGCAAACACGAACGAACGTTCTCTACTTGTAAAATTTGTTGATAACATAGTTAATGTAATTATAAACCTCATTCCATACATTTATTCGTGCAAAAAAAGCATACCTCTCCTCAAAAGTTATCGATTATTTATCGCCTGTCTATGCTATATGTATAAAATATTAGCATTGTAAAACGAATGGCACGTGCGCAAAACAAAAATGTAACACATATGTTATAAGCCAGGGTCGAGTTATACAGCACATCTTAATCAATATAAACTATTCAAATAAAATAATTGAGCGAAAAAGAATTGACAAATTTGTTTTTTACTAAAATTTTTCATTATCGATGATGTACTTACTCATAGAGGAATTTGTCGCAACGATGGCAAGGATATGGGAAATGAAGCAGAGGTTCGTTTAAGTTGAAAAAAAGTTAATATGGTTTCGCACATTTTTATTTGAATGGCTTTTTACTCATCTTTCAGTCAACATTGTTTTATCATCAAAGTATTACAATAAATTTTCGCGCGGCGTGTGTTTGTATACCAACACATGTATGTATCATAATACGAAAAAACGAAAACAAGAAAAATTAATAATTAAAAACAACGAATCAAACGCGCTTGCATGAAATCCGGAATGCGCGCGTTCCACACGCTCATTAACGTACGAATACGTTTTGATATATATTTCATATACACCGTGCGTTAGTTATACAGTAGTAAAACGAATCGCGTTTATTTTATGATATATTATCATACTTTTCATTTTTATATTATGACTGTGTCACATTATATAAGTACTGAGAAGAAAAATCACAATTATATGGTATTCCGTTAATATATATTATACGTATTTCTGTACCATTGGCATTACATGCTTTTCATACGTTATGATATATAGTAACGCAGATCGCGCGAGATCTTGTCGTTTTGGTTTCTTTAACAGCTTCGTCGTAGTCGTTTTTTTAGTCGACATTTAATGACAATAATAATGACAATAATAATAATATTAATAATGGTTACTTTAAGTATATCGTGTGCGGTCACAGGTATCATGTTTCCTTTCCTTTTACAGAATAGGTCTATCACAATAATTTAAGAAGATTGGGGATACTAGTAGTATTCGGGCGAGGGAGGACTTGTCGTTATTGTTATTCTTATCGCGAACAATAATAACGTTTGCGGCTGCTGCTGCGGCGGCTCTCGATCAGCATCGCTTTCCGCGCGACACGTTGAATCGGAGACTCCGCATAGCCATGGCACGATTGAAGTGACGCTGGGACGGGGCCGTTGGGCCGCGCTGCAAATACTGCTGATGCTGCGGAATCGGCTGTGTTTGCGATTGGCTTTGGTGCTGTTGCTGATGGTGCTGATGATCCGGGGCGAGCGTCGAGTCGTCCTCGCACTCGACGTTGCTCAATACGACTAGTAGTACGCCGAGTACCTACGAGAATTTTTCAACAAAAGCCATGAGTTATATTCTTGCTGTACAACAATGAATCCGACTCTCCATAAGCAAATCTCGCATCTTTGCTCGGAACAATGATCGAGTGAATAATATCTCGATCTCGGACGTTTTTATTTCAATGACAAACGCATCGAAGAGCAAAATGTCGAGTATACACGTACGGAGAGATGAAGTGAAAGACGACAAGATAAAAAATATTACCAAGCATACAATGATGAGCAACGTGTACATGTGCATACTGGCGATCGGCAAAGATTCGACCTCCTTTAAGGCTTTGGCCGCATCAACGAGGTCGGGCTTTAGCTCGAGAGCGTGTCTCAGATGAACAGCCGCTTCTTGAAAGTGACCGTACGCCTGTGAATAAAAAGAAATGTGAGACATTATTAGGCACAATTACCGAAGATAAAAGATGTCAAACCTTGAATATCTGGCCGAGCGTGAGGTACTGCTCCCAAGCGTTGCGATCGGGGGGCTGGAGCTCGAGCGATCGCCTCGCCAGGTAGGACGCGTCGTCGAGGTACTCCAGCACCAGCAGGACCCTGGCCAGATTCAAGAGGACCTCGGCGTTGTGCGGCGACACTGCCAGCGCCCTGCGGAAGCACTCGATCGAGCGCTGAGCGTTGCCCTTGATGCGCCAGAAGTTGCCGATTTGATTGTACAGCTGGACTGATTTCGGTTTCTAAGATTGGAAGAAAAGCTTTGAGTTCGAGTTGACCTTACGGATGCCAGCACGCGTGAAAATATAGCTTTCAAATACATTCTAAAGTAGCTTTATTGGCTTGGATCAGATCAATTATTGTGTTTATAATTTCAACTAAAGTTAATGTCTCGGAAAAATAACTGAATAAGTCGGTTAAGAAACTGAATTCACTTTGTAAATGCCAAATTAAGTAACAATTATGCTATAAGATTTAATAGTAACTTTGTTTCATTATCAATTCACACATGAATTTTCAAGTAAGATTAAATGTTGAACTTGGCATGGTTTACATTGAATTAAAATTTTAGAAACAACGATTTTCCGTAGAATTAAAGAAACGATGTAGTCAACAGTCAAATGTGAAAAATTTCAAGTGCCGCTATGTACCATGGAATGAAAACTTTCTCACGATCCAGGGATCCTTGAGAAGTAATTTTTTTTCTCAAAAATTCAAGCCAGCTCAAAATTCTAATAATTTAAATTTTATTACAAGTATTTTGAATTTAATAAATAGTAAGAGTTGGATCGATCCAGGTTTCATTATTACTTTATTTGCTCATTGCGCAATCAACACTCAAGAGAACGCGCGATACAAGTGGGTATACACTCGAAGAGGTCAATTAAAAGTGCCTCAGGACTCACCTCTCGCTTGGCTCGTTTGAGGCGCCGCTCGAGCAAATCGATATCGAAATCCGTGAGTTTCTCCTCGGTCTTCTTGAACATGTAAACGACGGCGGGCTCGGGCACGAGGGGATGCTTGTTTCTGTTGGCCACGCCGATCAGATTGTCGTAATAGGTGAAATTGACCGGTTTGCCGCAGTCGAGGACGATGTCGTCGCAGGACTGCCCCGACGAGCCGCAGCTCATCGACGCCTGCTGCTGCTGCTGCTCGTTATTGCTATTGCCTTGGCCGGGAGTCGTGGACGACGACGACGACGACGACGACTTGGCCAAGTTGGCGAAGGTCTGCTCGGCCGTGAGATTGCTCGTGCCGGAGGATGGATCGCCCCCAGCTGCAGCTGCCGCCGCAGCGGCCGCGGCCACGGCTGCATAAGTCGCCGCGGCGAAGCGCCTATTCTCACGCGTGCATTTCGATATCGTTATAGATTTTCGACTTTTTTGTGTGTGTTCATTTATTTTTGTTTAGCAACAACTGCGCAATCAGTACGCTAACGTAGAGTACACAACAACACAAGCACTAACTACAAAAATAAATAAAATGGTTGGTTGGTGGGAGTTTTTTCGTTCATTTTTATAATGAAGAGAAACATCTGATAGGATTAGATCAAACTAGTCACCAACAGTAATGTCTTACCAATTGACTAAATAATATTCATGCAAATTAATCGATACAAATTTCAGAGACTTAATTGGTCAGACATTATCGCATAAATTAGCGTCTGTATTGGCATAATGCATGGTACAATTACTGTGTGCGACTAGTTCTAGTTAAAAATACAGTTTAACAAACTCACATAATTGTAGGAAAAGTATAAAAAGAAAAAATATGAGCTGAAAAATTTAAGCTCTGTGACAATGAACGCATGCAATGTTTCTTCATATAGGCTCTATTTCATGAACATTGTTTATACGAAGATGCAGATAAGAATTGTAAGTTCATTATTATTTTAAAATCAATAACTAATACCAACATTCATGAACTTTTTTTTAACTACATGAATTATTTCACATAAAAATCTATCTTTGATGATTATGAATAATTTGGTCATGCTTTTCAATTTCTAACTAAGTCATGCTTTATGTCTTTTGAGAATATTAATAAACATAATCAAGTATATCAAAATTGCTTTGGAATAGATAAGATTTTGACATCGCTTGATAGGTTTCAACCTAACTGCAATTGAATTTGCTGTAGTAATTTTAATAGTATTTTTACGGTTTTTCGTTCTTCTATCATGAAGTATAAAGTTTTTACCATAAATAAGAGGTCGAGCCAAGCCAATATAACATCATATTAGCATGCCAATGAGTATAATAATGTTATACAATCATCTATCAAGTGATTTAATAACAATATCATGTTTCATTTAAAAAACAAACCTTGTTCGCATTCTAAAACTCTTACATTGTGAGATAAGAATTATGATACAATGCTCATGGCTTCCAAAGCAATAATGAAATAACTATCAATTTGTATGAGAATCTTTACCTGTCTTGTCCATGACCATTGGTAGTAGGGTAAGCTTTGCACTCGCTGCAGTGAACTTGCAGCTTATCAGCTGCATTAGAGTCTGTCGCAGTTCTACTCCAGCCCTGACCATTACCTAAACTTATGCTACTGGTAAGTATATTGAGTATGGCATCATCTTCAAGACCAGGTGCAGTCGTGGTAGTACTGCTCATGACAACTTTGTCAGCGCTCAAACGCCAAGAAGTACGCGAGATGGTGAACTTGACCTGTATGACCAGGAAGCAGAGTGCGTAGCTAGCTATCCGGCTTCGCGTCCCCATGATAAACGACTATTTATTTACTCGTTTAGTCAACTTTTCGGTCAGTCTTTGTGTGTCGCTAGAGCTTTGGGATACGCGATCACGCGCTCGCGTTGAAGCACATATCTAGACTTGCGTGCACTTCATGACAAACGGAACGTCGATCATCATCGCGACACTCGCTGCACACCGTAGCACAACACACCTACGGTCACACATTAGAGACATGCACGTCGAACGCGTTAATTATAACTATTTCTCAGTCTTTTGACTCGTCGTTAATTTTGCTCTATGTCCTGCTGCAGGCGTTACTTGATTTGAATAGAAGGATGCTGGTAGCGGTTTCCGTTCGAAAGAGTTGGATCCAGTGCAAAAATTCTAATATCTTTCATCACTTCTCCCTGCAGTCTCTCTCTCGTGCGTGCAGTAGTGCCTCAACTGTTTCGTTAAAACGCGCGACTAGATCGTTTGCTCAACTACGTGTGTGTATCTGTGTCTGCAGTGTGTGTATGTGTGGTGCGTGCGTACGTGTGTGCAGGATCCTATATTTAAATATCTATATAATCGCTCTCGCTGCTCGTCTTCTTTTTATTTGTGCGTTATTTTGTGATGATGTTGTTGTGTGTTGGAGTGCTACTGTGCTGCGCTCGGCGCTCGTCGCTTGCGACTAGTGCCTATAACACATATAGGCTATGCATAAAGCTATGCATATATAGTTGGCTGAAATCGCGCGCAGCAGCGGATGCGAATTCGGTATAGCTATATACAATGTGATGAACGCACTATGTGTGGGTATATGTTTGACTATATACAGCACAATAACAGAGAAGCAGTCGTCCGTCGTGATCGTATAGGTGCGCGCGCGCGTTCGCCCCTCAAACGTGCGAGAGATCTTCTCTATTTACCGCAGTGGTGCTGCTGCTGATGTGCAGTGCTGCCGCCGTCAGTGAGTGCACTAGTCTCTCGGCTAGACGAGTGGACGATCATCACCGCGCGAGGCGTGCATCATGCCGCGATATCGGGGTTGTAACGCATCGTTGGCCGAGCACCGATAGCAGAGCAGTGTCGCGCGCGTGCGAGCCGAGAGGCTTCTGGGCCGCGGGGGGTTGCCCTTTGCCTGTACGCCACATTTTCAGAGGCGTCTGCGCGGGCGGCGAATTCCCTTGGATTGAGTGCACCCGCACTGACGCGCTGTCCAGTGTATAGAATCTAATACGTTTTTCGTCTGCTTCGAACTCCAAACCGGTTGGTACTTTGCACGGCCTTTTGCAAAGATGAAGCAATCGCCGCTGCAGCTTTGTTTCGACTTGACGTATATGAAGGATTCCATTCTGTACGAAGATCTGATCCGTCGAATCTCGAGAATAATGTGACGGAGCCATTAATGTCTCTCCTGAAGTGCCAAAGTCAATCAGATAATCTAGTAGTCATGCGTAAAAAATCTTTTGTAACGAACTTCCATGTCTGACGTACGTAAGTGTATATAAACATACAGCCCGCGGCGGCAAGCATCAATTCAATTGAGAGCGCACTCGAGAGAATGGGAGCATAACGTAAATATCGTCTGCTAGGCACAAGTAAAAGTTCTGCTAACTGACTTGTCTCGCGCGCGACACTTTCGGGCCCGCAGTCGATTGCCTGTCGTCGCAGCTCCGAATCACGAATGGAGCGGCCAAGAAGTGCGTGTGCCGCTTCTTCTTTTTCTGCTTCCTCTTCTTCGTTTTCTTCAATCTTGCAAACATTCCGACTTGAGCATTCGAGGCAACAGCAGCTGCTCGAGTCGTAACGGTACATGTGTACATCGTCTTCTAGCCAACGCGTTATTTTATTAAATAAGAAAAACTAACTCTTCAAAATGACCATCGTCACCTGCATCGCTCCCGTTAACATAGCTGTCATCAAGTACTGTAAGTATTTCTCATTTTACACCCTATAATCATCTAAATTTTAATCTTAAAAGTTCGCTTACAATCATTTTATTTCAAATTTTGCCTCTGTGTAATGTATGCGTTATTAACACATAAACTTGGGTATGTAGCACAGCGGCTTTCACTTCCGATGAAATTCTTCACAAGAAACTACTTCCTATTACAATATTTCTGTGGTAATATTAACTTTTTCGTTCGATTTCAGTTAAAAAATTCGAGTGAAATTCATTTAATTGAAAAAATATTAAAAATGTGTTGGTGACATTTTTTCGATCGTTTTAATCGTTCGATAACAGATACGCGCAACGAAATTAGTGTTGTTTGCCTTATTCATTACTTTTAGAACAAATGAGTGAAATTTTATCGCTGAATTATTCTCATTAAATGTCATGTAATTTATTTTCTGTAAAAAACAATGTTTTCAATTTTTCAGGGGGAAAACGTGACGAATCGTTAATACTCCCGATTAACGATTCTCTGAGCGCTACTCTCGATACCGAACACGTACGTACTGATTGTTGATAGAATAATTTATTTAATAATAATTTTCTTATTAATGATTAAAAATTGAATTCACAGCTCTGCGCAAAAACGACTGTTATGATAAGTCCGAATTTCACGGAAGACCGAATCTGGCTGAATGGAAGGTAATAAAATATTGCAATATTTTATCGTTTATTTGACTACGTAAAATGTATCAACGTGTAATATTATTGCAGTGAGGAATCTATAAATAATCCAAGACTGCAGAACTGTTTGAAAAAAAGTAAGTCATTTGGAAATTTATTCATCAAGATTTGGCATGTATACATTGAGATATAATTTATGACTACAATTTTTAGTCAGACAAAAATCTGAGCTGCCTGCTGAAATGAATGATTGGAAAGTTCATATTTGTTCTCAAAACAATTTTCCAACAGCTGCTGGCTTAGCATCAAGCGCTGCAGGATATGCTTGCCTGGCTTATGCTCTAGCACAGTTATTTAAAGTAAAGGTATACGTTGAGAATAATAATTATGTTTTGAAAAAATTGTTGTCACACTTGAAAATATAATAGTAATAATCATTTTCTATTAGGGAGATATAAGTGAAATAGCCAGATCAGGCTCTGGTTCAGCCTGCAGGAGTGTTTATGGAGGATTCGTTAAATGGTTAATGGGTACTGATCCATCAGGTTGTGACAGTATTGCCAAACAAGTAGTGCCTTCTTCACATTGGTCTGATATGAGGATTCTTGTATTGGTGGTGAATGACAGCAAAAAAAAAGTGTCCAGTTCAGTTGGCATGCAACGAACTGTGAAAACTTCTGAATTGTTATCACAACGAGCTACAACTATTGTGCCTCATAGAATAGTAAAAATGGAACAAGCTCTGCATAACAAAGACTTTGAGACATTTGCTGAATTGACTATGAAAGACTCAAATAATATGCACGCAGTTACTTTAGATACTTATCCCCCTTGTACATATATGAATGATACTTCTCACAATATTGTGGACTTTGTACATGCATATAATGCTGCCAAAAACGTAGTTAAAGTAATTAAATAATTTATTCATTAATTCAAAATTTATTTTAGACCTATGTATCATAGCTGTATTTAAATTTTAGGTAGCATACACATTTGATGCTGGACCGAATGCTACACTATTCCTTCTGGAAAAAGATGTGGCGGAATTCATTGGGGCTCTGAATCATTACTTTCCCCCAGCAGAAAATAGTGATATAAAATATCAAAAAGGACTTTTTGTTGAAAATGTTGTCCCTTCAGAGGTAATTTTTAATTTAACTCGTGAACATTTTTTTAAACAGGATTATTTTGATCACACTTTTTTTTTAATTTTAGAGTATTTTAAAGAATATCAAGTTTGTTGAGCAACCTGCTGGAAAATTGAAGTACATTATTCACACTCGAGTTGGAGATGGACCCAAACAACTTGAAAATAGTAAAAATCATCTTTTGAATGAAGATGGCTTACCTCATTGATTGAAGTATATATAAATATATGATTGATTACTTATAAATATTATTTTTTTATAATAAATCAAATTGTTGTAGCAGAGATTTGATACATTTTATATTCATTAAAATGATAAAATATTATTAATTGTAAAATTAAAAATGTTATCTGTATAAAAGTAATAAAATAGTTTATTTATTATTGTAATTGCATGGTTTTATTATTATTATCTTTTTAATTTATGTAGTTTCTGTAAGTTGATAAACAAGAAACTTACTTTACTGCACTTCTCCCACTCACGCGCATTGCGCGACGAGATCGATTGAAAGTGTCAGAACACACGTGCTCGTCGTCTGCTCCTTGGAAGCTCTCAAAGTGACACAGGTTATGCGTATTATAAAAGATTCTTATTTGTAAAAAATACTTGAGAGTGTAGTAATTTAGTTAATCATAATGGTGAATAATATAGAAGATTGTACCCCAATAATAGAAAATACGACCAATCAAGATATAACAGTTTCTATTCCTTGCAACGATGACAATCAACAATCTCAAGATGTAAACAAAGATGTTACTTTAACTAAAAGACAGTTAAAAAAAATTAAGAAACGCGAACAATGGTTAGAGCGAAAGGGAGAAAAAAGGTAAGCTTAGTGCTTGACGATTTTTAGGTTTTTCTATTTTCATTTTTTATTAACTTTTTTATGTTTTTAGAAAAAAAGAAAGAGCTAAAGCCAAAGAAAGGAAAGCATATGCTAAAGCCAATAACATTGATCTTGGCCCATCTAGAAAGCAATTAAAAAGCTGTACAATGGCTGACAGTCCATGCAAATTAAATGTGACCATTGATTGTTCTTTTGATGAATTGATGATTAGCAAAGATATTGGTAAACTCATTAAACAAACTTTACGGTGCTATTCATTAAATAGAAGAGCAGTTGCTCCAGTGCAATTTTCTCTAAGCAACTTTCAAGGTTTAACTCTGGCTGAAATGAGTAAACATAATGGTTATGAAAATTGGGATGTAAGGATAAAGATTTAATTTTCAATAGCACTAGCTTTGCATATAATAAATTGAAAAATTATTTACAGGTTAAATTTCACTCTCAAAATTACTTGGATATTTTTCCTAAAGATAAAATTGTATACCTGACTAGTGAATCTGATAATGTAATAGAAAAATTGGATCATGATAATATTTATGTGATTGGTGGTCTGGTCGATCATAATAGTCAAAAAGTAAAGAAAGTTTCTTTTAAATATTAAAATTAAAATTTTTGTTATAACATATTGAATTTTTTACAGGGCTTATGTCATAAACTAGCTGTTGAAAATGGTGTAAAACATGGAAGGTTACCATTAGATCATTATTTACAAATGAAAGCTAGAAAAGTTTTAACGATAGACCATGGTAAAATATTTTGATAAAATAATTAAAAAATAATAATTAATTTTGGATGATTATAATTATTACTTTTTTTAGTCTTTGAAATAATTCTTCGAGTAACTGAAGGAAAATCTTGGCAAGAAGCTTTCTTACAAGTATTGCCAGAACGTAAAAATGCCAAACCTGTCCTGGAGAATTCCCAAACAGTGGATAGCGGTACCGATGAATCACAAAAATCACAAAGTGATGAAGAAGGAAAGGATATGCCTACAAGTGAGGTTGAAAAGTCTTGATATTTGTTCAAATTGATGATTTTTATTTAAATCAATTGGTTGCCAACATTTTTTTGGATCTTCCAAACATTAATTGTTCCATATTGAACTGTTTTTCTTGCTTTCGTTCAAGAAACTGTACATATAATTTTTATTTAATCTTAAAAATATTAAATACGTTTATGCTACTTACATAACTAAATATATGTATATAATATATTCTATTAAAAATTTATTTATACAATTGAAATGAATTAATTTGCGACCATAAACTACAGACTCGCTGCAGAAAAGCAAAAATTTTAGCTTCAACTGAAAATGACAAATTTTTTAATTGCCAAGACGATATTTAATTTCAAAAATCGAGTGCTTTCTGACTCTTTAAATGAAAATTCTTGAAAAAAAAAATAAAATATCGCGATGGATGCAGTCACTGATAAAAATAAATACATTTTCTAATAAGTCATAATTAGTGTAAACGTAAAAATGTCCAATCGTGAGATGCGCTCGCAGCGAAGCATGCGTACTCGGAAGAGTGTAACATCCTTGTATGGATGAACTCCTATTAGTGCTTCACACTTAGACTTATGTAAAGCATGTATACATATAAACAGTGGGCTGTATATAACACGCGGTATATACATATAAATACGCTTGGGATTGGCATAAAAGCGAAGACGGACGCTCATACACAAGCGAGCGAACGTAATGAGAGAGAAAAAAAAAAAGAAATCTCACTTGCGCTGCACAGGCACACACAAGCACGCGAGAATATGCACTTTCGCACACAATTTCATCGGCGCGAGAAAACGAAGCCGATCGATGCGATGCGTCGATCGACAGCCCAGGTACTTGCATAATGAAATTTTATCTCACGCGGAACATTTTGCTTAGATACGTATACACAATCATACCCAGTCACATACACACATGTACAGACGTTTTTCCTTCTCCGTCAAAAAAGTTTACAAACGAAAATGAGATGATCGTTGAGAGAGGCAGAATTTTATATAAGATATCGTGTGCGACGATCGCTTAGAAATTCACACATCAAACATGCAAGTATTATTCTTTCGTTTGTTTTTTGTTTGTTTTTGTTTTTTTAAATACGGTTTTTGTCGAGGCAATTTTTCATACATCGGACACATCAACTAATTCAGATCGATCAATGACCTCGAAATCGCACAGAGTGTCGTCGTCGCTCACGCTCACGCTAACATCGAGTTCATCGGCTACCAGGGAGTCGGAGGAGGAGGAGGAGGACGACGACGAGCTCAGCTGCTTAAAGTGAATATTTTTGAAATGAATTCCATCGACCTCGGAGGAGTCGGCGTCGAGCTCCGAAAGTTCAAAGTCGGTGCTACTCGTGTTGCAATCCTCGTGCGAAGGCATCATCTCGACGCTGCTCAAAAGCTCGTCCTCCGAATGATCTGTAAGATTAGCGAGAAATGAGTATAGTTGTTGAAATAGTTTGCTTTATTTCACTGATCTTAGCAGTGCAACACATACCAGCAGGAGAATCGTCGAGCGTAGGCGTGGACGCGAGCTCGCCCGTCTCGCAAGCCCGATCCAGTACTCGGGAATTGAAATTATCGACGTTTGGCAGAAATTCGTCCATCTCTGAATCAATTTCTAAAAGAGATCAGTCGTGATTAACGTTACATCGAAATAAAGAACGAGAGAACGAATAGGGATTACTTTACCTCTAGATGCAAGGTAATCGTCCAATTGCCTGCGCCAGCTGGAATAGTAAAGAGCGACGCCTAAGGTCGAGAGGGCGATGGCACAGGAAACTCTCTCGTCGAAGAAATTCATGAGCCAGACGCTCGCGGGTATACCGACGCCGAAACAGACGCACAACTGTCGAAATCAAGAAGCAAAAGGGGAGCGTAAGAAATGGGGGGTAAATTTAGTCGCGGCTGCGACGACTGCCGGAACTCACGTGGACGAAGCTCTCGTCGCTGAAGGTAGTGGCCAGGTCCGCGCTGAAGGTTCTGACGTCGTCGGCGAGCGTCTTGAGATAGGCCTTGGCCCGCCTCCTCAGCTGGAGCGTGCTCGGCACGGTGGAATTGGCCGGCTGCTGGTCCTCGCCGTCGGCCTCCACGTACTTGTATCCCAGAGTGGCCATCGCGACGGCACTGCTGGCCGTCACAAAGAAGCCCATGCCGAGAACGTGGAAAGACCTAGAGAGAGAGCACGAAAATGAGCATCGTTTGGAGGAGAGGACAGCACTATACGATGCATAATCGACTAGCGCAGAATCGTTGCGGTTTATTTATTTATGCGGTTGCACGAGAGCTGTTATCGTCGCGTGTCCGCGATCGAGCTAGCTGGAGCAGCCGCAACGATACACGATAAAAATTGCTGTCGGCACGCAGTCGTTCTAGCGGAGTGCTCGGCGCGTTTGAAACATCGCGACAACGCATGACGTATGGCGCGTGCAGCATTGTTTATGCGCGAAAGTCGCCCCGATAATCGGTATCGCGATGTATGCGCGTTGCTCGATGTGCGCGCGTACACAGCACGATCGTCGCCAAGCTCAATGACGTTCTTACTCCACGTCGTCGTCGTCGCTGACCGCCTATTACTCGCATCATTAGTTTAATTTATAGTTGAAATGGAAACATTCCAATGAATTGCCGCGAGCGATAAGTGCTCGAGCAGCTGTAGCTGTAGCTCGACCCGGCTCGATCGGCACTTTTCTGGCGCATGCAAATTCAAAACCGTTGGCATCGAAGCCGAATCATGCTACCGATTTTGTCCTCCATTTTAAGCTATATAAATTCGATCAGGTCCGCTTGTCGATCGGCGGCTGCACTTGTACAGTAGCATCGTCGAATAAGGAAATCGCCCGGCTATATAACGATATTCGCAGATACTCAGCGCGATCGAGCCGCCGATCGAGTACCTCACCTTGTGCCAAAAACCCGCATCTGCGCGATCGTATTCTCTTACGCATTTTTCAAGTTTCGTAAGGCTGCAACCTCTGGAGCACCTTTTACAGGATACCAGCGATACAGCAACTACTCGTGTTAATTAGGTATAGTCGCGATCGCGTCTAGTCTGCAGACTTTGACGGATACAGATACATTTTGTCGAGTCTATCCGACCTGCGCAATTGCATTGGGAAGCATTGATTTACACGTACGGGCGTCGTTACGACAACGATCGAGTTTTCGTATTATTTTTACATCAATCGCGGATTCGAATCACAATAATCGTCCAGTTCGGAATCGCGCCAACGAGTCGTAGCCAGCGTGTAAATACCAAAGAAACGTTTGTCTAGAAGCTATCTTTGGATTATGATTCCACAAGCCGGCTGTATTGCGTATGGCAATCATTACAAGCCCATTCGAGCGAGCTGTGCGTATACGTGCGTAAGCGTGTATCGTCATATATACGTACCAAAAAACAGTGAGGAAAATCATGCTGGCCATTAAGTAAAGATCTGCGTTGTTGCTCAAGAGAAATTCATGCACGATTAGTGCGATCTGGTCGATGTGGGCTTGGGTTAGCGCGTAGGGCCGCTGCGGCTGTTGCTCCGGCTGCTCCTGCAGCTGCTGTTGTTGTTGCTCCGGCGAGTCGCGCGGCCGCCTACCGAAGAAGCTTCGATAGCGGCGATGCTCCAGGCAACTGCGCCGCAGCTCGGCGTACCTTTGCAGTGCTCTCTCCATCGTCGTTGTTTATCTTTAGAATCGTCGGCGTTTGGCGCGTAATTATGCAGGCCGATGATGGTTTCGTTGCGCGACTCAACAGCAACGGACGCGACGGCGGCGACAGCAACGGCGACCGATCGACACAGCAGTTGAGGCGAAAGAACGAGGAGATGGCGATGAATCGAGCGTCCTCTGGATGACGATACCGCCAGTTGGCATGTCGACGATCTGTTGCTGCTCCTCTTCCTAGGTCGTCGTCTTGGTCGTCGTTCGCGGGGCTTCTTTTTCTACGCCGCTAGCGCACCGCCAACTACTACTTCTGTTTCCGTCTTTCGCCGCTGCCACCGATGTGGCCAACGCAGAGAGCGCCGCTGCCGATGATGTTGATATGATTATTTTTAGATCTCTACTAGCTGTAGCTGTAACGACGCGTGTGTGCGCTTAGGCCTCCTCTTCTCTCGCTCTTTCTCTCTCGGCGTTGTGTTGCAGGAGAGGCGACGAGCCACGACGAAGCGGCTGAGAACTGCTGCTGCTTCTGCTTTTTGGAGAAAAAAGATAAAGCGAGTTAAATACCGTCATAATCATAATATAGCCGAGTGTTATATTTATGAATAAGTTCGTTGACTCCGAGCTGCGCGTCGAGGCCCGAGCATCGCGGCCCGCGGCGCTATTGTTCTCGGAGCCACACTTTGACAACGCGCGACTGCAATTGCGATCGATTGTGGAATTATATTGCTGATCGATGGGGGGACACGCGGACCGGATCGTTTGGATGAGAGCAGCTGCGAACGAGCTGCAGATCGTCTAATGTCAACAAACACGACGTAAAACACGCGCGACGTGGCCCCAACATCCGATTAGCCCGAGAGAGCGACCGAGAGCGAGTGAAACAAGCTCGAGCAAATTGCCTCGTTGATCGGCATATACATCGAGAGTCTCGAGTCGCACAAATCGATCTTTTCAACGATCTCGTTACAAGAGCTGCAACGCGACGCATCGTGCGACATTTCGCATTGTTCAAGCCAACTCATAGGTATATAGAATTTCCCGAATGCCGAGCTCGATTGGATTCGGCTTATATTATAAACGTGTCTTTTTTCGCCGCGTATAATCAATTTTCGCTCCGATATGCAAGTGCGACGTGCTCGAGATAGAGCAAGCCGAGAGAGAAGCGAAGCGAAAATTTGCTTCATTTCGTCCACCTTGACGAGCTTTATACATCGGGTATTTAATATTTACATGCGAATGACAGCTCCGATACGATTGGCGTCTATAGGTAGCCAATCTCGAATCGAATGTAATTGCGTAACGATCGTCGTCGCGATCGTGCCGTCTATTTCTCTCGATATACGCGCCACGTTGATCCATCGGACTCTACTTGTTATGATTCTGCGCTCATTTAGCATAGTCGCTCAAAGTTGCCTTAGTTTGTATACTCGAGCGCACATTTCGCCGCTTTTCATTTTGAAACGTGCGCGGCGAACACGCTTTTTCACGCGACGCGCGATCTGACTCATCCGATACATATCCCCTTTTTTTATCATAAATACGTCAACTCGTTTTTCTTGCTTCGGAACGGCGAGTATATGCACGATAAATTTTACAGCAACAAAAAAAAAAGTACGAACGAGTCAATTACTGGCAGTGTTTACTTGTTTTAAACAGAATATGCTAAAGCCAAGCAGCTCCGAATGCTGCTGACGAAACGTCGCGCGCTCGGCCGTTGTAAAAATATTCCATCGGACTAATCGTACATGTATAGTTGTGTTTATAGCTACGAACAAAAACGAGTGTCGAGAAAGAGAGAGAGAGGAGTCGCGATCTTCGAGTGCACCAGCGAAAACTTATGTAAATATCGCTGCTGTCCCGGCCGCCATATTCACAGATACACAAATATTCGTGCAAACGCCGAAAATTCGGCGCAACATAATTTTTGCACTTTAGACTAATGCGTACATACGTATACATTAGTGTATGAGTGCAGACTGGAGTCAGTTATCTGAGATATTCTGCCTCTATTCGATGATTTTACAATATATTTATAGAAGCTTTTTTCCATCAAGGTTATTGGTATTTTTCAACAAGTTCTTACTATTTTTTCTTTCTTTTTTTCTTCTAAAAACATGTCTGAACTCTCAGATGAGACGTATTTACACCCTAATTCTAATATAATTTAAAGACAATTTTCGGTCAATATCGTTTCTTTGCGAGATGTAAGAATTGCAAAAATAAAAAAAACGAGCTTTTTTGGCCTTTGACTTGTATGCGAAATGAATTTTTATCGTTCGTCATCGCCGTTTGGTCCGAATCCGAATCAGTTCCGAACGCAAGAAAAAGTCCAGCTGCGGCGGGAATCGAGTCGATGAAAATTGACTACGCAACCTTTTGACATTGGCGTATTTGACACGGCTTTCAAAAGTTGACGCAGCAGTGGCGGTGCAGCGCGCGGCGGAAAAGACGATAATTGGTCAGTTAAAACATTGCGCATGTATAAACGCGTCAGAAAAACCGGTCGAGTAGCAACACTCGCCGAAACAAAGAAAATTACAAATAGTCGAGGAGAGCGAGAAATAGGCTCGTTCGGCGTAAGTGCGTATAGTTTTTGAGATAACGTAAACGGGCATCTCAGCGCGAGTACGAGCTATGAAACAAGTGCAGCCGGCTACTGTGCGTGCACACAGCAGTGCATACATAAAAGCGAAGAACGTCGCAGCTTCTCTTTATATCGTGGATAGGCTTCCATATCGCGGCGGCGGCCTCCCAAGGTGAATCGTTTTCATGGCTCGCGTCTGTATACGTGTGTGCCTGTGCAACTTATCCTAACGGTAGTTGTACGCACGATCGGCCTTCTCTCTCGCGACGGCGAGCAAAAAATCGATACACATGATATACACGCAATTAAGCGCGCAGCTTGATCGACCGAGCTATCCATGAAAACTTATATAGCAAACTAATGAAAATCAAAGTCGCGCGGACGACAGCAATAATTCGTTGAAATAATTTAATCTCGCATTGTATTAATTCGCTGCATGTATGCGTGTAGGCGATAACGGAACAATCGTAAACGGCGTATTTTTATACTCGTTGGCGTCATTACTTGGAGCTCTGAAAAATCCGAGTCGAGCGGCGGCTGGGATATCACTCGGTAACAGCCGCATCTCTTGTACTATCGCGTTTCCGCTTCTCGATCTGCGTCTGTGTGGTACTAAGAAGAAAAAAAAATAGTAAAGGTTTTTTGCAACTTTGAAAAAAAAACAGAGACTCCGGGCGCTGATTTCGTACAGTCGAATGTCCAAGTGCGCGTGTAAATGTGTGGGCGAGTATAACGCGACTACAGTCGAGCGGGCTCAATCAGTTACTTTACGTAATGGCTCGCGTGCATGTGCCAATGCCGTCGCCGCTGCTCTTCTGCCGTGTGCCCGTATATAACGCGCGAACGCAGAGAACGCGTGCGTAACCCTTTTTAGTACATGTATAAATTCTCGCGGCTATTATCGCGCTATTAATAGCTGTGCGCGACAGAGATAAGTACGTGGATTTTCTTCCACTCGTGCTTGAGCCGCGAGTCAAAAGAGTCCAGTAACAAGGGCCCGCGAGGAGAGTCAGGGATTACAGGGAGTTTCATTCATAAAAGTTGGCCTGTACGACGCCGAGCTTTTTACATATCGAACCGCAAAAGCTCGCGTGCGATCGAGCGCACACGCGGAGCTGGCAGGGCGCATGACTATTCGGAAGCACTGCTGCAGCTGGCTTTGTTGCGCGCTATCTCAACGGCCTCGAGTGCACTTGGAGACACGGTGTATATACGACACCGCACCAGCTCTGCTGGTTTGTAATACATTTAACGCGATTTCTTTGGATTGGCGCGTGACGACAGTTCTCGCCTTGTTCGCAGCTCCCCGCGACACGCAGCATTATTATTATTCGTTATTGTTATCATGGGACACTTGGCTGCGTATTGATTTCTAGCTCGAGCTCGCGAGACGCATTCGGTGTATTTTAGTATTTCAGTACGGCTGCATGGGGCGCGTGTGCCATCGAGCCAAGGCCAATTACAACGTCTTATTCGACGAGCTCCCTTCGATCGATATCTGGGCTGCACCTTTTATAATAGCATAAACACAATAATATATACTTTATTAATCCTAATCCTATATCCTTGACTGCGCCGTGGTAAACAGTTCTATACCTGTCGAATGCATCACGCTCGAAATAATAGGGAATCTATCGTTTTAATTAATATCGAATCTCGAAATTCAATCGTGACAAATCCGAGAGGGCATACCGATCCTGGTGGCACGAATCTTATACGGTTGTAGAAAGAAAGCTCGGTTATAATGCCTACATAAAATTCATCCCACAGCGTTTCGTAACTGTAGTAGGCACAGACGACACGAGCCGCTTCTGAAATCCAAACAAACTAAACAAGTGGAATCTGGATCACCTCATTCGCATTTTACCATCGCTACTTAGTCGAGCAAGTGCTATATGTATCGCGTAGGCGCTCGCGAGCATCATCGGCGCGGCACATAAATAATAACACCAACAACTCGACGATCGGGCGCAGAAAGATATACGTTTCGCGTGTACCACGAGTATTTATACGAGCTGCGTGAAAAATCATCAAATTGATCGCAGGATAGTTCGAGCTCTAACGGGATAAATTAATCCTCGCGTCGAGTATCGAGGCGGCTGCGTCTACGTAATCAAGTATGTGCCGCGAACAAAGGCCACCAACTCGTTCGTGCACGTATTTGAACGCGCGAGTATATAAATGCAATCGTGCGCAAGTACGAAAAAAACACAGAGAGAAAAGCGCACGGATAAGTTGACTTTTTTTCTGCAAGAATAAATAATAGCGTGGAACACGAGGTAGGTATTTCACATTCTCTCCTGCGTATCATTATAATCGACAAAACATGATGCATTTGGTGTAGAGTACTAATAAAAGCGTCGAGCCATGCATGCAATGCACACACACACACACACACTCGTGCACAGAACGTCGACGGACTATTGTGATATATTCTGTAATCATGACGCAGAGCTCGAGCTCGCGCAAATTAAGTCTACGTATCGAGTTTTTTTGAGTTGGTAATTGATACTTGGGTGCGAGGAAAAAAAAACAACAACAACGACGGAGGATAAGGCGCGAAAGCGATAAGAAACAATCGAAATGGACATTGAGTTGGAGCGCAAAAAGAGAGAGAGAAAAAAACAAAGCTCGGATGCTCCGAAAAAACAGACCGAATACTCGGACGAGGTGCGTGTAGAATATTATTCCGTTGCATCGCGAGTACAAGTGTTGCCGTACAAAGCGACGCGAGTCTATTGGAAAAACGATAAAAGCGGAAACGATAAGAATCAGTTTGGTCGGCAAGACTGCTGCGAGCGAGTCGAGAGAGAGAGAAAGATAGAAGTAGGCACGTACGAGATATAGGAGTACTGGCAAAGACGACAGTCTCGGCGTTCACTCTATATGTAGCTGCAATTGCCGACTTTTCCACCGCAACATATGCTCAGCTATTTGGCATGTATGTATGCACGATACAGTGCGTTTATATATTATAAAATGCACATGTTATACCGTGGACTGCACACCGTCTATATCGGCCTCGCGTGCTACGATGCCGAGAGCTTCTCTCGTGCGCGCAGAGAAAAATCAGCTATGCACTCGCGATTTTTGCGCCAGTGTAAACGCATTATACACGGCAAAAGTGAGTAACGACACGTAATCTATGCAAAAAACTCACGTGCACATACCCATGTCATGGGTTAGCAGCAAATTATTTGTAAAAACGTCTAAATGTATATTTATTCCCTGTTACAGCGCTAGACCTGTAGCTTCGAATCTGTTACCTGTAATACGCAATAGACGCCACGACAGAAGCTTTTCCGAAAGTACGTAAGACGCGTAGTTGCGCCGCGACGTCTGCATAATGCAATAATCATGGATGTGTGTAAAGCTATAACAAGACTGCATCGATACGCGCTTGCGAATCGCTGACGACGCAGCGGAGCTCCTAGGCTTCTGTGCGGGATAGCCTATGTGTGTGTCACTTAGAGCTCTGGAGGATTCCCGAAACAAAAAATAGCGGCAACCATAGATATGTTAAAACAACGACGATAGCAGCCACAACAAAAACAACGGCGGTGACTCCAGGTAATGGGAGCAGCTGATACGAGTATTTTAACGCCAAAATGTGTGTGTATGCGCCGTGACTCGTACGTACGTATGTAGGAAAGAATCACTACTCGCAGCTAAATGTAGCGGATTGAGGTAGAGTTGCAAGAAACCTTTGTTCGATCCGCAGCTCGACTCGAGCAGTTAGCACGAAGACGAAGAAGACGACGTTATACGACGATAGAGCAACGCTCGGCGTATACCTACACTCGCTCTCTCTCTACTCGCAATATACAGGCGAAGTTTAGACGTGCTCGGCAGTACACGAGTGTGTAATACAACTTGGCACGTGATGCAGTACCAAACAACGAGAGAGACACACAAACACACAGATGTATAGAGCTACATTCTCCGTCTGTAATTGTGTACATGCACGTCAGGCGTATAAATTTGGATTTTCGTACGATTTAACGATGGGGAAGCTCCTGCGTAGCGGCGTCGTATACAAACACACGATTGCTCGTACTTGTCGCAGCCTCGTAGAAATTGATAAAAGTATGATACATATTTGCGATATCGACGGCGGCGTACATCGAGTTTTTGTCGCCTGGCTTTTCCGCGCGCCTACATGTAGCATATCGGTGGCAGCGTGCAGTCGCCAGCCAGTGCAGCATGCAGCACACGAAGGTATTCCGTTTCACGGCTGCAAGTCGTTCGCGCGCGCTTATAAGGCTATAACGCAGCCTCGCTCGTATTATTTTCATTTTTCAGATCTGCCTATCTATATAGGTAACTAACTAGCGACTCGTACGAGCCAAGTGGGAGTTGTAGGTTATTCGCGAGAGAGCTGCGCACCATATAATTACGATAGATTTTTCGCAACAGCGACGGCCGCTACTGCTGCTGCTGCTGCTAATGCGCTCGTCGTTGCGCACACGGCTATGTAATTTAAAAGGCTCCGTGCAGACGCAGCAGCAGCGGGCATTTGACGTTTCGCGACTCGATTCCGCAGCAGCGAAAATGACGAATGCAGCGAAGTAGGGGCTCTGCTGCATGCTAGATCGTAGACCATTGTTATGATCGGGGCTCGCTCTAGCACAGGGCCGAGCATCGCAACGCTGTACACATTTGTCCGTTTGTCGAGATGCCGAGGAGCGAATCGCAGCACGGAAGGTATATGTGAATACGTCGTGTACCTGCGCTGACTACGAGCGACGAGTGCGATGCAGTTTGGCCCAATGTTATTGCGCGACAGCAGACGAGATGTCGCAGCTGCGATTCGATTCACCTACTGATCGGCGCGGCGTACAGCAGGCCAGGCACCGAACATGTAAAGACACTACGACGACTCGATGCTCACAGTCGCACACTTTACAGGCACCAACGACACTGCAGCGAGCCAAATGTACTGCTGCGATGCACCTTCGCTACGTACGATGCTACGCGAAATCACTTTTGTTTTTCTGTTTAGGCATACGAGCCGTGGCGTAGGTGTGTGGCGCACTGGCACGCGCAGCCGAGCTCGTTGTACGGTACGATCTGACTGACGCGCGGACGACTGACTTTCGGAGCTGCTGCTACTGCCTGAGGCCGTTTCGGCCGTGACGCGCGACTTGCGCAGGAGAAGGGAAGAAGAAAATGTTTTTACCACGAGCGAGCTCTCGAGTGCTGCTCGCCTGTATATATGGCTCTATATCGCGTACAATGTGTATCGCGAGCCACGACCAGCAGCAGCAGCTGAGTCGCTATGTGTGTGTATGCCTCCCTCTCCACTTTTCCCCCCTTATCGGATGATGAGCAGTTCGAGCCTCTCCTCCACGCATACAAGCGCACGCTCGCTCGTTCTCGCACACATACACACACGCGCAAAACGATAGTCACGATTTTTCATTGTTTCCTCGGACTCGCTGAATATTACAACGAGAGCTGTCGTCTTAGTTATGAGCCACGATCTACCCTACTTCCACTGCAGCGTAGTCCCGTACCGAGAGCCAAGGGATCGAGCATGATTTTGGGAAAATTTCACCCTCGCCAGCTACTACGCTACCTATCTGAGGATCGTACGGCAGACATTCGCGTCACCAGTAGCTGCACACATGTCGAATTTCGCCTTCACCCGCGCACCAGAGCTGCCTATATATTTGTCATACATATGTATACACACTCATACAGAGCCGTATTCAAGGCCGCTTAACGCGCGAGCTAGCGAGAGAGAGAGCCAAGTCACAAAGCAACAGAGAACGAGCGCTGGAAGCGAGTATGGATTTTTCAGGGGTGCCGGGTTGATGACCCACAGACACGTGTGCTGCAATCGCCTTCCTACTATATACCTATATTTTTACCTTATACAATAGACATCTTCCACTTTGTACGAGTTTGCGTGAAAAATCGATCGAAACTCGCAGTGCTTTTTCTCTGATTCGTTCAAGACAAGATCGACGCGAAAAATGACATATGTAGCTCGGAAGGGAGTTGATTCTAATCAATAAACGCAAAACTAGATTAGTTTAATCAAATCCCTCGCAGTCGGAGAGATTCAAGGAAGTATCTATTGACAGCGACGAAAAAAAAATGACGGATCGCGGCAACGACGCGCGCCGATCGCGTTAATTGTGTAACGGCTGATGCAATCGCTTCCTAATTGTACACCGAATTTCGACTCCTTTATTTTCTTTGTCCAAATCCCAAATACCGTGCCCCAATCGTGGCGACGAAATAAATGACACGAAAAATGACGAAATTATTTTCGATCGGCGATAACGACGAGTAGAGGTGAGCGTGCGTTATTTTGCGCGAGAAATTGCGCGGCAGCTTTAGCATTTTGCGACTCGGAGAAGCGGTATATCTTCGTCATCTCGCGCTCGCGACGTTTCTGCGAGGTGTGCACAATGATACACACACACACACGCGCGCGAGCGTAATCTGTTTTTGTACATTTATTATACTTTTCAACGATAAAACTCGTCGAGCTTCTCATCCCGACATCGTCTTGCGCGCACACTCGAGCGAGCTTATCGCGCAAATTCGCAAGCGCTGCAATTTTCAATTAACGGGCCAAACTTCGCGTAAACAAAGGCTCGATTTTCCGGCTTCAGGTGAATGTTTATTCGAGCGGATACTGCATATAAATAAATGGCACTTGTTTTTTTTTGGTCGAAACAAAGTTGTCGAACGATGGAAAATGCCGAAACTGATTGTTCGAGTGGCCGAGCTTGCAGACGATTGGAAATTTACATCTCCAAGTTGTTTTCCGAAAGTTCGCATTCGTACATTCACGAGTCTGTATAGGTTCTAGGAAGAGCAAGTGGCACCACGACCTGTTTATTGTTGCAATCGAGTGCTCTGTGCGTCTGCGTGGCTAAGTTTATATTTGCATGCGCTCGATTAAGAAGAAAACAATAATTCACGACACGATCAAACGTGACCGATAAACGACGCTCAATGATACGCTATATGTATATGTACTAAATACAGATACGTGAGTCGATCCACTCATTTATGGCGTGTTTATAATATATTTGTATATCGGTTGGTGGCTTTTATCACTAATCGTACGCACATAGAGTACGCACATGTGATACAATTTCACGTCCTCACGCGAGTTTAAAAAAAATATATCGAGGCAGGTTTTTCCGATGGTCTGGAAAACGTTCAAGCTGATGCGCGATCGAAAAAAGAGAGAGAGAGAGAGAGGAGAAAAAAGCTACGCGTTTACATTCGACTGATCTGGCCGCGAGCGTGTACTTAATGAGTGCGTATAGGTCGTGGCGCGTTATTGTCGCCATTATAATGGCGATCGATTAGAAATTCAATTAAATGTTGCGAAACGATCGGAGAGATAATGAATTTCGAGCGCGAAGGGAAAGGAAAGAGAGAGAGAGAGAGAGAAAGAAAGAAAGAAAGAAAAGAAAAGAGAGAGAATCTCACCTCGATGATTCAGGCGGAGCAACGATATTGGCGCGCGACAGCTCGAAAAAGCTCTCGAACGTCGCAGAGGCAGTCTTGGTCGGTGCAGACGAGCTGAATTCAATTTACAGGAGTCACGCCGACTGTATAGCTAACGAAGCGATTGGAAAAACTCGCGCAACACCTCTCGTTCGCACACACGATCGAACGAGCCGACTTTAATACTAAACGTGGAAAATCTCGTTGACTATATGGTATACGCAAGTATTACTCTCTCGTGTACCTATATCACCGTAGTCGTGCGTGAGCCAAGTGCCGCAGCTGCGTTATATTGCCTGCGGGAGACTCGATCGCGCACTGCACTGGCACACTGGCACACAGTCGCACGAGCTATAGCAAAGACACACGTATACATATAGCAACGTGAGCAATATGTGCATGCGAGCTGCGGCGTCAATGCGTTGAATTGCGCGCGGCCAACTGCACTTGGGCCGGCATCCGCGCAAGATAATAAACATCAGCCGATGTGTGCAGCTCATTAAACATATCTAGTAAAACGAAATCGCACGACTGCTTTTCGTTGTTGTTTTGTTGTTTCTCGGCATCGCGAGCAATTGTCGCTGATCGAGCCAATCGTATAGTTTGGAAAATGCAACTGGCCCTTTGCGATCCCATATATATTGCGCGCGAATCGGCATGCGCACCGATCTACGCAGTAGACGACGCGGTTGAGTTTTTACCGCTGCGCATCGTGTGATTCACCTGCTCCGACTATATAATGTGTTGATGTTTTGATTGAGTTGCGTGTAGTTGCGCGTCGGCGACGCCAACACGTGACACGATGATTCCCATTCATGAATGAACATTTTCGTTTTTTGCGCGCACATCGTCAGCATATAACTGCGCAATGTCTCGAACGCCGAGGCTTGTTTTGCTCTCGCGACTTTTGGCAAACTCTTGTCGTCTTGGCTTATTTTCGTAGCAATCGTGCGTATACTCGTATAGCTCAAAAGTATGCGCTCTTGCTATATGCGCGCAATAAGTTTATCGACTTATTTTGCGGCTTTTTAGAGACGACGTCGTCGCACTGTTTACAAACAATCGAGAGCTGGCTTGTTTACAATGAACGACGACAAAGTCGCACGAGCAAAGTTGCCGATTAATCTACAATATGCGATATCTCGCGTATACATATATTGTTGGACTGGTGGGGCGTCCCCAGTGCAGACCGCGAGCCGATATGTATAGTATTTTGCCGATAAATTTTCTAAACTTTCATTGCGATAAATGTAAGCCACGCGCGGAGCGTCGATACGTCCACGAGTAATAAAGTGGCTCGCGCGCGCTTATACAGCTGCCTTTATAATATCTATGCGGGGAAAGTCAATGTAAATTCGTGCCGCGTGAAACAACTACTGTTTGAAACAAAATTTAACTACTCTCTTTTTTTCGAAAAATATATAATTCCTCGGTGAAAATAAATGGCTTTTAATTGACTCCTGTTATGGTGTCGGAACAGGCCCAATAACTACATAGCTGCACGATACAATAAACACAACATCGTGTGTTTTAGCTCGAGTACTCGAGATACGTCTGCTTTTTTATTTGGGGAGAAAAAAATAATGACATCATCTTTTTTACGAATTCGAAACAGGCATCGTCCGATATGTATATCGGTCCCCTCCAGCGCCCCAGGCGATCCAGCCTGTACACACACATTTATACCGTGAACACAGCTTGTCCTATATCATAGCTGCTGTGTAGTTTAGTCTTCCCCAAGGACTCGTTTTCGCTTTTGCTTTTGGCCTTTCACTATGCGCGATACACGGATAGGTATATTATCGATGGAGACGTGCTCTATACGCTCAGCCTATCTCGAGTTTTCGTTTATGCTCGCCCGACGACTGACCTCCATATGATATTTTCCCTCGGTACTCCTCAAAAGTCTGGCTATTATCCCTTCGAGCCATATACGCACGAGTCGATATCTTTCCTCGGCCGAGAAGAGAAATTCTGAATGTCATGCATGTTTTTCTCGGCTCGGCCAAAGGTGTGTGTGTGTGTAGGTATAGCTATATATCAGATTTCCCGCACCACGCAATATGTCTCGGCGATTGCGCGAAACACGAGCAACGCGATACGCGACAGAATTTTCAGCATTTCTTTTCCTCGCTTTCTGGCTTCTGTCCGCTAGCTTCGGTCATGTACTTTGCAGAATATCTTTTTACTTCTTAACTTGAGCATTGACTGACATGTCACATGTTGTTCCTATCTATACTAGCTTGTATTTGTTATTATTGTTATTATTTTCTCGATTAAAGAGAATAATATTCGTACGAGATGACGTAAAATTATAAGATTCACGAGCTCTTAAATAAGCGATCGATTTAACTTTTTATACATTTCTAAAGGAAAAAATAAAAGTGACTTAAAAGTTTGGACTAGTCATCTGCTAATGATCAACAACGAGACGAGTTTTTGATCACATATGTTAAATTGGCCTTTGCAATTCGGTTCGTGTGCTCACATACATGCGTGTTCTTTTGCCCATCATTTTTTCGTGTACATAATACAAACAAACTCCAATTGTAAATTTCAGCCTTTTTTTTCTGGTATTCGTTCTTTGTCACAAAAAAGGGATAAATTTTTTTTTTAATGAATTAATCTGCTATTCTCATCTTTTCAATTTTTTCTTCATTGATCCTTGATGATGATCCTTTTGCTAGTCGTAGAACTAAATTTAGTTGAAAATATCGTTACTTCAAAATTCCGTCCATTTGTTGGATTTTGGCGTTTCAATATTATCTATTAGCTGTCGATTAATACTTCAATAGAATATCTTAGATACGATGATTAATTAGTTGCTTGTTATAAAAATGTCTCAGAGCGCCAAAGCAGTTTTTGAATGACCATTTCATAAGACTCTGCAGTCCGCGTGCAGTGGGGTAAACGCAGCAGCGCCAAAGCTCCCTAGACGCGGCATCGTCGCGTCGCACTCGCTGCTGCAAACCTCGAAGATTGCCCTTTTTGTCCCCTCCGCTATATTGTCAGTCGTAGCAGTACCGCTGCAAACGTCTTCTGCAACTGCGCCCGTACTAACTTATACTAGCGCGATCGTGTGAGTTTGTGTGCAGTGCAGTCAGCAGCGGGTGTGTTGTGTACTCGCTCGGTCGACGTGCCTCGTCGTACGCTCTGCCACAGCAGTCACGTTCGCGATTCGCAGCAGTTCGTCTGCACGCGAAATATTCCATTGGCGCCGAGGCTGCTGCGCTGCAAAAGTCACAACACGCATAGGCAGTGATATCGGGGGCTGTGATCCGCACGCCTTTATCCCCGGCTCCCTCCCGCACCCTTCTCTGCCTCGTCCGTCGCGCACCTACCTACCTACCCGTAAACCGACGACGTCCCGACCAAGCGGCGCGCATCCGCTTCTCCAATCGTGCAACTTTGCTCTTTTTTCCAGCCCGATGCAGAAGTAGTATAGCGCGTGTCCTTCGCGACATCGTATATGTATACACGATCTACGTGACGTCGTCAGTTCGACTACACACAGTTCCTTGTTCGTGGTCGCGATTGTCGCGCAGAATTTTTGGATGTGTCGATACTTGGACTGCGGCAGCGGGCGGCCAATAACACCATCGCATCTGCCAGACATGGACCTCGCGCACAGCTCGCCCGCGCGACCAAGTGCAGCAATATGATAAGCGCAGCGCGCGACGTCGCCCGAGACAACGAGCAGCATGTGCTACGACTACCACCGCGAGCAGCGACCAGTCAAAAATGCAAGTTCGAGGCCGTGACGGATCATCGGAAAGGCGAGATACAATCGCGCTTGCGATTATAGCCTCGGCTCCAGCAAGGACGTGCCACTTGCGAATAATCTAATAATTTACAGCGGACCACGCATCTCGCCCCAAAAAACTCTCCTTCTTCCTATCACCTATCGCTCTGTTACGTTCACGGATTTTGAAATACTTCGCAGACTCCGAGTGATACGTAATGCAGATATGCGGAAAAATTTGACTTGCTAAAACACGCAGTCGTCCGTCCGCACTTCGACAGATCGGCGACCTACTGTGCAGATAATTCAGTCACCTTTGCCGCATCGCTCAATAAGTTTATTTACTTTTATAGGTATATATCTTCTTTGTCGCTCACTTAGTCCGCTACAGATTGAGTTGTTATGATTTTCGCGTTTGTCAACACTTGCCGTATGTATCGCGTTCAACGTATTTTTTAATTCACGATTAATTTTCCTCGCGATTAATTGACGTTGGAGCCGTAGATTATTATTGTTACCTCGGTTTTGAAAACCTTCGCTATCATTTACGTGATCAAAGAAAATTAACGTAATGTTGACTCTACATTACAATGACATTATTATCTATACAATTATTTCAATTTTTTTGCAATTTAAAATCAAAATATTCTTTGTGGCTCTAGCTAATTTCATTTTCACATAGCGTGTAAATGTCTATCTTATTGAAAGTTTCAATAATTTAATAAAATTCTATATTGGTCCATATATAGCTTTATATTAAAACTGTATTTTTATTTCCAGGTGAAAAAATTTCAGTGTGAAAGAATTATATTGATGTAATGTATAATAAAAAGATATGCCATCAGAAGTAGATACCAAAGATATGGTGTCTAAGCAGGGTGAGGATTCTGCTGAAGAGCCACAAGCAGAAACTGGATTCACAACATTGGAAAACAGTATTCAAGGTGTAAACAGTGACTGTTCGCAAGACACAGAAAATGAAAATTCAACAAATACTACCTCAAATGTCAATGGCTCTTACAGCAGCACAGGAGAGGCCAGAAATTTGGAAAATTCTATACTGTCGTTGAGTCAAGAGACTGTCATCATGGAAAACGGATCAAATATAAGGGAAGATACAACTTCAAGAGTTGAAGATGAAGGAAATGATCTGGAAAATAATTCCATATGTGAAAATGAATCACAGAATAGCAGTGGTGCCCACGCTTCTGCTAATGATTTAGATACATCAGGTGCTGCGGCTCTTAATTCCAGCAGAGATAACACTACTCAAACTTCTAGCAGAAAAAGTGAAACAACAAAGAAGAATTTTAATAGAAGTCTTGATAATAGTTTTAACAACTCTATTAGTTCTCAATCTTCTGCTGCAAAACAAAGTGTTGGCTCTTTTAATGACAGTAATAATTCTAGCATGAGAAGCAATGATTCAATTAATAATTCAGCAAATCTTTCATTGCCAAATTATGCGTCTGACATGAGTACTTCATCCGAGGCCTCCTCTGTTTATGAGAATGATGTTGTCATGATCAATCAAAATCAATCGGTGAAATTGCCAAGTTTATCTAATCTTTATCTCGCTGTTGCTGAAAGAAGTGAAACCATAAATCGTGAAAACGCCGAAGAATCGGGGTCATCGGAGGCGACAGATCAAACCGCAGCCGCTAATAATGATGTTAAAAATTCTGTACCCAAAGCTCAACCGAGCTCGCAACCGCGAGAGGGAGATCAAGCTTTTCGTCAGGGAGAATATTATCATTTATGGCGGAGTACGGGAGGTGAAATCGAAGATCCGCCGAGCGATTCGCGTTATCCACGACCGCCACCATTACCTCCGAGATATTTACACAAACCTATACACAGGACTAATGTGCCAACGCAATCACCCACAGCTCGGAGACAATCACCAAGATTACCGGTGCCAGCGCGTCCCGAAGACTGCTTCGGTTTTGAAATCGTCGATGTCGATGAACCATCCAATGTGAAGGTAAGACATTATTTTTCATTTAATTATATGCTTGCACAATTAGATGCAGTTACTACGGGTGTCAAGTCAAAGCCAAGTAACACGGCATTGCTCGATTAATTGATTAAACAAGCATATGTGAACGTGTGTCAATTCCTTCTTCCCTCGAGCTTCTTGAAACTCAATTGAAGTTCGGCTTCAATGCATCATCATTAGATGTGTACACTCATGATATAAATTACTCGACGAGCTCCAATGAAGTCGCTATCTTGAAGACAGATCTCCGTTAACCCGTTAATGTTCTCGTATATGATTTATTGCACACTTGATCTAGCTCCAACTACTCTCCGAGATATCATAAACTACATCCAATTTGTGGAGTAACAATTTTGGAGCTTGACCATAAAAATATCATATACAAATTCAACACAAACCATATACTTTTATCTGATACAGCTGTGATAAACAAATGGGTTCAATGGATTTAAAACTTTTACTCTAACTTTTTTATGTTGCAATGTTGCAACTTCTCCAAGGATATATATATAGCCATGACTGATTCGACCTCTTTTTCCAGTGCTTTTGTCACTTCCAGAGTTCGGCGACTCAGCCGCGTAAAGCCGTGACGAAAAGTATCGCGTTGCTGAGTACACCGCGACGTCAGCGCACTGGACAAGCTGCATCGTCGGAGGAGGCGACAGCAGGGGCTTCGTCGGTCACCCCGAGCACCAGTGGAATCAGCTCTAGCAGCGGTCAAGCCGCGGCCGCTTCGGCGTCTTCGGCAGCGGCGACCGGTGAGTGCCCGCCTACACCGACGCACAAACCGAGGAGACCCATCCCGACGAGTTCGAGTTCGAGCAGTGGCAGTAGCAGCAATACAGACGGTGCTTCGGCCGTTGCTCCTACCATGCAGCATCCCAAACGTAAGTTGCAGTTCGAAATCGGCCAACAAGTCATGGAGCTTCTTTTTAACGAATAAAATTAAATTGATTATTAAATTGAATTGAAATTGTTTGCAGCTTGGGAGGCAAGAGTCGACAATCATGGACGTATATTTTACATCGATCACATTAATCGCACAACCGCATGGGAATGTCCAGGTAAATTGGATTCTCGTATGCCGAAGGCTCCTTCCGACTTTTCAATAATTTTTCTTTCGTAGATGCGCAAGTCCGAACATCTATCGGTTGCGATTATCGGCGCCAACAACTCGACCGACGATACCAGAGCGTACATCGAACCATCTCGCGCCCAGACAACATCGACCGAGACTCCGAGCAGGAATCGTACACGTCGTCTATGCAGCAGCAACAAACCTTACCCCATCCAGGACGGGATTCGCAGCATCATCCGTCGCACGATCCACACAGTATAACTTCAAATCCAGCTGTGCGTTTTTTGATGCGGCCAGATCTCTTTTCTGTACTACACACTAATCCAGAAGCCCTTGAGCTCTATAATCGGACTACTAGCATAAAGTATATGATAAGTAAAGTTAGAAGAGAGCCAAGGATTTTTCCTAGATATGAGCACAATCGTGATTTGGTCGCTTTCCTCAATTTGTTCGCGGATACATCGAAAGACTTGCCGACGGGTTACGAAACCAAGCTCGACTCCAGTGGAAAGGTTGAAATACAATTTCGAATAAATTTTATTTACCATGACATAAACATTTTTAACAATAATTTATCTTTTCAGTCCTTCTTCATAAGTCATGCCCGTAAAGCAACGTCATTTATAGATCCTCGATTACCAACCGAGGCGGCGTATCCCAGAAATTTGGCGGACGATGCTCCGATTCCTCCTCCTAGGCCGCAAACATCGTCAATTGTGCCGGCTCCCGACATTCCAGTTGCCTATAACGACAAAGTCGTTGCTTTCCTGCGTCAGCCAAATATCATGGATATATTAAAGGAGAGACATCCTCCTCTCGGGCAAAATGTGGCGTTGAGGGAAAAGGTTAATTCAATACGGAGCGAGGGTGGGGCTGCTCTACAGAGATTAGGACATGACGTCCCGCTCGCTTTACTACTGAGGTAATAATGCTCATTTTGACTTTTTTTTGTTTTAAAAACACGATATCTACTGTAATCTTCTGATTTCTTAGTTTATTCGAGCAAGAAATAATGTCGTACATACCTGGGAGCATTTCTCGATCTCCAATAAATAGTCCTCATGCATCGCCTTTGTCTAGAGCTTCTGGGAGAGCTCCTGCTCCGTACAGACGAGATTTCGAAGCCAAGCTGCGAACGTTCTACCGCAAACTCGAAAGCAAGGGCTACGGTCAAGGCCCTGGAAAATTGAAGTGGGTATCTTTACTTTCCTGTTTTGTAACATCTTTACTCTCTATACGATCAGTAACTATTATTTTAGATTGCACATCCGTCGTGAACACTTACTCGAAGATGCCTTCACTCACATAATGGCTGTTTCTAAGAAAGATTTGCAGAAAGGCAAACTAGTCGTCATATTCGACCGGGAAGAAGGACTCGATTACGGTGGTCCATCGCGCGAGTTCTTCTTCCACCTTTCCCGCGAACTTTTTAATCCTTACTATGGTCTGTTCGAATATTCAGCCAACGATACCTACACCGTCCAGATTTCGCCCATGTCCACGTATGTGGACAACTTCCAGGACTGGTTCAAATTTGCTGGGCGGGTGCTTGGTTTAGCTCTTGTTCACCAATATTTACTCGATGTATTTTTCACGCGCCCATTTTATAAAGCTTTACTCAGAATTCCCGCAAGCTTAAGTGATTTGGAGAGCCTGGACCAAGAGTTTCATCAAAGTCTGGTGTGGATCAAAGAAAGGGATATTAGTGCAGAACCATTGGAACTGACATTTTCAGTGACTGAAGAATTAACAGGTACTTTTTTGCTCATCAAATTGGTATTTAAATTTCATCTTTGTACTAGTTGAACATTTCTTTTTTTCTTTTAATACATCCAGGCAATAAATCAGAACGTGAGCTCAAGCCTGGTGGTCGCAACGTCGCTGTTACGGAAAAAAACAAAAAGGAGTATCTTGATCGCATACTGCGATGGCGCTTGGAACGAGGTGTTGCCGAGCAAACTGAATCACTCATTAGAGGTTTTTATGAAGTGGTCGATTCGCGATTAGTGTCAGTGTTCGATGGGCGTGAACTGGAGCTTGTTATTGCTGGCGCTGCAGAAATCGATCTCAACGATTGGCGAGCTCATACAGAATATCGCAGTGGTTACCACGATGCACATCCTGTTATCGAATGGTTTTGGTCAAGCATAACGAAATTTACTAACGAGCAGCGGTTGAGGCTTTTACAGTTTGTCACAGGAACTTCAAGCGTACCTTACGAAGGTTTTGCCGCATTGAGAGGTTCTACGGGTCCCAGAAAGTTTTGCATTGAAAAATGGGGCCGACCAAATAGTTTGCCGAGGTAAGATTCAAATTTAAATTAGTTTCTCTAAAATATTTTCACATTCGTGATTGACTCATATAATCTTATTTTTCAGAGCCCATACATGTTTCAATCGGTTGGATTTGCCGCCGTACCAAACGCCAGAAATCCTTTTTGAAAAATTACTTTTGGCCGTCGAGGAAACAAATACCTTTGGTATAGAATAAGTTGCTATCGATTTACAGATTAGAATAATTTAAAAATCGAGTTTAAAAAATTCCTAGATAGGCAAAAATGAAATTTTTCGAGTTGACTGGGTAAAATTATGTAACATTGACATTTACATAATTTTTCCCTCAATTTTTAACAAACTCGAGTAATTTTTATTAAATCATGAAAACTGATAGTTGTGAGATACATTAAACGATCAAATAAGTATCAGTTGTTGCAATTTTGTAAAAAAAAAAACTTTTTGAATAGTTATGAATTCTGACTTGCCTTGTTAATGTTGTAAAAATTTTGACACTGCCTTTATTTGCTTGAAGTTACCTACTTGCTTACATTAGCGAGAAGTTAAACTTGTTGTAAAAATGTAATAATCCATGGCAATGGTTTTAATTGATTTTCATTGAATTAATGATAATTAAATTTCATATGAATTGACCCTAAGCTTTTGAAATAAAAAACAATTTCTAATATAGGAAGTAATAATTTTTTTATTAATATATTTAACTAATATTAATAAATAATTGTTATTAATTCGTTGATACTAGAAGACGATGTTCATTAATACCATTATGTAAATGATATTAAACTGTTTGATTATAAATTTTCATGTTGAAATTAAAGAATATTAACGTTACTTGCTCATTTTGAAATTAAGTGTAGAAAAATTAATCGTTTATATAAATTAAACAAAGAAATTTGGAGATTTTGTAAATAATACTCAAACATTCAGTCCTTAAAACTAGTCAGCTATAGAAAATGTAAAATCTTTATGATTTTTAAGTTAATGTTGAATAACTGAATATGTAAAAAATTGTAATAATGTTTATGTTTATTTGTATAAGCGCAAGTTGGTTACAGTTGTTAAAGAAAGTTAAAGTATTATTTTTAATAAATCGAAAGTCGGGCCGATCTTACTACAATAATGAATGGGATTTTTATAAGACTGATTTAAGTTTATAATCTAAAATTATATGTACTAGAACTCGCTGAGTAATTAGAAGAAATCGTTGAATATTTTATGATTATTCCATAATAAAATTAAAAAATAATACAAGCTATTGTAACCCTTCACATTAAACAATAAAATACTCAAAAATTAAAATTAACCCTATTCTTTTCACGCTAAAAATATCCACTTAAAAGAATTAGAAAATCAATAAGTGCATAGTCGCCAGCAAAGCGATTGCCAGATTAGTTTCAAAATTTTTAAATTGGTGAAATTTATGTGTTTCATAAGTGTGATTTAATTATACGTTAAAGTTGTCATTTAAAAATATAGTTTTTCAAAAATCTTGCTTGTGTTCCAATGAACATAGTTGTTAGCTACGAAAAGTCGAGTTATTCAACTTATCGACTCAATGTAAATATTGTTATTGCTTAAGGCCAAAGCCTTATTGTATACGTCTTATATCGTACTACAGATTTTGAATTACTTTCATCCATAATAAAGTGTGAAACCTTTAACGTTTTAATCGTTTATTTGAAATATAATTTCTAATTTATTTCTCAAGATAACAAATTTTAATTTTCATGATATTTGATTTAAGAAAAAATTATAAATATTAATAATTTGGGTAATTAAGGAATAATTCGGTACGTTTTCGAAGTACCATAAAGTCAATTAGTTAATGTCGGTTAAAATAAATTTAGAAAAAAATGTGAAAATGTCGCTGTAAGCGTGACAAATTTTCAAAAATTTCCCCCTCTAGCTCAGTCCCTTCGCGTATGAATCTATTTACCGAATAAATCCCAGGCAGCTGAGTGAATGTGAAAATTTTCGCACAGCAGTTACGTATGCCTTTACGTACAGTCAAGTAATCTACTCGTTGACGAAAGATCGCTTGGAACGACAAGCGATTCTGACAAAAAATTGTAAAATCCAAAAGCAAGACAAACCCCCGAGGAGCTGCAAAATTTGTTGAATAAAAAAATCAATCGAGCATGGAGTTCAATTTAAACGACGACGACGTGAAGGAGATAGTGAGAAATCACGTGGGTCAGGACCCCCACGAGATCTTCTCGCACAACCTGCCGGCCGAAGACGAGCTGATGCCGACGACGAGTTTCCGCGCGAGGCTCATCATCAAGTACCGCGGCAGGGAGATCGACCCCAAGCGATCGCTGTTTTGCTTCATCAAGTACCTGCCGCAGGTACCCAAGCCGCTTCCAGAAGCAGCAGCAGCAGCGGTGCCAGAAGCAGCCGAGCCGGAAAAGACGTCACCCGCGGGCAGCTCGGACGAGTCGGAATTGACCGACTCTTCCTCGTCGAAATCGTCGGACAACTCGGAAGCGAGCTTCAAGCCGAAGGACTACATCGTAGGCCAATTCGAGCACGAGTACGCCTTCTACAAGCTGGTCTATCCGCTACTCAAACGGGTACCCATCAAGATCGAGTTCATGGCCCGCTGCTACCTGGCCAAGAAGGACGTGATCGCCCTGGAGGACATGCGCATGCGAAAGTTCCGGCCGTACCCGAGCAAGCAGCTGAGCTGGCGCGAGCTGGTCGCCGGCGTCAAGGCCGTGGCCCGCTTCCAATGCTCGGGCATCATCGCCGACGAGGATCTGGCGAAGGAACTGGGTCGAAGCGAGACCGGGAGCTGCATCGACAAGATCCACCCGGAGGCGCTGCTCGAGTCCATCTTCGTCGGCGACCCGCTCCAACAGATGGAGCTGCACATCGACCTGGCCGAGAGCGTGGCGCGCGAGCTCGGTCTGCCGAGCCACAGGATCAGGGCGGGACTGCTGAAGGGCTTCCTCGACATCGTCAACTGGAACGACGAGCGGCGCAGCCTCAAGCGCACCATCTGCCACGGCGACGTCAGTCCCAATACCGTGCTGTTCGACGAGGGCCGACTCACGGAGAAGAAGTGCTTCCTCGTGGACTTCCAGAAGGTGCACTACGCCCCGAGGACCCTCGACGTCATGCAGTTCATGTACTTGAGCACGGACAAGAACCAGAGGATCAACCAAGAGATCGGCGCGCTCGATGCCTACTACCGCGAGATGCTGCTGTGCCTGAAGGATTGCGGCAGGCCCGATCCAGCCTGGGACTACGGCGACGTCGTGGCCGAGTACGAGGAGGTGCGTCTCAGCGGACTCCTGCTGGCCGTCATCAATGCGCCGCTCGTCTGGCTCGAGGGTGGCCACAATCCCGAATACACGGATTTCGACAGCTTTTACAAGAAAACCCTCTTGCGCAAGGACAACAGCGTGATCGTGAAGATTTTCAAGGAGAAGCCCGACTTTGCCGCGAGAATGGCCGATCTCATTGTGGAGCTCGTCGATTATCTCGAGAGGAACGACATCACGGACACGTCCTACACGGAAGAGAAACTGAGCGAGTTGAGATTGTCGTTGGACGAGGATTTGGACTCTGGCGAGGTTCGTGGCTCGTCGACGACGCGCGACGACTTGATGAATCTTAGCGCCGCGTTGCGCGATCTTCCCGAACCGAGGAGTGCCATCTATTCGAACCTCGGAAAGAGCCCGTCCAAGCGATTGTCTCTCGACTCAAAATTGCAGGAAGCTTCCTCCGACGACCAATTGAATTGCCAAGAGCCAGGGCCAGGCACGTCCGACGATATGCAGTGCTGTCTCCCCCAGCTTCCCGCGGTGAATGTCGAGGAGGAGCTGGATCAGCCGCAAGACCGCGATTCCGACAGTTTGAATGAAAATGTAGATATTGCTTTATTGATCGCCGAGGCTCTTGCAATAAATGCACGAGTTAACCCCGAATCCGATCCAGATGAAGATCTCGAGCTGTATGTGCAAGTTGATGATCCACCGGTCGAGGGCCAAGAGCAAGTCGCCGCTCAGGATCCGCAGATGATCGAGGAAGCTGCCGGTGGCGTCGATTTAGCGGCATCGAACACGACGGCGGACTCCGGGGTTCCGAGCTCTCCTGCCTACTTACCCGATCTTCTCGAGCGCCAAGTCCTTTATCCACCATCCAACGCCGTGTCCTATTCCAGTCGGGACTCGAATTACTCGATCGTAATCACGGAATCGTCGAGTCTACCTGACAACGACGCCGATTCGCCGTCGAATCCCTAAGTAAATGCTAATGATGCATCGTCGGGATCTTCGTAAAGTACGAAACGCAAACAAATTTTTATCCTGGCGATTGCGCATCGCTCAAATTTTTATGTAGTTATGAACAAAGCAACGGTATGAAATTTACACGCGAAACATGTTTTATTATCTTGACCATCGACCAAGTTTCTGTACTTTACAAATGAATTTGTATTTTTATACGTGATGACTGATAAATAAACACTAGTAAGCGGAAATCGGCTTCAATTAAATGTCTTTCAATTTTTCTCACATTACAAAAGATAACTTAAAAAGTTTTCATTATTCATTAAGACATAAGAATTGATATTTAAATTTTCTTTATGAAACAAGTGTAAATTCATTGAGCATAAACAATTGAGATGTATTAAATGATTTTTTTAATGATGATATAGTAGAAATTTCATCAAATTTGATTTAATGCAGTAGTGGGAAATGGTTTCTTTGGAAATGATTTGAAACAGTTTCTTTCTTAAATCCTTTTTTTATTTTTGATCATTAATTCCAATTCAAGTTGAAAACAATTCTAGAACAAGTACTAATATTAAATAAGATTTATACTTGCGGGCTTTATAGTTTTCTTATATAGTTATGAGTTAAATACACACTTTACTTTTACATTCAATGTCTTATCTCGCTATGTACAATATTTGATACATATTCTTTATCATCCAATTGATCAATTTTCACTCCATTTTCATCGAAATATAACCCGTAAGCACTTTTAAAGATGTCGAAAAGTTTATTTCCATTCCTCACATGTAATCCTCGAACAAACGATGCAATGTCAACTTGGTTCTGGATCAAAACTTCAGTATTCCTCGTCATTTGCCCTTGCTCATTGCAGAAAAGATGATAAAGATTCATAAAGTTTGTAGCGGCATTCGGTCCAGATTTTCTGAGCACTCGAATTATATCCGTCAAAGTAAAGCCGATTTCAAGTAAAGATTTCAAGTAAACAGATTCTGTTGGCTTAGCTGTGCTTTTGAACATACATTTATATAAATCCATAAATGGCTTATACACTGTTTCTGAAACGCCAATAAAAATTCCGTGAAGAGTAATAAAATCTACGCCATAATTTTCTAACGTTATCAAATAACTTCTTTTGTCACCATCTGGTTTGAACCACAATTTATATAGACGTTTCAACAAAGTGACGATTTTTCCTCGAGTACCACGAATAATTTTAGAGACACTTTTGATTATGGCTGGGTTGTTGAGATAATTTATTATGTATGAGCTAGGATTTCCTTCGGGATCAAAAAGTAATTTGTACAGTGAATCAAAGAGTCTAGTTGCGTATCCACCACTACCTTTCAAGATGTCGCAAATTATATTGATATCAAAATTATTCCTTTCCATAATTTGTAAAACATGAGTTTTTTGGCCTTTTTCGTCGAACCAACAATTGTATAACTTGGGAAAAATTTTGGGGAAATCCGTCCGACCAAATGGAAAAATATTCCTTAATTTCTTCAAGTTAATATATTTTGTCGTATTTTGTAAAATAAGATTGGCATGTCCGTTTTCGTCTATAAAGAATTGATGGATTGCTTCAAATGCTTTGCATGCATGAAGTCGTGATCCTTTTATAATCTGGCACAACCATACTAATGACACTCCATTTCTTTCCATATCCTTTAAATATTGAGTTTCTTTAAAATCTTCGTCGAACCATAAGTCAAACAACATTTTGAAATAAAACGTAGTTTTTGCACCAGTTTTATGATATAAGTTACATATATCAATGAGACGTACATTTTTCTTCTCCAATGACTTTAATATTTCACTATCTTGGCCCAATTCATCAAAGAAAAGATCGTGAAATTCTTTAATTCCCCTACCTCGACAAAAAACAAAAGTAGTTGATAAAAGAGTAAAATCAACATCTTTACTTTCAAAATTGGACAAAAGTTGAGTTTTATTTCCTTCTTTATCAAAAAATAGATAAAACACTTTATTAATAAATTTATTATGATCAATAGAGCAACCCTCAATGAATTTCATAAAAATATCAACACTGATTTCATGCTTTCTTAAAGTATTTAAATGAAACGACGCCATGCCATTCTCATCAATAAAAAATGCATATAAGGTTTGAAAAAAATTAACTGCTCCACTATGAGAATTCTCTAAATACTTCAAAATTTTAATGAGATCCATACCATTATTTTCCAAATGTTTCAAGTAGTAACTTTTATTGCCATTTTCATCAAACCATAAGTTGGCAAGGTCAGTCAAAGTTTTAACAGCGTGAACGTTTGAATGATGCATCATTTTTGCTAAATATTTAAGGCTAATGCCATAGTTCTCAAAAGTTCTTAAGATTGTTTTTTTATTTCCTTCTTCATCAAAAAGAAAATTATACAAATCTTTGAAGCTCGTAGATGCCTTGGTTGGTATTCCCCAAATAATTCTACAAATATCTTCTATATTAATACTGTAATTTTCTAAATTTTTCAAGTATTTTGATTTATTGCCATCTTCATCGAAAAATATATTACATAGTTCGTTTAATACGTCTACAATATTCTTTCTAGAACCCTTAAATAATTTAAATATTATAGAAAATTTGACACCAGCATTTTTCAGATATCGAAGTTTCTGATTCGGATTACCATCTTCGTCAAACAAATCATAATATAATTTTTTATAGAAATGAACAGCTTGAGTTCTAGTTCCACATAAGCTTTTCATAAAGTCGTTATAATTAATGTCATGGTTTTGCAAAGCTAAAAGATATTTGGTTTTATTTCCTTCTGCATCAAACCATAAATCATGCAGATCTCTTAATGTTTGAGCACAACTTAGTCGACTTCCGTTTAAAATATCAGCGATTTTAGTAATAGGTAAATTATTTTGTTGAAAATTTTTTAAGTACTTTGTTTTTTCACCATGTTCATCAAACCATAAATTATATAAATTTTCATATGCTAATCGAGTTTTATGAATAGATCCATGAATCATAGTTCCTAATACAGATAAACTAATTTCTTCCTTTTCAAAAGAGGATAGATATTTAGTTTTACAACCAAGATCATCAAACCACAAATTATACAAACTTTGAAAAACATCGACTGCTCTTATATTAGATCTACTAGCAATACTGAAGACTGTTTTAATATTTAGATGATTTTTTTCCAATAGTAAAAAGTTTTGGGTCTTATTTCCCTTTTCATCAAACCAAAAGTTGTGTAGATCTTCAAGAACAAGATACATGTTTCTTTCAGTGGTACCTCGTAAGACATTGACAATACTGCTTATATCAATACCTGCATTTTTAAAGTGCTGGATGAACACTTTTCCTTTACCATTAATTAGAAAATTAAATATTTCATTTCTTCTAGAAGGTACTGAACGACTAAGAATTTTGGATAGTTTCCATTCATCTGAAACATCAAAATAATTCAAATATTTACAACTTGATCTAAAATTTCTTATTTCATTCAAAATAATTCTCATGTGTCTTAGTGTCATTATTTGATGTTTCTGAAATTCTAGCCATCGTAAAGTTATCTCTTGCAACTCGTCTATACTGTAAGAATTCCATAGCTGTTGTTCATTGGGAAGTGTAATATCTATAATTTTTTTTTGTCCAGTAGCAAGTATAAGACAATGGAAAAATAATAATTTTAGGTCTTTTTCATTCTCCACATCAATATCTTGTTCATTACTATTTGGGTGATTCAACAATTTAGATAAAGCACTATAATCTTCAGGTGCAAACTCATAAAACATTGATTTATTCAAAGCAGTACAATTTTTAATTACTTTATACCTCTTCTTAGATAAATCCACATTGTTCAATTGAAGTGGATAGTATTCCTCAGATTTTTTATTTCTAATTCTATTATTATGAGTGAGATTTAACTCAGAGTAGGTGTAAATGATGAAAAATTTGATCCTTGAACTTTTCCTGTACTCATTACGAAAAAAATTATATAAATCATTCAATGCAAAATTACTATTTTCATTTTTATCATGAGGGAAAAAGTCTTCGAAGCTGATGCTTGCATTTTTAGCAGAACCTAAATTAATCAGGTACGTTATTTTGCTTTTGTACAAAATATTGATTACATTGCTTTGAAAATAGCTTTTTGTATTAACTGCAGATATTTTCTCATATATAAACATATCATTTAATACAGACATAATTAATTTAAAATTTTCATCGCAGGTGCATTTTTTAGCGATAGAAGTGTATTTTACCAATCTGTTTTGTAACTTGATATAATCTTTATTGCATCGTTCAATTTCATGTTTCAAGATTTTTTTGTAGCTTTCTCTACATGGTTGATTGTCCAGAATAATAATCTTAGTATGAAATCTTTTTTTCATGTCTTCTTCAAACGCTGCAGTCAAACATTTGTTTTTGAAAATTTTTTTATTACTACTGGACAACATCAAGCGCTGACAAAACTCGTCAATCGTTAGATTGTCGGTTGCAAATTTGTGGAATTTACAGGCAGAGTTAGTTACTAACATATCTTGAAGCACCGGAACTTGACTTATATCGACACTTTCAAATTGGAATGGGTAGGAGTTCTTGGAACTGCACAACACAAGCTTATCATCCTCAGATAGCTGTAATTTACCATTACAAAATACGACGAGGTACTTGACTTTCGAACTTTGGTAATTTGGCTGATTAAGAACATAACTGACCCAACTATTGAAATAATTGTTCAAAGAATACGGACTTTTTGTACCAAACAAATCGAGGTATGTGATGAACTTGTCAGCAAATGGACTTACAGTGTAATTGACGTTCACATGAATGAACTCGTCATTCTGTTTGATAACTATATCTGAAAACTTGTCGATAACAGCGTTGTCCAAAGTCAATCCAACCCCTTCTAACTTATCTTTTTGGGCACGTCTTTTGAGATAACACCAAGTTGAGACATCAAGTTTGTACATGTACAACAAAATTTTTTCTGTACAGTAGTCAACGATTCCGGAAGCTGGCATCAGACTTTCAGCTTCATATTGCAATTTCAGCAGATCGTCGTTTTGAGATGTATCAGCTTCATTAGAATCGTATAAACACGATTTTTTGGGACTAGTAGCTTCATCCGCTTCGTTAACGGATTCAATAATACGATGTCTTTTTCTGCTCTCATTCAGCATTATGTTGATTGTTCTTTTTAAAATTTACATTTACTTGAAATATTCACTCTATTATCATGCTACAATCTAATACAATTGTAAACAAAATTCGATTAAAAACTGATGTTACACTGTTATAATCATTACTGTCACCACAGTCTGCACCGTACAGTACATGAAAAATGCGTGCAACCGCCACTCGCCAGTCTTCTGTTTTTCCTTGTTTACGTACAGCCTCCGCTGCCGTATCAACTACTATACTGGTAATTTTCGGCACTTTACTAACTGACACCATTTGAATCCACGGCGTGCAAAGTATATGTTTACGAACGCCTGGAATGTTCATCAGTAGATCAACTGATTGCGCACGCGACTCATGTCGATCAAGGACGAATAGAGTTTCTTTGTTTCTTACGTGTAGCACAGAGCTTTTCATCTTTTTTTGAAACACATTGCCATAACGAATCTCGAATTTGTACTTTTATTTTTGAGTGGATTGTTGCATCCTGGTTTTAGAAGAAATGCCAAGAAAAAGAAAAGGAAAAAAGTCGACAATCTGCTCGGAAGGGCCTGTCGTGCCGAAGGTGCCGGGCGAAGATGTCGATAATGCCAAGACATCTAAGGAACTCATCGAAGAGTGCATTAAAGTGAGCATCTTCTATTTGCCTATAATAAGATAAACGTATATAAATAATAATTTATAAGATACATGGACGAGGTGACACGGTGCTATGCCGTTGATTTTATATTAGTAGTACGATTTCTGCCATCATTCGTTTGCAGTTGGTCACGGAGGCAGAAAAATCCGCCGAGTGTCCCCTGTGCCTTGATACAATCAAGAATAATGTTCAGTGTCGCATGGGCCACCTCATCTGCGTGAACTGCCGGTCCAAGGTCGCCAGGTGTCCCATCTGCCGCGATCCCTACGACGGAACCAAGTGTTTCGCCTTCGACGAGGTCGCGGAAAAATTGGATTCGGTTAAGGTCAGTTGTATATCGTTCCTTTTCATATACACGTAAAACTTATTGTGTTTTGTGCTTGGGGTAAAAAATATCATTAGATCTTGTTGAAGGATCTCGACAAGTTGCTTGAAGCGCCGCATACCGACAAGGTCATCAAGATCACTGAGTCGCAGTTCGATAGAATGACAGAGTTCATCAAGTTTCTAATGGACTCCCTCGAAGAAGTACAGGGTGAGCGAGTGCGTAATGTTTGGGATCGGGTTCAGCTGAATCAAATGCGCTTTTACATGAACTATATGTTATTCTTGATCAAAGATGTAAAGAAGTGATCCACAACGCATGACATACCTTTTGTCTATATCGACGTTGTACTTTTATAAATAAAAGGTTTCGAGTCTACATTTGAATCTTTGGTGTTTCATTTTAACTGTCATGCCAAAGTAATGTCATGAAACACAATCCCTGCGTCTTGGAATAAAAAGGAAAATACTAAAAGATAGTTCTCCATTCGATAGTTACACTCAAAATAAGTAAATCACGAAATCGATTACTACTAAGACAACTATAAAAACTGCAAAGTAACTATTTCATTACGAAGATTTGAATATTTGATTTCACTATAATTAACATTTAACATCGTCAAAAATAGTATAATAGAATCATTAATTTTTTAGTTTTGAATAATCAGTTTTAAAAATGACAAAAAGATCATTGGAAGTATCCGTATTTGATGGAAAAAATCGAAATTTTTCAGAAGACATCCGGGTCGATTTTCATCGATAACCAATTTTCGAGGGACTGAAAACATCTACCTACGCTTCTTTACTAGCACAGTAGTATATTATTTCTGATAGATAGGGCCCTTACAACGCTGAATGTACAATTGTAGCAGTTGTAGAATTAAACTCGATCAAGTGTAAGTATGCTCATCATTGCGGTGGTCTAATCTCAATTCGGCTTACTGCATTGCTGGAGCCGCGTCGTATACACTTTTATGTTGGTGCGTATACGTCAAATAAGCCTCGATCGCAATTTGTGATTTGTTGAAGCGTCGAGAGGCACATATGCTTGTTTTGATCAATTCCTCAGAATTCGTTATAAAGGAATTTGAGCCGGATTATTTTGAACAATCCTTCATGTGCACCCCTGAGTGCAAATTGTATGGTTTGTGTGCGTAAAGAAGCAGAAACGTCTTTACACGACATGCCGGCGACGCCCATTGAGGATTGTTAGTCATACTCTTTACACTGTGGAGTGGACGCTGCTGCTCTTGGGAGTGCAAGCCAGCTTTACAAGCAGTTGTGTGAAAGAGAAATTTAGTCGAACCCCGGGACGAGCAGTGCAAATTCTACCTGCGATTATCGCACCATCGGAAAGACTTGCAGGTGTTGTCGGGACTTGGACACCATGGACAGCAAAGGCAGAAAAGTCATCGTTTGTGACAATGGAACGGGGGTAAGGTTATGTTTTTCTTATAGGCCTGATAATATTGCATTTCAAAAAGTTTTCGTTTCGCTCGAATGACTCATACTTTCATTGCAAAAATGTTACCAAAAAATGTGCATTTTGCGAAGTTAATATTTGACAGGATATCTGATTATTCTTCGTCCTGTCAGATGAACTTTTTCCAAATAATAAGATTTATTATATGAGTAATTAAAACTAAAAATTAAAAACATTATCAACTGACAAGCTGTATTTCATTTTGGAATGCTGTTTGTTATTTTCATTGTTCAAAACAATAATAAATCTGTTCACAGTTATTAATATAATATCAGAACTTTTTTGTTTTGTTTAAAATGATATATGCATTAGTATTATTTTTTAATTATTCAAAAAAATTGATATTGCTATCAACATACATTAAACATAGCTAGGTAAAATTAAAGGTTTTTAAACAAATGACCTAGAATATTTTTCTGTAGTATATTTTTCTAATCAAGTTTGTAGTCTCATAAAAATATTAAGGTAGAAGTCTGAATTTATAAAAAAATATTTTATAAAAATTAGAGAAAATTTATTTGATGTTTATGATTTTTTTGTAAAATATATTACTTTATTTGGATTAATATCTATTTAATCTTGATGAAAACTGTATAAGGTATGCTACAACTTCTAACTAATAATATTTTATTTCAGTTTGTCAAATGTGGTTATGCAGGAGCAAACTTTCCTGCTCATATATTTCCATCGATAGTTGGACGTCCCATTATCAGAGCAGCCAACAAAATAGGAGACATCGATGTTAAGGTAAGTTGACAGACTAATTTAATTGAGACGGATGAATGAAAAGAAGCTACATCTTTCATAGGTCGTTTTACTTCATCAAACTATGTCTCATACATAATGAATATTAGCAAAAAATCTCGGCTTGTATCCGGGATTTGGAATCATGGCCAACAAAGCAATCTAATTACGGGTTTTTCTATATATTTTCAGCAAGAACTTTCTGTCCGTGTAAGTTGATTTCTGGAGTCTCACGCGACGTCACACACTGATCAGAACTCGGTTAACAAAAAAAATTCTAGCTGTGCACCATGTCGCACGCTTGCAAGTTAGAAAAAATTTGAAAAGCAAGAGCGAGATTATTCTCATTCTGTGCAAAAAAAACGAAAAAGAGAGAATTACATTTTTTTTTGTTATGTGACGTTGAAAATTCATATCACTAAATAAGCTATCATAGTTTTCATAAAATTTACGCGTTTTAGCGTGCATTTGACCATTTAAAATTAATAAAACAGAACTAACATTCACACCGCCCTTCCATCTGAATAATATCGCCAGAATTTCCCTGTAAGTTTTCACTTTGAGAGTTGTCTAATAGCTAATAATCATTTTGTTTATTTATTGCGTGCTTGCATTTGCCTCATACTAGGATGTGCTTGAGATGCCTGTAAGTCTATAAATGCACTTGTCATTTGTATAGTAGATATAATGTTTTTATTGAAATGGTTTTTTATTTTTTACTCGCTTAGATTTCCATTGTTTTTATTGCTCATTTATAGTAGTCAATGTTTTTACAATTTGTGAAATCATTTGTCGATAGATAGAGTTTTTGGCTTCATATTTTATTTTTCATGATTATGATAATTGTCCCCAAAATTTTTCACAGGATCTTATGGTTGGTGAGGAGGCAAGTAAATTGCGATCCATGTTGGAAATAAGTTATCCAATGCAAAATGGGATTGTAAGGTAAAGTTTTAAAATCTTGTAATCTTTGCTTTTATATATCTGATGAAATGATGATATTTATAAATTTTTTACAATTTCAGAAATTGGGAAGATATGTGTCATGTGTGGGACTACACTTTTGGACCAGAAAAAATGAACATCAATCCAAGGGAATGTAAAATCCTATTAACAGAACCACCCATGAATCCCATAACAAACAGGGAAAAAATGATTGAAGTTAGTATAATATCAAACATTAGAAATTAAAATAGAAAAGTAGTTAATAAAATAAACAATAAAAATGTATTTTCTACATAGGTAATGTTTGAAAAGTATCAATTTGCCGGGATGTATATTGCAATTCAAGCAGTGCTGACGTTGTATGCACAAGGCCTGATTAGTGGTGTTGTTGTCGATTCTGGTGATGGTGTTACACACATTTGTCCAGTCTACGAAGAGTATGCATTGCCCCATCTTACACGGCGACTGGACATTGCTGGTCGCGATATCACGATGTATCTTATCAAGCTATTGCTCCAACGTGGTTATGCTTTCAATCATTCCGCTGACTTTGAAACCGTAAGAATGATCAAAGAAAAGCTGTGTTATATTGGTTATGATATTGAGACAGAAGAAAAACTAGCACTCGAGACTACCGTTCTAGTAGAATCCTATACAGTGAGTTTATAATTCTTTAAACTTTGTCTAGGATTTACAATATTAAGTATAACTGACGTTATTCCTTACAGTTACCTGATGGTAGAGTTATTAAAGTCGGCGGTGAAAGGTTTGCTGCTCCTGAAGCACTTTTTCAACCACACCTTATCAATGTGGAGGCTCAGGGTATCGCAGAACTTGTTTTCAATACAATTCAATCCGCAGATATTGATATGCGGAGCGAGCTTTACAAACATATTGTTCTCAGTGGTGGTAGTACTATGTATCCTGGATTACCATCAAGACTTGAACGAGAAATCAAACAGCTGTATCTACAACGAGTACTTAAAAACGACATCTCTAAACTCAATGTATGCTATAAATTATTACACAATTTTAACAGTTTACTTCAAATTACACTCTGTCTTTATTGTTTTAAATTTATAATTGAATTTTTCTTTTTTTTTGTAGAAATTCAAAATTAAAATCGAAGATTCACCACGAAGAAAAGATATGGTATTTATTGGTGGAGCAGTATTAGCCGAAATATCTAAAGACCGCGACAACGTTTGGATTCTACGCGAGGAGTACGAGGAAAAAGGATTGAATGTTATGAAAAAACTAGGCTCGCGTTACGCCTGAGATTAAGAAGAACCGTCCCAAACTTCATGCTGTAAGAGATAATAGAAGAAATGCATTTACTAGTACCTATTATATGTGAAAACTGCGTTTTTTTGTCACTGATACGCGTATGTATATAACATACAGTGACGATAGACGGAGATGAACTACATAGGCGTAGATCGTGTATAGAGCGTACTCTTCTATGCAGTTAGCTGTTAGCTGCATAATTTAGTTCACACATAGGAACGAGGAGTGACGAAAATCTAATAGTAAAAACTAATCTATACTTGAAAAAAATATATATATAATAGATACGCTCAAAGTGCATACAGTTTTTATAAGAAGAATAAAGTCATATTTATTAATTTCTTTTGTTATTCCAGCGTCGATGATTGTATCATGTGCCGAGCAGTATAATCTTGACGTTTTATTTCTGCATCGACAGAAAATGTGCATTTTTTTTCATACGAGGGATGATTCAATGACATTCCGAAACTTTTTTCCGTCGATGTGTATAATTTTGTAAATATGAATCTAACTTTTATTATTATACATTAAAGAGAGAAAAAAAACAAATGATGATTCAAAGTTACATGGTTGTTGTGAAAGTTGATTTTTTGCCTTCATTCAGCAGATGTACGTGCGTGCGAGTGCGCGTACAAATGATATTTTCGATCTCTTTATCGGAGCGTCGGTGTCGAGCGCATTCGAAAGAAGGAAAAGGAAGCTTTGTGCAGCTTATTCGATGAAAATAAGCGGCGTGAATCGTGCAGCGCGTGTTTGCCTGTGTACATACGTGTGCGCATGACGCAAAAATAGACAAACAAACCCTCGCGGCTCGCATGCATCGCACCTACAACATTGAGCTGCAGCAGTCGCTAGTCGCCGTGTGCAGTGCAGTGTGTAAAGCTCTGCGCCTCTAGTATACACTGTACACCGTATATCTATATATCTACCTGTATACATAATAGTCGCGGGATGCGCCGCGGCTGCCGCAGTTCATAATCGCAGTCATGCTGCCGTGCTGCTCCGCGTAACAGAATGCAATAGACGGAGGCGCAGAGAAAAGCGTGAGTAAATGTTGGAGGGTTATCGTCGCGAGGATCGGTGACGCGCAGCTAGGTGTCGGCAGCTCTGGTCTCGTCGTCGTCGCCGAGGATGAACGTCGGCGAGGAGCAGCAGTGTTAGTGCTTGCTTGCGCTACGAAGAAAGCCTGCAGAGAAGTCAAGCGAGCCTAGCTGCCTCGACGAGCACACGTAACGATGCCACCCTTGACGCTCGGCAATGAAAAAAACAACAGCGGCGGCGACGCGGCCAAGCAACGACCGTAAGCTCATCCATAGTCTCTTTATTACGCGCAACAGTAATTGGCGAACTCGCGAAGCTCTACGGATCTCGTGAGTCGTGCCTGCGCCGCGCGTTACGTAAATAAACACGGAGGCGCGCGCGCAAACGAGGCCTGCACTCGGCCTGCACTTACTAGCCTATGACACTATTACATTTATAGGTATGTATGCAAGCTCGACGCGTCATTTCATCCGCACGGAGGTGAGATGATTTTTCTCTTTCTAGCGGTGTCTCGCGCGTGGCTGCACCAGCTCGCCCAGCTCCACTAGTACATTTATTCGTATTCATCGCTGCGGTGTAAACATGATACGTCCGAGTCGCGGCGTAGGGTTTCGCAAGTTCATGATCGATATGTAGCCATCATGTAAACACAGGCAGGCAGACAGGCAAGCGGCTGCGGCTCTGCCGAGATGCGCGGGTGCGTGTATCGTACACGCGATTGCACTTGTAAGGCTGTTGTTGCTGCTGCTTCGCGCGATGCGAGCTGGCGCCGCTGATCGGGCCGAATCTGCGCAGCTTCCTGTGCGGGAGATCGTTTTGTAGAGTTGGCCGTGTGTGGCCCTTTCACCGGTCGACTGCACGTGTATCTGGTACTCTTTACATTTTTTTGTCTCGCCTCGAGACCCGATCGGCCACGTATCGGCGAGTGCATTGCGTTACCGATACGCAGGATGACAGAAACGATTTCCAAAACGAGTCGCGTCTCGTCTTGCGTAAGCGCAACGATCAATCGTGGCGCGTATTTTGACGCGCCTGACTTATTTTAGATTTCATTGCATTTTCAAGGCGTTGTCGCAGTCGGATGCGCTGCGACGAGAGGCGCAAGAATGTCACAATAAACTGCATACAAGTGGCAACATTGCGCCGACTGTCGTAACGGATATTTCGGTTCGCGTTGAAAGATCGCCCGAAACATCCCGCAGCTTCTAGTTGGAGCGCGATAAAAATGTTTCTCTTTCTTCTCGATTAACGACACAGAGCCGGCGTCGAGTTCGCCTTCGCAGCGGCGTCGGGAGTCTGCGCGGGCTGCTTCACCAACCCCATCGACGTGGTGAAGATCCGACTGCAGCTGCAGGGCGAGTTGGCGGCCCGGGGCTCCTACCAGCCCATCTACCGCAACACCTTCCACGCGGCCTACCTCATAGCCCGGCACGAGGGCATCCTCGCCCTCCAGTCGGGCATCGCCCCGGCGCTCTGCTTCCAGGTCTTTCTCAACGGCACCCGCCTCGGCTCCTACTACTTCGCCAAGAACAAGGGCTTCATACTGAACGAGCTCGGCGAGACGAGCGTCTGGAAGACGGCCCTCTGGTCGGGCTTCGCCGGGGCCACGGGCGCCGTCGTGGGCAGTCCCTTCTACATGGTCAAGACGCAGCTGCAGTCCCAGTCGGCCAAGAACATATCGGTCGGCTACCAGCACCACTACAGCGGCGCCTTCGACGCCTTCCGACAGGTGTGGCGCGAGGCCGGCTTCTGGGGCCTCTATCGCGGCTGGTACGCGAATCTGCCCAAGACCTTTGTCGGCTCCGCCACGCAGATCACCGTCTTTGGCCTCGTCACGGATTGGCTTCGCACTTTGGAGGTACTTGTTTACTATTTTGCTCACGATAGCGACTATTTTCGACAGTTTGTTCAGTCTCGTCTCGTCCGCAGCTCTTTCAGAACAAACCCCTGTTTCTGACTTTCGTCGGCTCGCTGTGCAGCGGCTGCTGTTTGGCCGTCGTGATGCAGCCCTTCGACGTCATATCCACGCGACTCTACAACCAAGGCACGGACCCCCAAGGCAAGGGCATCTACTACAGCGGCCTCTTCGACGCCCTCTACAAAGTCTTCAAGATCGAGGGCGCTTGGGGCCTCTACAAGGGCATATTTCCCACTCTGATGAGGAGCGCGCCCCACGTCATACTCTGCCAAGTCTTTTACGAGAGAATATCCCAGTTGTACGACGATTTTCATTGATTCGCCCTTGCTGTTCGTTTTCTATTGTAGTCACTGTGATACATATCATCCAAGAACGAAAAACAAAAAAATAGTGGAAACCTCGACAGGAGAGACTGTTTGCTGGAATATTGTGCATTGTGAACGAACCCTTTGATGCCTTTGAGGACGATTTTTCTTTCGGTTTAACTAGAGAAAAGTGTCCCCGTCGCGAGATTCTTCTTGTTGAATGCAACGATGTTTTGTGCAATCATTAACGAATCAGCTGAAATTTTTAACTCCGAGTCTCGTGTAGACGTTAACATAGAGAATCCTAGTGCATATATTTATTAAAGTGTTGTCCAGTTCGCGAATTATTGTGTATGTTGTGCATTTGTATTTTAAAAATTTTAGATTTTTAGCGTGTTAAACGTGTCGAATTATAAGAAATTGTTAGGGACATTTGAGAATGTCGCTTTGTTGAATAAATTATCAGAGAACTCCTTTTTATATTGAATAAAGTTTAATAGGACAAAAAAATGTGAAAAAAAATTTCTTTTTTGATAAAAAAATCCCAGCCTCCGCTCAGGTACTTGTGAACCGACGAAAGAGCATTATTTTCATCATTGACATCGGACTATACTTTTCAACCAAAAATATCAACGATGGATGGCTTTCAGCAGGCTTCCCACTTTTATTGGGAATCTATTAATTTTTGCTGAATAATTTTTCGAAAGAAAATGACATTGAATGTGTTGGTATTAACAGGTGAAAAAAACCATGCAATGTTGGCTTTAAAAATTATGCGAGTCACTCGAAGATATCAGTTGCTTCGAGCCGTTTTTCATTCTGCGTTGTCGCACTGATAAGAATCGGCGACCGACGCGATAACAGCAATGTACAACGTCGTACGCGAGACGAGCGTGAAACCTTATCAAACGAGTGACATCTATTGCTCTCGCTGGAATCATGGAGGCCGAAAAATCGTAAGCAAATCAAAAGTGGTAAGCGCGCGAAAAGTCAATTTTCTCAAGCAGTACATATTGTATCGGGCAGGACGGGCATTGAATTCGCCATCGGCGGCCTGGCCGGCATCTGCACGGGCATCCTCACGAATCCGGCCGACGTGCTGAAGACCAGACTGCAGTTGCAGGGCGAATTGGCGGCGCCGAGTAGCTACGTGCCCAAGTACCGGGGCGCCTTCCACGCGGCCCTGCTCATTGCCCGCCACGAGGGTCTGGCCGCTCTGCAGGCTGGACTGGTGCCCGTGTTGGGCTTGCAAGTGATCCTGAACGGCGCCAGACTGGGCAGCTATCACTTTGGAAAGGGGACGGGCTGGAGCCTCGACGAGCAGGGCCGGACGGACGTGCTCAGGACGGCTCTTCTGGCTGGCTGTTCGGCGTCGGCGGCGGTCAGCGTGGCCAGTCCCCTTTACCTGGTACCGAAGGACAATTTTGCATTAGCTCCAAAAGCTCGACGGGCTTTACATTTTTATTTTCCTATACGCTTAAAGTTTTAAATACTGTACGTAGGCCAAGGTGAAATTGCAAGCTCACAGTTTCGCGGAGAAAGACAACAAGTGCCGCTTGAACACCTACTCTATTTTCAAATCCCTGTGGAGAGAAAATGGTTTTAAAGCTCTTTATCGTGGTTGGAATGCCAATATTCCAAGGTTATTCGTTGGTTCCGCTGTGCAGCTGACAGTTTATGGACTATCTACCGATTGGTTGGAACCTATCCAAGTGAATAATCTTTATTCTGTCTAGCACAAATGGCATTTTTCAGTAGTTTAAAATTGTATATTTTGCTTGCAGATTATGAGGGAGCAACCGATGTTGTTGACTTTTGTAACTTCGGTCATTAGTGGAACTTGTATGGTCTTCACTATCCATCCGTTTGACGTTATGGCCACCAGACTGTACAATCAAGGTAAGCAATTACCGATTATTATCCCGCTAAATTTGATTTATTTTCATGACTTTTAGGTTCGAATAAATTGGGTCAAGGTAAATTGTACAATGGAATGTTCGACGCCTTGAAACGAATCGTTCGAACCGAAGGCTTTTTCGGTCTTTACAAGGGAATCTTTCCAAACTGGTTAAGACTGGCTCCTTACGTGGTTATTTGTCAAGTATTTTATCAGAAGTTGGCGTTGATTTACGAAGAGAGCAGAAAATAAAAACTTTGACCAAACAATTAAAAACGAAGCCAATATCAATTGATAAAATTTTCACTCGACGCTCGCGTTGTTTTCGTCCGAGGTCTATCTGTAATTGTGGAAGCCTCGGTGAAATTTCATCAGTCCAAGAAGAAGCCGGCAATAAAGCCCCTATCTGAAAAGACCACCAAGTTCGCGCCGATCGAGCTCGCCAACTAATGATCGAAATGACGAAATGAATAAATTAATCGCGTGTAAACTGTATACAACAGATACAGATGTATACAAGTCGGCCCCTACTCCGCAAGAGCCACGCGCAGAGGTGGGGATCGGCACGGACGACTCGTCGAGATGCTGTCAAATAATGGGGGAAATGTTTTTTAGTTTCGTTCTCGATCTAGCCTGACACATGTGCTTTAATCGGACTTAAAATACTGTGCGAGCTGTGTTTAGTACAATGTAATATATGTATCGTGATAATGTCAAGTACTTCCACGTATTCTCTTGACACTTACGTCACATTGCGTGAATGATCCATTGATGTGAGTGTAGTTTAGGGAAAAGCACAAATCACTAAAATATAATAGAGAAGCAACAACGTCATGTCTGCTAACGACAAGAAGATGCGAGTGGCCACACACGACAAGCCGTGCGTAATTTCATCTGAATTTCCATCGATAAAATTAACCATAAATGTTCATTCATAACACTCAAATCATTTTGTTTTCTTGCAATGCCACGGTACAATACGTTGAAAAAAATTAATTGCAATAGTTTGCCTTACGCAATCGTAACGAGATAAAAACAAGCCTGCACGGTATACTAATTTTGCTGATCACGTGCGTTCGTCGGTGCACATATACCTAAGTGTATTCAGGGATGTAGATCTGCAGGTATCTAATTTGACGTTCTAATGACAGGTGCTGTATATAGAATCATTGCAAGTTCTTTTTAACTATTTTGAATAATTTTTTTTTCTTGAATAATGAAGATTGAACGAACGTAGCAGGGGGCGACGAGTTGATAAAAATTTTTGAAACTCTCTGTACCTTGGTGTTTTTAATCTTATTTAAATAAAGTTATCACTTGAATAAAACATGCGAGTCTAACAATGGGCGAATAATTATTTTAATTTATGATATTTTAATTTTTGATTGATGAATTTTTGATCAGCACGAATTATATAACTATTTCAATCGAAAAAAGCGCCAGCTCTATCTGTATTCGTTAAATAAAATTATTAAAATACACTAATAAATTTTACATTCCCCTCTTTCGAAAACAAGGAAATATTTTTTTTTTTTGAAAATTAGCACTTTGAAATTAAGCATCGAATGATGAAATTTACATCTTTTTTTAAATTTCGACGAAAACCATAAGTTTAAAGGCAAAATAATTCTCACTTGGAGCGATTGTACTTTTTATCTGAGACTTTTTGCTATCTGAAAATTTCCCCTCGCAAGCGCGTGCGAATGCAATAGCTTCCGAGCTTATCACTCGATAAATTCAATGTAACGCTGACCTTGACATTGTGGTTATTTTCACTGGTTAATGTCGTGGTAATGGCCGTGAACTATCTCGGCGAGCAGTGCAGGTGTCGAGTTCGCCATCGGCGCCACGGCGGCCGTCGGCGCCGGCTTCTTCACCAACCCCATCGACGTGGTGAAGATCCGACTGCAGCTGCAGGGCGAGCTCGAGGCTCGGGGCACCTACACTCGAGCCTATCGCAACACCTTCCACGCGGCCTATCAGATAGCCCGCCACGAGGGCCTCCTCGCCCTGCAGTCGGGCCTGGTGACAGCTCTCGGTTTCCAGGTCGTGCTCAACGGCACCAGACTGGGTTCCTACAATCTGGCCAAGAGGTACGAGCTGATAGTCAACGAGGCGGGCGACACCAACGTCTTCAAAACGGCGACGATCTCCGGTATCGCCGGCTGCGTCGGAGCCGTACTGGGCAGCCCTCTGTACCTGGTAAATTCGATACAATGTACGACGACGAACGAGCCTGGGCGTCTTCTAATCGATCCCACACATCCGCTTGCAGGTGAAAACTCAATTGCAATCGCAATCGGCCAAGAGCATAGCCGTGGGCCATCAACACAATCACAGCGGCACTATGTCGGCCTTTCGAACGCTCTGGCGGGAGGGTGGAGTGAAGGCTTTGTACAGAGGATGGTACGCTAACATACCGAGGGTCTTTGTTGGATCGGCCACTCAGCTCACGACTTTCGGTCTCTTTTCCGATTGGCTTCGACCCATGGAAGTTCGTTACCTTTTCCCTTTCTAACTCGTATTATAAGAAAATTTCCAACGACTTTTTCTTTCTCTATTTAAAGATGTTCACCGACAAGCCGATCTTTTTGACGTTTGTCGCATCGTTGATGGGTGGAAGTTGCGTTGCGTTGACCATGCAACCCTTCGACGTTGTAGCTACTCGTTTGTACAATCAAGGTAAGACTAATCTCATCCTCTGAATACTCCTGCTTTGGCTCTTATTAATCGTTTCTAATTTTCATAGGTACTGATGCAAAAGGTCGTGGCTCACTGTACAATGGACTATTCGACGCGCTTTACAAGATATTCCGCACAGAGGGAGTCTTCGGTCTTTACAAGGGCGTCTTTCCAACCTGGATGAGAATAACTCCACATACAGTTCTGTGTTTGGTGTTTTACGAAAAAATAGCTCGATTTTTGGGTGACTCGGATGCGTAAAGTCTGCCCCTTAATCAATTTATACGATCTTGAAAAATCACAACAGTTGGTTCTCAAGATTTTCGTCATTATGCCTTTGTGAGGCATAAATGTCTATTGTGATTGTATAAAATACTTTTGTCTGTGAAAAAATCTCAAAGATAGTGAAAATATTTTTCTTACTAGTGAAATATGAAATTTAAACGAATGATCATTCCTATTACAATTTAATGGAAAAAAGTGTGTATAATAATAGTTTTGATATGAATATGATGTTTAAATAATAAATTGTTTGAATTCAATATGATATAAATCAATTCAAACATTTTTTTAACTTATTGCCTAGACGTGTTATTGCAAATTATAAATCAAACGAGCTTGGAACTTAAATTCCAAGTCGTCATCTAGCAAAGCTAATTCAAAAAATTGTTCTTTTATTCCTTGAATTTTCCATTTTCATTCAATTTAAATAGCCACGGCTGAGAGCCTTATTGCAAAACGGAGAATGGTACCACCAGCTGGAGCATGAGCAGCAACAGCAGCACACGCAAGAGGCGTAGAAGCTTTGCAGCGGGTACAAATGCAGCTGCAACCCTCAAAGCTCCCGGTGGCGCGCGGCGAGTATGCACACTCGAGCTTACGTTACATAATCCATACAAGAGCTTCGAAAAGCCGCTGCGGCTGTCCGGAGCTAGCACGCATTGCGAAGCTCGCTCGTGCGTCGCGTGAAAATAGCTCCGACGCTGCATCAGCTGATTCGCTCTCGATACTTACGACTGATTTCCTTTTGCACTTGCATTCTTTTCCATCATTTGCTAAAAGATTCATTCGAATGAAAGTGGTGCAAACAAAATTATTTTCTCCGCGAGCTAAGTGAATTTTAATGTGCGGTGAATTTGCGTTTTTTTGCATCGAAGAAAAGAGCAGCGAAAAGTTTGACGGACGATTTGTGAAGAATCATTGCAACACTATGAAAGCCAAGTGCAGAAAGTTTACAGCTGACTCGAAGATAATTCACGTGAAAGCTGCACAAGTTCTCGGGGAGAAACTTGCCCGTAGGAATTTTTGATAAAATGTACGTTTTGTTTTGATCGACACTGTTTTTTACTCGCATCATAGAAAACCGTACGAATTCAAACTGCCTTACTGCAACGTCGAACACACGAATTCTCGAGTCCACTTTCATTGACAAAAAAGAAAAGAGCAAAAAAATAGAGGAAATTTTCCTAACCGTGTCAGTCGAGAATGATACCGAAGCCAGCGCGCTCGATATGATGCTACATTGTTATATTAAAGCTCTTGGAAAGTTGCCCGCTTACAGTGCACTCGCGCTACTCGAGGCTTTTGTGTGTAGAGCGCGATGTTTGAAGGACCGCGGAAATTCGAAAGCCTTTGTTGACTCTAATGTCATTTTAATGTTCAGCCGAGTTTTAGAAATGAAAGAAAAAAAGAAAGGAAAGAAAATGAAATCGAGCCAAAAATAGCACGACTACATAGTTTAATCTCTCACAACAATGTCAATGTTCTCGCGCAGTGCCGATCTACTGATCCGACATAAATGACCGAGCCCCTTCTTTGCGTCCGATCAATCGTCGACGCTTGTCTCGTAAATCAACAGGCCGACTGCGCGATCCAAGTCCATTTGTCTAATTGCGAAAGAGATATTCGCGTAGTTGCTCGGCGTACGGCTTCAGTTGGATATTAATTTTCAGAGCCGACAGCAGCCCCGACGATGGAGCTCGCCATAGGAGCCGTGGCCGCTCTCTGCGCTGGTTTCTTCACCAACCCCATCGACGTGGTCAAGATCCGACTTCAATTGCAGGGCGAACTCGAGGCTCGGGGCTCCTATCGGCGCATCTACCGCAACACCTTCCACGCGGCCTACCTCATCGCCAAGCACGAGGGGGTCTTCGCGCTTCAAGCCGGCTTAGCTCCGGCGCTGGGCTTCCAAATGGTCCTCAATGGCATTCGCATAGGCGGCTACAATTTGGCCAAGAACAACGAGCTGACGCTCAACGAGGCCGGCCAAGTCGACGTGCTGAGGTCCCTGCTGGTCTCGGGCGGCACCGGATGCATCGGCTCGGCGATCGGCAGTCCCCTCTACCTGGTCAAGACGCAGCTGCAGTCGCAGGCCCCGAGCAGCATAGCCGTCGGTACTCAGCACAATCACGCGAGCACAATGGCAGCCTTCAGGGAGCTGTGGAGGCAGGGCGGCCTCAAAGGCATCTACAGAGGCTGGCACGTGGGTGTGCCGAGGATATCCGTCGGCTCGGCTACGCAGCTCACCACCTACAGCGTCGTTGCCGATCATCTCAAGACTTATCAGGTACGTACAAATCAATATAGATATTTAACCAGTAAAAACCCTGTTTATTTGATTCTTAATCAAAGTGGACTTTTTACAATTTTGTTTACTTTACGGCAATAAACATTTACATATAAATATATTCTCGTTTGTTTCTGTCAACAGATATTCCACGACAAACCCATGTGGTTGACATTTTTTGCATCGCTCGTCGGCGGTACCTGCGTCGCTGTCACGATGCAACCTTTCGATGTCGTAGCCACACGAGTTTACAATCAAAGTTAATACAAGCACTTTTCATTATCGATACAATAGTTTTTCGCTAATTTATAAGTAACAAATTGCCCCTCTAACATCACGCTCGTTTTTTTTCAGGAACTGATGCGGCAGGAAAAGGTGTGCTTTACACCGGTCTTTTTGATGCATTTTATAAAATTCTCAAAACGGAGGGTATTACTGGACTGTACAAAGGAGTTTTTCCCACCTGGCTGAGAATTGCTCCACATACTGTGCTATGTCTCGTTTTTTACGAGAAATTCGATCAGTTTTTTAGTGAAAATTTTAGATAAAACGTTGATCGTCATGGTACGCCGTACAAAAGTGTATAAAATTACAATGCTTATCACATTTATGTAAACATTTTAAAAAAATGAGAACAAGAATATCGTCGTAAACGCTCTTACAATGTACACTGCCTCAAAAAATTTTTACACAAACTACAAAGGTATATATAAAATGCATACGAACAAGAGATTTAAAAACGCGCAACATAGCGAATTGTTAGTTATTCTATTTCAAACCAATATCGCAAGTTGTTCAATTCATTATTTAAATTAAAAGTTAAAAAATTAAAATATATCTAATTGTTGCGTTTAAAATGACTATAACTTGTAAAAAGTAATCAACACACCGTAGACTTAGAATTTTTAACGTTATTCTCTTTTATAATCTTTGGTGCCATTTTGAAAATCGAAAGCACCCAAAATAAATATATTAGAAGTACTTTCTTACGCCATACTGATGTTTTAAATTATCTACAATAGACGTCTGAAGTACTGTTTCTTTATATAGGAAGACTGTCATGTTTCACATTACACAGATGGGTAGACAGGCGTAGATGGTATATTGGGTCTTGAGTGTAATCCATATGATACCGATTCTGCTATTTCATGCGTTGGTTTTCCTCGCGTTTCGGGCATGTATATCCTACGGAAATACATGAAAAGTTATTGTTAAAATATTAAATAGAAATAAATGCCTCAACTTGATTCAATTATTTTTTTAGTGATGTACTATTAATATTTACTGTATTATATTTCACATAAATAAAAATTTAATATAAGTATTAATATAAAATATTAAATTATAGTCATGTAACATCTTTACCTGCAGAACAGTGCCAGCATCATTGTACAGAATATGAAAAAGAAGAACGATCCCCATCCCAAATATTTTTGTAAGAGAGTAAATGTCATTCCAACAATGAAATTGCCACCCCAATTACACATACTTCCCACTGACATTGCAGCCGATCTGGGACCTACATCAAATAATTCTGAACCAATGAAGTAAGGAATAGGTCCCAATCCAATGCCATAAAATAATACAAATGCAAGTACAGCCGCCATACAAATCCACTTCATGAATGAAACGTCCTAAAAGTTATAAAAATTATTTTTATAATCAAATTTCGAAGCAATATTTTTATACTTATATTATTATTATGTTTTTTTAATCACTTACAATCATAGCAACTGAAGCGCTAAGCACTAGTAAACATGCTATTGATGTACTGGCACTAACAAGAAACAGAGTTCTTCTCCCAAATCTAGACATCATAGGTACAGATATCAGTGCCATTGCCACGTTAATTATACCTGTTCCGACTGTAGCGTATTGGGAAGTTTTTACATCCAAATCTGCTTTTTTGAAAATTTCGTTTGAATAATAAAATACTGCATTGACACCACTTAATTGTTGACCAAGTTGTAAAAAGCATACAAGCATAAGTGGTAATTTTAAAGTTGGTTCTTTAAACAGTCTGGATATCGTCCAGCTAGTGTTTGATGACTGTGTAGTTAATTCCATCTCCAAGTCATCTATTTCTTTGTGCAATAGTACCCTATCAGTGTTTCTAAAAGAGCTTAAAACTGCAAAAGAATTTTAAAATTTCACTCACTAATCTTTTTGTAAAATAATTATTAATTTTAAAAATAAACCTTTTATTGCATCTTCCTTTTTTCCTTTAACAACATAAAGATACTTTGGAGTTTCTGGTAATAAAGTAACAAGTATTAAAGAAGATACTATGCAAAATGGAGCAAAGGCTGCCAACATGTAGTGCCAATGATCCTTGGTTCCTAAAACAGAACCAAGGCCAGCTATTTGTCCAAGTAATACGCCACAAGTAATTCCTAATTGACATAAAACACCAACAGCTCCACGTAATTTGATTGGAGCAACTTCTGTCATGTAAGTTGGTAAGAGACTGGTGGCAAGTCCACCAGAAATACCAACAAGGATTCTTCCCAGCATAAATGGTATAACAGAATTAGAAACTGGTGTTATCCAGAAAAGAATAGCTCCAAGTATGCCAAAAATATTCCCAACTATTAATGCTCTTTTTCGACCTATTCTATCTGCTAAATCCCCAGCAGTCAAAGATCCTGTGACTCCACCGATTAAAAAGATTGAAACAATTGCAGACCATAAAATTTCCAAACTAGTTTCACTCAGTGATGTGTTCATTCCAAATTGATAATGCACACTTTCATTGCAAAATTGTTTCATAATCTGTAAGTTTATTTAAGAATATTGTTAATATCTTGTAGCATAACTTAAGGTAAATGCTTAAAAAAGTCAAAAGGTATGATACGCACAGATGCAGCATTTCCCATAGAGCCTATGTTATATCCAGCTGGTAATGCTGATCCTAAACATCCAGTTATACTGGCAATAATTAGTAAACAAGTCCATCCTCCTGGTTGATTTTCTGCTTCTTTTTTCTACAATATTTGTAAATCATTTTAATTTTTATTTGAGACTCAAATTTCAATGAGTTTTTATAGAGTTGCTTGTTAGAATATTAATTTTAAATTATTAAATTTATTTTAATTATCTGAACCAATTGAGTTTTTCTATTTTTTTCAGTAGTTAAAAGCCAGCCCAGTTTTGTACACCAACTTAGGATATATAATCAGAAAATGAAAATTGTTCAAAAAATCATCATAAATTTTCAAAAAAATTCATTATATACCAAAGCATATTTACTCTGATCTACTCTTATTTAAACAAGTCATACTGGTTGATTAACATATCATTCGAATAAGCTTGTTTTATCTAATCTGAGGATGAATTAAGAGGAAAAGAGTGAAGTACAAACTACTGCATCGAATGAGATAGGTAAAAGAAAGCGCAATAATAATTAGCAAAGTTAACAAATGATTGCAAGTAAACAATTGATGCTCAAGTCATCATAAATTTTATCACACACTGATCAATTCGAAAGTGAGGTGGATATAGGTGAACTTACGTTTTTGTTATTATCAGTGACAATTTTGATGCCGCCGGATTTGTGTAGCACCGAGACTTCCGAATCTGCAACATTGTCATTATTAGCACCAATCGTTCCATTGCCGTTCACCCGCAAAGGTTCATTTTCTTGACTGTCCATTGCTATTTATAGGTTTGTCCGCTTTTTTTCTTTTAAATTATTATATTACATATAGATAATGTGCGTATGCTTCGCGTCCGCTTCGTGACACGGCCAGTTGGCCGTCTGCTTTGTGTGTAAACCAATGCACATTCATAATACTCGATGCTAATATAAAATGCGAGCTTGAATCTTGTGTATGTTTTCAAAACATTAGGGCAACTTCACAATAGCCGCAAATTGCTCGAAGCTTATAAAGCAAACAAATTTGACGGCAGCTTTATGTATATACGCATGTGGTATAACAGAGTTCGTTGATTCTTGATTGAGTTAAATGCGCTTGCGGGAATTGATTTGATACTTAACTATAGCGTGAGTAGTAAATGGATTTACTTGATTTTCATAGTATCATATACTTTATTTTGAATTCAAAACTTTAATTTAGATTTTGTAATTGATAAGTCAACGTTGGAGGGATTTTATAACTTGAATTCTTGTATCATTAGAATGCCGATGAGAGATTGTGGATGATAATGAAATTAATAGAAAACTTGTACATTTTATAGAATTTGTCATTTGTAAAATGTGAATACTTTTTTTGCTTCGTAGAAAAAGTCGCGCGAGTACTCGAGATATCTACGAGAAAATTTGAACTCGATACGCAATGAATTATTAATTTAGCGTGAATGTGTCACATCTAAGCTGTGTACGATATCGGAGCAAACAAATCAAATCAGTGCATTATCCGCGTGCCGATACATTTCAAGGCCACGCCACAATTTCAAAAGCCGATTAATAATTCTATCAATCTGTATTGTCTCGCTTTCTATTCATTCATAATAGCTACGATCAGTAATTCATACGATCTGATTTAAATTCGTGTCGAATTTTCTGGCACAATGTGCGATAGCTTATCGCTAATTTGGTGGTAACGATATTTTGGTATTTTCTCGCGTAAAACACAAGTACGACATGTCCGTAAAACATAATTATTTTGCCGCGTTATAAGCACGACGTAAATCGATGTTGTTGGTATTTATCCGGATAAAAATCTTCGCGGGGATGTTCGCGTACAGATGAGAAGATTATATCTCGCGTAACGAGAGATTCTTACATCATTGCCTGCGGTGTTACGTGAAAGCTGCAAACGTTTATTTCGTCGAGAGCTTTTTCTCGTCTAGAACATTTCTTCGTCAATTTAATATGCGAGAACGAAACTTCGAACGCAGACATTTTTTGCTCAACTATCCACGAAGACCTGTCGGTCAAATTTGAAAAAAGCGACGGAAACCGATTGTTTTTCCGAACGATCGTTGATTAAAAGTCTCCGATTATTTTCAATAACAAAACATACCTCTTGTTTGCGTCATAGCGGAGCATAAAAATGCTGGATTCTTGAATAAATCAATGCTCTCTCGGTGCCTAAGAGATGTTTCGACGACGAGCACTCGGGAAAGAAGGTCGATCCGAAATGCAAGCAAGCCACTCTAGAATTTCTCCATAAGCTGTATAAACGACCTTTGAATGGACGCTGAGCTCGGCTCATTCACGTGATTCACAGTCCTTCTCTGTACAGGGCAACGAAATATAAATAAACACTAAAGTGCATTGAGTCGCGTGCGAGGCTCAATTCAAGAGATCGTTTACAGCCAATGACTCTCTCGTACTACGACATTAGAAGTTAGTTTACGACTAGCGACTCTTATCGATCGGACAGTCGATTCTTTCTTACGACGCCGTAATAAAATCATGAGCGCGCCTCGCTTTATCTCCTACGATAATTATTATTGATGTTCGCTCGTTACGTCTATATTATATACTAAAACGAGCTCAGGACTGACAGCTGTAGGATGTGTCGTGTATGTGTGTATATTAAGCTGTTCCTCACGTGAAGTTTTATATAATTCATTGCGATGGTCATGATTGATTAGTTGTGCGAAATCACGCGCGAAACACTATCGCAACCTATACGCGCTTATCGGACACTTGTACCATTGGTATTTGTATAGAACAGAATTTTTACAAGCTGCATTATCGCAAGTGTGCTACCGATAATTCGGAAATAATTTACGAACAACAATACACGTAATTTTTGGAATGTTTAAAATAAAGGCAACAACGTTCGAGATCTCAATAATTGCTTTATTTATTCTATAATAATATCATTACATTTTATTACTCATACATGTTTGCGATACAAAAAATTATTTTATCGTTTTCATTTGAGATGCGTGAAAGTATTTTTGCGAATTAAAAATTCCTTATGAACTATATATCACTTATAAATTTACAAGCTAGTTTATTAACTAAAGGCCATTGTCTTCCGAGCATCTCATGCATTTGAGCTGCAAGAAGGAGAATGACGAATAAAACATTCACAAACCTCGCTTCTTTTTGATTTTATGTACACTTTTTTGGCTTGTATCAGACTCTTTCAAACGTTCCTTTTTATCGGATAAATATTTTACCTTTGCAATGCATCAAAGCGAATAATTTCATCCTTGTGTCTAAACATCGAATTCTTGGTCTCACCTAGAGGTAATCTGAATTTTTCTCGTTCTTTTTTGTCGTAGAAGCAAGGTTTATGACAGTTTGAACATTATAAAAAAGTAAAAAGTTGAATCTACGAATGGAAGACTCGAATTGAAAGAAATAGGGTTGTAAATCCTCGGCGAACATCGTCGTGTTTCGGGCAGTATCTTGGAAAAAATCCGTGAATCGTTGGCGCGGTTTAAGTACAATCGGTCGGATTTTGCGTGCCAATTCCGCGCAGTCCATTGGTGAGCGTAGTCAAGAGCGGATATTTGCCGCAACCGCAGGTGTTGCGGAAATCGTCGAGGTCCAGAGCCCATATCATTCCGCCGCCCAGATCGAGATCTCTGATGAATTGCGCCTGTAAATGTAATAATTCAGCGTTAAGCGATGCCATTACAGCGATCGATCGACGGGGAGATTCGTGTAATTGAAACTCGATGGAGGCAAATGTTATTGATTGGACAATAAAAGTGCTAATTTTACCGATGCCGGCTAGAGAAGGAGCGATTGATTAATAGAGATGGAAGCAGATATCGCGACACTATACATCGCGCCGAGAGATCGATAGGTTTCTATTTTTTCCTCGTTCATTGGGAAAATTTATTTACTCCTTTTGATTTGAACGATGAGCGGTTTTAAAGTCATATAAGAGTCAAAAAAATATATTTGTCTCGAGCGTGACTGACCTTTCTTGCGACTTGCGATATGTCATCGTATCCAACCCATTGATTGCCATGGGTCGCATAGGGACCGATACGACCTTCGGGATCGACGACCTTGGTCCAGCCTTCTTTTTTAACCTTAGTACAAATCTGAAAGGAAAAAAGGCCAAGGTGAATATTTCCAAAGCGGAGGATGTGAGAATTGTCGTGAGAAAGGCGAACCTCGTAAAAGGATAAGAATCCGGCAGCTCTGGTGAAGGTGCCAGCCTGTCCGGGTCCTGGCGCGGGGGCGTTCAGTCCGTTGTCGGCCTCCTTGGCCAGGGTGAAGCTCTGGCCGTACATGGGCAGGCCCATGACGAGCTTCCTCGAGGGAGCGCCCTTCTCGATCCAGTAGCGCATGCTGTAGTTGGCGTTGAAGTAGTCGTAGTCGTCGCCCGGATAGTAGTAGAGGGGGGCGTTGTGGCCGGTCTTCTTGTCCCACTGGCCGTGATAGTCGTAGGTCATGACGGCGATCCAGTCGAGGTGCTGGCCGAGGGTCGGCACGTCGTAGCCGGCGTCGATGACCCGCTTGCTGGGCGACACGGCCGCCGAGAGGAGGAGATTGCGCGGCTTGAAGGCGGCGCTCAGCTCGCGCACCCACGCGGCGAAGCTCTCCTTGTCCTTGGCCGGGCCCTTCTTGCAGTCGACCTGCCAGCAGACCGGGTACTCCCAGTCGAGGTCCAGGCCCGAGAACTGGTGCCTCTCGATGAACTTGACGATGTCGTCGACGAAGCGCTTGCGCGCCTGCGGATTGTTCACCAGACGGCTGTACTTGTCGCCGGCCGAGTCGTTCCAGCCGCCGATGCCGATCAGCACCCGGATGCCCTTCTTCTTGTGCTGCACCACCCGCTGGTAGAAGCGGTTGTCCACGTCGGCCCACGAGTCGTGCATCTTGATCACCAGACGCTCAAAGTCCAGCACGGCGAAGCCGTAGACTATGTGCGTGCACAGGTTCGTGTCGACGTCCTCGGGCAGGTACTTGCCGGCGCCCTGCCTGTACCAGGCCCAGTTGGTGAAGTAGCACACCATCTTGCGGCCGTCCATGCTGAGGTCCTCGGGCTCGTCGATCGGCTCGGGGGTCGTCGACGTCAGCGACGGATCGACCCATTGCCACTGGCTCTGAGTCGTCGTGCTCCAAGGGCTAGAGGTCACCGATGGCCTTGGCGTCGAACCACTGCGTAATCGTACAGCACCATCAATTATTGAATTGAACTATGTTAAATTTACCAAGCGAACTCGAATGAACGATACTCACGATGGGACCGAAGCTACATCGTCGTTGGGGGGCTTACGATCGCATTTCGTATTCACGGGCCAATCGCAATGTTCTTTGTTCCAGTAGAGGCCGTTGGGACAGATTTGCTCGGAAACCTGGTCGTGATTGCATACGTAGTACTTGCGGCAATCCGTTTTGTGGGATAAGAATAGTTTTCCCTCGCAATCTTTCATGTTCGGGTACTCGTCTTTCATGTTCGTGTCCATTTCCACCTCGTCGTAGACTGGACTAGTTGAACTAGCTCCTGGAGTGCTGGAAGTCGGTCTCGCTGGTTTCGGAGTCGTTGCTATTGACGGCGTTGATGGCTTCGACGGTTTCGATGGTTTAGATGGTTTTGACGGTTTCGATGGAATTTGCGGAATCGGTTTTGGAGTAGCTGTTTCTCCTTCCAGCAAAGGATACTCTACAATTTCAATTGAAACGCGTTATCAAGTTAAGCTAGTGAAATCCTTCCGTTTAAAATATATGTAATAGACACCTACCAGTGACTTTGCACAATGGACCAGGAGGATAATTTCTCAAGACTCTGTTCATGGTCCTGAGCAGTGGATTCGGCTCGCAGCCGCAGTAATTTTTAAAGTCGTCCAAATCCAACGCCCAGACCATACCACCGCCCAGTCCAAGCTCCTTGATGTACTCGGCTTTACGCCTGACTTGTTCGGCGTCGTCGAAACTGACCCACTGATCTCCTTTGTAGGCGTAGGGCCCGATTCGTCTCAGAGGATCTTCGACCACTGTCCAGCCCTTCTTCAGAGTTCTCTGGCAAATCTGTAAAAGGCACGAGTCGTTACGAATGGAGGCGATGATTTTCCAAGTCAATAATTATAAACGACGAGTACCTCGTAGTAAGATAGGAAACCACGAGCCCTGGTATCGTCCCCGGCCTCTCCGCCACCGTAAGTCGGCGCCTCGAGTCCGTGCGTCTTGGCCTCGGCGAGCGAGAAACTCTGCCCGTACAGAGGAACGCCCATGACCAATTTTTTCGCGGGGGCTCCTCGCTCCATCCAATAGTGAATGGAAAAGTTCTGTAAATAGATTCAATAATTATTTTACGATTGTGCTCGTGCTCGGAATTTGAAGGAAGCTAATCGAGGGAACTTACCGCGTTGAAGGTTTGCTCCCAGTCGTCGGGGCGCGCGTAGAACGGAGCATTGTGTCCAGTTTTCTTGTCCCATTGGCCGTGATAGTCGTAAGTCATGACGGCGATCCAGTCGAGGTACTCGGCTAGTACGGGCACGTCGTAGCCTTCGTTGATCACGCGCTTGTTCGGCGACACGGCCGCCGAGAGCAGCAATCCTCGGGGCTTGAACACGGCGCTCAACTCGCGCACCAGAGCGCTGAATCCGTCTTTGTCGGATTTCGGACCTTTCTTGCAGTCGACCTGGCATAATTAGTTTTTTCATTAGATATTTATCGGTGAAAAAAACAACAAATTGATAATAGAGTCAATGAAAAAAGTCGTACCTGCCAACAGACTGGGTACTCCCAATCCAAGTCGAGACCGTCGAATCCGTATTTATCGATGAATTGAACGATGTTGGTGATGAAGCGTAATCTTGCATCCGGGCTGTTGACGAGTTTGCTGTACTTGTCGTCGGCTGAGTCATTCCAACCTCCGATGGCCACGAGAACCTTTTTACCCTTTTTCTTGTGAGCCACTACTCTCTCGTAAAAGCCTGCCAAAAAGTAACGAGAAAATGAACTGCCATTCGAATTTTTTGGATAGTTCTGAAAGTCCAGCATAGAATTTTAAGCGTACGGTTATCGATATCCGCCCAAGAGTCGTGTGTTTTTATGGTGAGCGTAGAGCCGTCGAGGACAGCGAAGCCGTACATGATGTGCGTGCAAAGATCCGTGTCGATGTCTTCGGGCAGAAATTTGCCGGCGCCCTGCCTGTACCAGGCCCAGTTGGTGAAGTAGCACACCATCTTGTACTCGTCGTCTTGTTCGTTGGCGATCTCGACGGGAGTCGGCTGGGTCGGTGGCGCTTCCGGCTTGTCCAGCACCGGCTTCACGGGTTTCACGGGCTTACCGGGGGCTACGGGTTTTTCACCGACGTACGATGGACTCGGTGGCTTCCATTCGAGCTCTTGTCCAATGACCGGCAGAGGAATAGCTGAAAATTCGAGCGACGCACGAGTGAAGAAAACCATTGCCATCGTTTCACAGGGGAAAAAAGATCGTCGTTCGACTTACGTCTGTCGTGCTTGTTGGGAGGCATGGCGAGCACTTGCTGCAAGGTGTGCATCAGCGGATGCTTGCCCTCGTTGCAGCGCCCCTTGAAGTCGTCCAAATCGAGAGCCCAAACCATTCCTCCGCCCAAGCCCATGTCCCGGATGTACTGAGCCTTCTGCCTGATCATGTCGGCGTCGTCGTAGCCGACCCACTGGTTGCCCTTGTACGCGTAAGGGCCCATGCGTCTTTGGGGATCCTGCACGACCGTCCAGCCCTTGTTCTTGACGCGATCGCAGATCTCGTAGTAGGCCAGGAAGCCCGCGGACATGGTGAACTCGCCGGCCACGCCGACGCTCGCGGGTCTGTTGAGGCCCGTTCCGGAGCTGGGGTCGTTCAGCGTGAAGGCTTGGCCGTACAGGGGCAGACCCATGACCAGAGTTCTGGCCGGGGCGCCCTTCGACAGCCAATAATTGATCGAGTAATTGGCGTTGAAGTAGTGAATGTCGTCGTCGTCGTGATAGTACAGGGGCGAAGCGTGGCCGGTCTTCTTGTCCCACTGGCCGTGGAAGTCGTAGGTCATCACGGCGATCCAGTCGAAGTACTTGGACAAGGTCGGCACGTCGTAGCCGGCGTCGATGATCTTTTTGTTCGGCGATACGGCCGACGACAGAAGCAGACCCTTCGGTCTCAGAACGTCGCTGAGTTCCCGGACGAGGGCCGTGAATCCCTCTTTGTCGGAGGCCGGTCCTTTTTTGCAATCGGTCTATAGAGGTGGACAATGGCAAAAATGTAATTCGGCTGTGTTAGCAGTGTTGAGACGTGCGAACGTATAATGATTCAAGCGACTTTGTCCTTACCTGCCAGCAAACGGGATACTCCCAATCGAGATCTAGACCGTCGAATCCGTACTTCTCGATGAACTGCAGGGAGTTGGTGACGAATCTCTTCCGAGCTGCCGCGTCGTTCACGAGACGGCTGTATTTGTTGCCCTCGGAATCGTTCCAGCCTCCGAGCGCGAGACTCACCTTGACACCTTTTTTCTTGTATGCCACGACTCTCTCGTAAAAGCCTACGAAAATACACGAGAACTGGTTAACCAGATCGAATTCCGAATAAAATTCATTTTAAACTTACGGTTGTCGTAGTCGGCCCAAGAGTCGTGAGCCTTGATGACCAGGTTGACGGGGTCGAGTACAGCGAAGCCATAAACGATGTGGGTGCAGAGACTGTGGTCGATGTCCTCGGGCAGATATTTACCGATGCCGCGTCGGTACCAGGCCCAATTCGTGAAGTAGCAGACGACCTTGAAGTGACCCGAGAGCGGAGACGGCGCGGAATCGAATTCACTGAGCGGAAGCAAGTCGGACTCGGTCGTCGGTCTCGGCGACTCGGTGGACACCGCGGCTACCTCGTCGTCGCTTCCGAGCGGATCGAGCGGAATCTCCTGCGGGGGCCTGTGAACGTTGCAACGAGCTCGGGCGGGCCAGTCGCAGATCCTGTCCTCGGCGTTGAAGTGCAGTCCGGGGGCGCACTTGTTCCACTGCAGCTGTCCCCAGAGGCAGGTGTAGTAGCTCTCGCAGTCGTCGGGCACGGGCATGAAGCTCCCGGACTCGCACTGGTAACGAGCGACGACGTCCTCGCTCGGCCAGACGACGGCCGGCTTGGCCTTGGCCTTGCACGGATTCTTGTAGGCCCAGTCGCACATGTTCTTGGCGCTGCTCCAATTGAGCCCGGGGCCGCACTGTTGGCGCACCAGTCTGCCATTGACGCAGATCTGGAACTCGGTGCACGAGCCCGGAATCGTGTAGTACTGGCCGTGCTCGCATTGCTTTCCATTGGACTCGTGGATCTCGTCGTAGCTCGACTCGATTATCGATGTATCGTCGTAGTTCACCGTTGTGCTCGTAGTTGTTGGCCGACGAGTCGTTGTGGTACTTGGACTCCCTAAAATATTAATTATTATTTTCACTTACGACGTTAAAAATGACGATGATAAAAATTAAAAACATAGGTCTAATTGTAAAAACCGATTAAATCATATTTTAAAAAGAAAAAGTAATTTCCTATGAATATTTAAAATGATTTAGTCTATATAGGCTCAAATTTAAAAATTCCACGATGTACGATTCAACAGCATAAACAAAAGAAAAGAGATAAGTTTCAATCACTCTCGCGCACAGTTACAAGACGCACGATAATATCATGTAGACGATCGTTGATATACCTTTTTCATTGTAAGGGCTACACTTTTTGCCGCAACTTCCGGTCTCGTTGCTTTGAATGCTCTCTAAAAAGCCGATTATCAAAAAGCCGATCAGTACGAGGCTCATGAAAATAGTAACTCGAGCCATTATCCTCTTGATAGGTGATCGAGCGTCTCGATTATTTGTGTATTTTTGCGTCTTTGTCGCGAAACGAGCTACCGATCACTGTGTGTGCCGCCGCCGCGACTGCAACGGCCTATGTGAAAAGATGCACGCGACGAGCATCGCTTTTATAAAAGCCATCGGAACGAAGCGTCGAGCGCCAAGCTCATCCGTCCACTCAATAATCAATGACGCGTTACTACATTGCGCAATTATATGCTTTGCGCGCGCTATACATGTGCCTACATAAAATGCACGCCCGCCTGCCAGCCTATGTGCAGATGTGTGCGTGCGCGTATTTGCCGAGCAAGATTTTACAGATATGTTGTACAATTGTACGTACACCTCGCACATCCTGAATAACGACCGATTCCCGAGCTGTTTCATAGCTCGGACGGATTGATTGCTCCACAGAGAAGCAGATGCTTCTTGATGGCTACGTAAACGCAGAAAACTAAATGGACGGCACGAGAGGTGGATTTTGATTTCGCCTCGACGCTCGATCGTTATATTGCATGTACGCGATTGAAAATTTGTTGCTGTTTTTTTCTTCGAACCGCGAGACAAAGCATACACGAGACCTTTCGTTTCGTATAGCTTTACGATCGCAATACAGCGACGTACGACTTTTCATCCTATCGTAAACGAACGAGCACATACGTAAGGAGTAACGCTTCGGAATCACTAATTAGCTCGCGATAATAAAGTTTTGCGCTATCCTCGTGTGTCATTGTATTTCAATCACGTACGATATTATAGCGACCCACATGTATTAATAATATAAAAAAAAAAACTCGGCGATTATTATTCGATTAATAATATGTTTTATACTTTGTAATAATAACGTTGAATATTTCATGCTCACTCAGGCAGTTTTCGCTCATATATGAACGTCGAAAGGAAAAATAAGAATCGACTCACCGCCGTGCAGTTGGCAATTGACTTTGCTGGGCCAGTCGCATTGGTTGCGATTCGTGTCGTAGTGAAGGCCGGGCGCGCAAGACTCTCGCTTGAACTCGCCCAGTACGCAGCGATAGTAGGTGCCGCAGTTGTGGGGATCTCGTCTGTGCTCGCCGAGGGTGCAGGAGACACCCCCGAGCATCGGTGGGTTACCACCCGGCAGGTATTCCGCCAGAGTCGACGGCTTCCTCGTGGTCGTCGCTGCCCAAGTCACGGTCGGCCTCCTGCGAGCAATCGTCCGTGCTTTTTATAGGAAAATGTCGCTCGACGCGTTTGCAATACATTCGCGGATCGCAGCGACTTACCTGGTAGTAGTCGAGGTGGTGGTGCTTTGCGTACTCCACCAGGTCGAGGGCTTTTCGGACCAAGACCAAGTGGTCGAGCTGCTCTGGTCCCAAGGAGTCGAGGGTCTGTCGCTCCAAGTTGGCCAGGTCGTCGAGGACATGGGCGAGGTCGGCTTCGACCAGTTTTCATTGGCGTCCGAGTGCGAGGTCATGGTCGGTGCCACCGGAGTCACGGGTTCCTGCGGTTTCTTGCAGTCCTTGTGCGACGGGGCTGGAGTCAGCAGCCGGCCTAAGGACACGGAGCGTTGCCAATTTTACGGTCGAATTTTCTCTTCCTTCGACGATCGCGATTCGTTGGACTTACCGATGGCTCGATTGATGGTACGCAAAAGCGGGAAAGGCTCCTGGCAGCATCGGTTGGTGAAATCGTCGAGGTCGACCGTCCAGGCCGCGGCACCTCCGTACCCGTTGTTCTTCAGATATTGGCCCTTGTACATGATGCTCGCGGGATTGTCGAAGCTCACGAACTGCTCCTTGTAATAGGCACTGGGTCCTGAAAGGTCGCACAAGTCGATTAGAATGAGTCTCAAAAGGATTAAAAGGATTAAAATTCGAGCTCTCTCGTACCCGGGCCGGTCTTCCAATTGTCCTTCTCGATTCTCTCGCAGATCTCGTAGTAGGCCAGCATGCCGGGCTGCCTCGTGTACTCGCCGGCTGCCCCGGGTCCGCTGGCTGCCTCTCCCAAGCCATGCTTACTGGCCATGCTCAGGCGATAGCTCTGACCGTACATGGGGATGTCGGCCACGAGCTTCTTTGGGTCGGCTCCCAGGCTGACCAAGTAGTTGAGGGTGTAGTTCATGTTGTAGTAGGGACTGGCGTCGCCGGGAATGGCGAAGAGCGGCGACAAGTGCGACGTCTTGCTCTCCCACGAGCCGTGGTAATCGTAAGTCATGACGGTCATGAAGTCGACCATGTGGGATATCTGCTCGACGTCGTAGCCCTTGTCGATGACCTCCTTGTAGCCGGACAGGGCCACGGCCAGGGTGAGCTTCGTCTCCTGCTGGTCGAACTCGCGCCTCAGCTCGGTGAGCAGCTGCACGAAGTTCTTGCGGTCCGACTCGGGGCCACGGCGGCAGTCGCTCTGCCAGCAGCCCGGATAGTTCCACTCCAGGGACAGGCCCTGGAAGCTGTGCTTCAGCAGGAACTGCGTCGCAGACTTGGCGAATTTGCGACGGGACGCCAGTGTGCTGGCCAGCCGCGAGTACTTGTCGCCGGCGCTGTCCGTCCAGCCGCCCACCGCCAGCAGGACTCGGGAGCCGACGATCGAGGTGACGCGTTGGTACAGATCTGGCTCAACGAACGAATATGTTACATAAAATATGATCCTGGGATCGGTTTTTTATGCGTCCGAGCTAGGCACTTACTGTTGTCGATGTCCGCCCAAGGATCGAACGAATGGACGGTCAGCGTCTCCGGATTCAATCCTGCGAAGGCGTAAACGACGTCGGTGCACAGCCTCGAGTCCAAGTGCTCGGGTACGAATTTGCCGAGGCCCTTGCGATACATGGACCAGCTGGTGAGGTAGCAAACGACGCGCAGGCCGTCCTCGCTCAGCTCGAGCTTCTCCAGTTGCTGCCGCTTGCGCAGGTGCTCCAGGGCCGTCGAGCTCTGCGGGTAGCCGAACTTGTTGCTCTGGCCCGGATTGCAGATCTCCGGACTGGCCGGGACGCAGCGTCCGCGCGACGAGTCGTAGAAGCGGCCTCGTCCGCAGCTGCCCCGATGCAGATGCCCTGAATCGACGACCAATTCGTTCGCATTATTTTTTGCTGTGTTTTTTTTTTCAAACTACGTCTGTTTTGCTACGAAGCTGAATAGAGACTCGAATAATGTATATTGCGGCGCATAGAATGGCTATCGCAAAATCTAGCTCGAACATCGCGCGGGCATGTATCTGTAGATATTATTATTTATGAACCAGTCATTGCTCGTTTAATGAAATAGCGTCTTCGTATAATTGTATCGCATTGGCAATTCAATCGAGATCGATCATTGCTATTGAGTCGGAATATGTTTGTATTTTTTTTTCATTATGCTTTACATCTTCGTCGCTGGTAAAAAAAAAAAAAAAATGTATCGCTTACGCGCTATGAATCAGATCGAGCGTAAATGTATATTAATTCTAGGATTGATCGAATAACTAAAAGGTGTCGATGTGTGCAGCGAGGATCGAGCGATTCATTACATGGCAATAATTCAGCAGCGCGAACGATTTGTCCGATTAATTGACGTAGATGGGAGATAAACGAAAGATCGTATGCCTATATACACGATACACATCGTGCATCTACTCACCGTTGAAGCACGTGAGAAAACCGGAACAGTTGTCGGGATCGCTGTAGAGGCCGTTTTTCGGGCATTGCTCGACTGGATCGTCGAGGATGCCGAGTGCCGTTGTTGCAGCCGTCAGCAGAGGCCATGAGTCACCGCATATTCCCTGTTGGAGACCGAGCGATCATTGCACACTTTTTCTCACTGACCATATTTTTTTTCAATTCTTATCTCGATTCCATTTACATACCTGGAAGTCGTCCAAGTCCAGCGAGTGAAGAGCTATTCCTCCAAGACCAGCGGACTTTACGTAGGCAGCCTTGATTTTCATTGCCAGAGGATCGTCGTAGCCGATCCATTGGTTTCCCGATACAAGGTATGATCCGTTTTGCTCGTGTCTCTTATATTGCCACGGCTCTTCAATTTTTTCGCAAATCTAAACAAGCAAAGGTAATTATCAATATGACAAATCAAATTCTTCAGTGCTTAAAGGCAAAATCGAGCGGTTAAATTAAAAAATTAGAGACGCCGAAATTCAGAAGCATATTTAACAGATATCTTAAATAATGTCCCTTGATTTTATAGAGCCGGCATAGAAGATGTTAGGAGGGGAGATAAAATTCATGTTTTTATGCATCAAATCTTTGAACGCGTTTCTTGAACAAGTCAGTGTACATCATAACTCAAAAACGACGGAACCGATCGTTCTAAAATTTCACACCCTTTTGTTAATGGTATACTTTGGTTAATGGTAAAATATATTTTACTAGGTACTGACGTCGAGATATTTTCTTATTTTAAAATTTTTTTTATAAACAATTTCCCAATAAAAAAACCTACTTTTTCAATTTTTTTCCAATTTTTTGACTTCAAGTTGACACAATAGTTTCAAAAATGAAAATAATTGAAAAAACTCGACGTCATTACCTCCAGAATCGTCTAAACTTCTAAAAAAACTTCGATTTATTTGTTTAGGACAATTATATTATAAGTTATCGTGTACGCCGTTTTTTTTAGGCGGAAGCTTGAAATTCCTGACACAAGCTCATTTTTTAATATTTTGCAATAAAAATTTAGCTGTAAACTCTTAATGTGTTGTTATATTAAAATTTAAAAGTTTATCAGAGTTTTTAAACTGCAAAATTGTTACGTAAATAACCTTTCCATGCATTCAGACGACAGTAATCATTCTAATTTACAAGATTATTTCATGGTCGCAAATAATTAATTATAAACTAGTCATAGATTGTTTTTTCTCGCGTAATTATTTTGTTCAATTTTGTTTTGTCCCAAGCCAACGGATGTCAACATAATTTTTTTGAAAAATTTGCTAAAATTTACCTCGAAATAAGCAAGCTCTCCTTTTTGTTTGGTGTACTGTCCGTCGATACCCAGACCCACGGCGTGCAGAGTATCGGCAACTTGTTCGTCGTTCTCGGACAGCTGATACGACCAGCCGAAGAACGGCACGCCCAAGACGATTTTAGAGGCAGGCACGCCTCTCTTTTTCATGCCTTCGACGAGGCTCGTGACCAAACTCATGGGAGCGGGTGTTTGAGCCACTTCGGGCACTCTCCTCTGGTGCCAGGCCCTCAGGAGCAACAAATCGACCTGCGAGGACAGCTCGGCGTCGACGATCTGCTCGGGCCTGATGGCAATGGCGAGGGTGTAGCCTCGGGGCCCGAAGGCGGCCCTCAGCGATTTGGCGATTATTTTCAGGTCGTTGGTCGAGCCATTTTCCCAGTCGAGCTCGATACCGTCGAAATCGTGCTCTTGGAGAAAATCGAGGACCGAGTCGACGAAGATCGGTATGCGATCGCTCGGTCGAGACATGATTTCGCGGTAAAGACGGCCATGATCCGAGGACGAGATCGAGATGAGCACCCGCAACGACGGGTCTCGTTGGTGCAGTCCGGTCGCCGCTTTGTAACCACCGCGAATAATGTCGTACTCGTAATCGTGCGGAGTCACCGTGAACTCGAACGGATCTGAAAACGGACCAATCAACGTTTTTTACATCACATTATGGGAATGTCTTTTACGGCGACATAACGTTGGCTTCTTTATAACCGAATTTTTAATATAAAAAAGGATAAGAAGAAGAAAAAGTTAGGCATCGTCGCATACTCGGCTGCGTTGAGAAACATCCTGCTGAGCTTTTTGCCGTGATCGAGTCGCACACGACCTCTCTCGAGTATCATAATGTTATCGATTCTTGCAGTGCATTAAAGAATCAACTTTACACAAGAATCGTCGAGCGTCGGCGCGGCGCAGACCCGGTTCCGCGAGTTCAATATGCGGCTCGTCCGAGAGCTGTTTGTATAATTACTGCGCGCGTTTAAATATATATCGACACAATACGAAATAATAAATGCTCGACCGTACCGAGTCGAGAAAAAAATTGAACAAAACCTGTTAGAATAATTTCTTCTTCTTCTTTTTTTTCATCTCCAGAAGGTATAAAGGATTGACGCAGTCGGTATAAATTTAGCCCGATCGTTCATACGAGAAAGAATTTTCATCCAGAGCTCGGCGAAACGTCCCGTATCATATAACGATCGATTATGCTAAGTAGTTTGATAAATGAAACTCTCGTTGGCAGTCCGAGAGGGTTGAAGTTTTGCCAAGAGTGCATTTTATCCGCAGCCAGGATCGTTATAACCAGTCGGCGGCGCGCATATACAACAATGATTTAGCGATTAATTTACATACCGATACCAGCGGCTACGTAGACGAGGTGGGAGCATTTGTAAGCCGGCACGGCTCTGGGCTGCAGTCCAAAGGGCTCCTCGCGGTAGACGGCCTTGGCCTCGAGGTGGCAGACCACATTGGCCGGCTCCTGCTCGCGCTTGATGGCCGGTGGGGTGAGCTGCTCGAGCCACAGGGCGTCGTGATCGAAGCCATTGTAGCGGGGCGGCAGCCGATGCTCCACGGCGTCCCGCAGCGGTACGCGATCCTCCGGCTCTTCCCTGTTTCGAGTTCATCCAATGTTATACTATGGTAATTTCTATCGCGCCTTTGTCGTGTAACGGTATTCTTTGCTCAAGCGAGATGATTGATGAGCGCGTAATTAGTGGCAAGGAATTAACTGTTATGGGATTAGGCGAGCAAGTTCGCACCTGATTTGACAGGCTACAGAAACATCAAAACCTCTTGCGCAATTCAGTAAATCTCTCGAGTATTTGAAACTATTTCTTTAAAAATCATCAAAGTCAATCAGAGATCATCAAATAAAAAATAGTTAATTCGATCCTTGTATAAGATACAATTAGCCGGAAAAACAGAATGAGTTTTGATGTTTCAATGTAAAATCGTTTTCAAAATATTAGCTCAAGACAATTTGAAGTGGAAGAACAACAGCCTAACAGTTCATTGCTACGGCGACGCGGCAATGTCACACATTAGTCATATCAATAGAAGTATCTCTCTCAAGATGATTTTTCCCCTTGTGAATACTAATTTGCGAAGCTACGCGCGCGAACAAGCAAAAGAAAGAGAAAGAGAGAGAGAGAGAGGGAGAGAGAAAGAAAGAAAGAAAAGAGCCCAGTGTCTTTGTCAAGTTCAAGGCGCGACCACGTATTACTTATAATGTGCACGCTTCCCGTAGTGTCAAGTTGGAAGCGATTTTCGAAACAGGTTTTCGCTGCGACGCGCGCGCAGTTATGCGCACATCAACTATGTGATCTCTTTTTTTTTCCTACTCGAAAAACCGATGAAGGGCCGGTGGCACATTAATCATGCAAGATACATGTGCTCAGTTTTTGTTTCAACGACTTATTTATATCATACAAATAGTATAATGACACCTGTAAGCCTTTTGCGATTGCGAGGTAAATTAAGTCGCGTGGTTTTAAACAAAGTTTAATCAGGCACATTGTACGCAGTTACCAGTTGCTTGATTTTTGCAAATATTCAACATTTTTTCTTTGGTAGATGCGTTTTCGAGTGTTTGATGAATATTCATCGAATACAGTTTTGGAAAAGCATACAGGTTCTAAGATATAGATTGAAATTGATGGAAAAAATTTATACCTAAAAGAAAAAAAACTATTTGCATGTTTTTCTTAACATTTTTTGGCTTTTAAATTGTTTTGATTTTAATTCTACGTTTACTTATGTTTATGCATTATTGAAAGCAATGTATTGATCAAATATCATTGTTCAAATTAAAATGTATATTTTTTAAAAAACATGATCAGACTCACAAGTCACGCAGCGGGGATAAGTAATTCGCCTCATGATCTGGAACAGTTTCGACGGCATCTCTCAATGGCAGTGAATAATCCCCGTAGAGGGCGAGTCTTTGCTGTTCTCGAAGTACATCTTCCTCTTCCTTCAGTGAAGCTTCGACGGCGAACCTTTGAAAGGTCGGCACATTTTCGAACGGTATGTGATGATCGCCCCGATGATCAGGGAGATGATGACCGGTCGTTGGTGAAAACCAAAATTGACACGAGAAGAAGAGCGTCGTCAATGCCAGAATCACCGACGGCTTCCCCATTGTATTGCTAATTTCAAATACGCATCGATTTTTAAATAAAAGTCTTACAAGTAATAACAATTTTTCAATAATTTTTTTATCATTTTAGAATAAAATAAAATCTTTCATCGTATTGTGCTGTCAAATTGTACATATTGCACAGCCTATATACCGATTTATTAACGATTACTCGATTAATTTCAAAAAATCTGTTAGCTTTTAAAGGAAATATCGATTATTAAATGAGTAAATAATTACAATTGATTTTAAATTCATTTAAATTGAATGACAGTTCAAATTACAGTCACTATTTTAATACTATACTAGCATAAAAGGAATATTGTAAATTAAATTTTTCTAAAACCATCACACAAATCAAAACGATAGTTGTAATATAACAAAAATGCGAAGAAAATTACGGGTCACTCACCTGTTTAAATTCCTCGTCCTATTTTTATCTTCAGTTCCATTAAATTTGTATTGCAGAAATTCCAAACACTAGATTTCTTCTTTTGATCAGCAATGGCATATATTGCATTTGAAAATCACACTTTTTCGCGTCACTCTCGTAAATTTTTTCGCCTTCAACTGTTAAGCGCGCGATTGGAAAAAATCGTCCCACCTATATTTAACGATTTTGGTCGCATTAACGGTAGCGACGACGACGACTGTGTATGTATCGGCGCAGGCGGAGAGCCGGGCCGTATGTGTATTCCAGCCTCGTATCAAGCTCCATATATATACGCCCGACCGTTGCCGCCGCTTTAAACAGCGAGGACGCACCTCCCTTACTTGTTTTCTCTCTTCCTCTTTCTCCTCTGCTTCTCTTTCTCGACTCTTTTTCATCTTCCACTTTGCCTTTATCGATGATACATATGTATTTTGCACATTCGCCGCTGTGTTTTTTTTTCGCTGTTGTTTTTTGTTGTTGTTGTTTTTTTTACTTCTTTAATTTTACCTCTTCGTCTTGCGACTCGGTAACACGAAAAAAGGAATGATAATGACTGCTTTATGGCTTTAAAGGGAATAAGTACTTTTCAGGATCAGGACTCGCGAAGATGAGTGTTACAAATTGTGCTTTTACTGGGGTGCATCAAGAGAAGTTTTATTTTTGAGCAATTTATTATGTGCGTGAACAATCGCACTTTACGATGGTAAAAATTTCGTTTCATCCATTTTATTTGCTACGATAAAAATTAACATTTCAATTCTCATAATTCTTTTGAAACTAATTAATTATAAGATATTTACAATTAAACTTTAACATAATTTCAATTTTTTTATATCTCATTAGTTTCTAGAAGTATGTAGAAACATGATTTACTGACATTTTCACAGTCAAACAAAACCATAACTATTTAAGATTCATTAACGGCTATGATCTCTTGTCAATCTTCGTTCAATATTTTGACTGTTTTTTTCCGCCACGAAGTTACGTTGAGTCGATGGTTTCGGCCTATTTTATGATTTGCATATTGAATCATCGATAATCCCCGGATTATGAGGATTCAGATCTCTATCAGACCAAAATCAAATGAATCACAGTACATTTTGCTTTTTTACATAGAATATGACGGTTTTTAAAAATCATTTTACCAAATAAATTATTTATTACGTCGAGAACGAGATATATTTTACAAAGATTTTATTACTTTATAAAAACAGATTTTGTCACATGCTACACGATAAAACCAAGTGCATCAGTTACATCATTTTATTGACTGGATGTACGGGAATTTCGTTAGGTCATTTTACGAGTAATTAAAAAACAAAAAAATACGCCCACTTTTCAAAAGTTGTTTTGGTAACTGTTCAAATATCCGATGAGCCACTGATTAATTAGTGCAAGCTGATATATGCACTCGTTTTCAAGTACGAACTTATGTAATTCCACCGAAATCCCATTTGGAATTATTTATCGACTAAAGTAATTAGATCGAAGTGAGAATCAAACTACGTTTAAACGTTTTGTACTCAATAATCATCAGAAATCGTTATATATTAAAACTATTTTTTTACAGACATTTTTTAATCAATTTTAAATGAAAAAACAGATATTAAATATAACCCAACATTATCTAATTTTTATTTCAGTAAGTAAAGGATAGGAATAAAAACTAGTGGATTGTATTGAGAGTACTTGTCATGAGCCATCAAGATTTATTCATAGATTATTTATTAGCTCTAATCCTGAACGGGCACAAGTGAAATTTCCGCGAAAAGACATGTAACAGTTTCTTTGTTAGCACTGAGAAGGCCTGTGGTCAAGTTCAAAAAAGAGCTCGCGGAGTACGCTGAGATGAATACATTTGCGTCCGAGGCTTGAGCTATATCAGGTCGTTGATCTCTACTGCATAAATTGGTGCATCCAAATGCGTTTTTATGAGTCATTTCGATTAATAAAGTATCCTGCGGAGTAAAAATTAGGTGTTTTTCCGACATAGTTTTTTACCAAAACACTCGATATTTTTCCGCTTCAATTACTTATGCACGATTATGTATAACAAATTTTGCGTTACGTCTTCTTAGATCATGATAAAAACGAAACATAATTAATTAATTAATATATATTTTGTTTGAACATGTTTTTAAATGTAAGTAGCATTTTAGTAAACATATAATGTAGTTTCAATGATTCAATTAAAAAAGGAAAAGACCTATTATATTGAAGTTGGAATTTGTTGTAAACAAAAAAAATTTAACAAAAAATGTATTTGTACTACTAAAATTAAATCATTTGGTAATCTTTTCAATTTATCAAGTTGACAAATTAATAATTTGTATAATTTCGAAAAGAATCATCTCAATTAAACTACACATGCACAAAAAAAATATAATTTATCAAAAAAATCTTGAGAGGTAAAAGCCATGTTTCAAAATCTGATTGTAAAAAAAAAATTATTCCGAAATAAAAAGATTTTTACTTATTTTGAAAAAAATTAACATTGTCTTATGTATTATTTTTAATACTGTTCTTTAAAATGTAATACTGTAAAATTCCTGTCTACCGTTTTGTGATAACGAGAAATGCATGTTTTAACTTGTAAATAAAGTTATATTTACTGATTGTTACCTTCGAGAGGGAATATTAATCTCAATTATGCAGTGTATTATCATGAATAACTTTGAAACGTAATGATTGAGTGTTATAATATTTGACAAAACTCCATTAATAATTATAATGATGCCTGCGCGTGTTAACGTCACTTATACGCATGCATTGTTTGACAATATATTATGCTTTTTACGATAGCACGATTCAGTATTAAATCGAGGTAAAGCATTACTTCGGATAAGTAATGAGTCATTACTTTAGCCCAACATATAATCCCGTACGCTTCATGTTGAAAATAACTCGAGTTTGACTTATACTGAAAAAGATATAGTTGAAAAATTGTTTTTGTTATATTTTTATCTTACTTCAAAATTGACTTACTGTACTTTAAAAAAATTTAAAGCTGTTTAAATGAATAATTAAAAATTAGCAGATAATTATAGGTTGACACTAAATTTTAATTTTTCGTCTTTAAAGATCAATTTTATATTCTTATAGATCGTCAAGTTTATGTAATTAAATTATTTTTTATGAGTTAAACAACTTTTAATGTATGTTAGGTTTTAAAGTAAAAACTCTAGTTAAACAGTGAATTACTATTTTTTGGTTATTATGATAACAAAATATGTATAATAATGCTGGAGAATAGTATCATCAGAGACTATCAGACAATGTGTAGTTGGGTTTCAAAGATATCTTAGTTATTCTTGTTGGAATTGTAGGGGCTCGAACAACAAATATTACATGAATTACTCCAGTAACGGTTATGGCATTCGTCATAATTGACGTAATATTTGAGTAAAAAGGTCAGTCAGATCGGAGGAAAAACAGTTTTATTTGGAAAACAAATCGGAAATTAAATGTTTACTTTAGTAAACATGATGTTGTTTTCGATTTTTGTTGTGTCCTCAGCTGAACATATTATGAACGGAGATTAGGATTATAAAAGAAGAGAGAAAGAGAGAGACTTGAAAACATCGGCGAAGAAGTCCAAGCAATATGCACGCGTGATGTGTATTTCGTCGCCACCGAGCTGGTTCAAGGTTATCAAGGACCAGTAGTAGTTGCTGGTTACTGACCCCAAGCTTATACGCAAGAGTCAAGAAGAGACATCATCTCTTTCTCTCGCTCTTTTTCGCGAAGTTCTTCTCTCTCCCTTCAATTCGTCGTGAAGTGCAAATTCTTCGAAAGTAATTGCACCAAGGGAGAGAGCACTTAGGTTCCATAACCATTTTTACTTAAAATTACGTATAATTGGGTTTTACAACAGTTTTATTGCTGCTCGTGCGTGAAAATGTCTGTGTGACTCAAATCATCTACTGAAAAAAAAAGAATAAAAAAGAATAAATTATCACTATTGCATATATAATATTTTGGAATTTCATTTAGTAAAGTTATTCAATTTTTGACTACCAAACACTTATCTACTCTTTATATTAAATAAAAGTCAGTTTGTTTTGATACAAACTGATGAGATATGTAAAAAAAATAAATATCATAAGTAGTAAGCATTTTTAAAAATAACAAAATTGATTAACACGAGCATAAAATTATATGATATTCATCATTCTCAAAAAAATTAATAAAGAATAAAATAGTTTCAATTGAAATTGTCAAGCTTTCTTAAAATGCTCAGTCGGGTAAAAATTCTAAAAATAGAACATTTAGTTGTTCGCCTATAACTTTTTGGATTAAATTAAAGCTTGCAAATTCATTTACACATACATATCTTTAATGAAAAATTCGATTTTAAAAAATGAAAGATTTTTATGTTCAAAATTGAAACAGTAACAAATAGTAGTTCCCGTATCCAGGGAGCGAAAAACTGGAAAGTCACAGAGCACAGGTAATAATTAGCCGAGATTTCAGTACTGTCGAAAATGGTGCAGATGCATATCGGCTGTTAGTGACTCCTATAAGTGCAGTACATGTGTTGTGTTGTGGTGTTTGTTAGTTGTGTGCATTCAATACCGTTCAGTTCAAGGTTTTTCTAATAATAGTAGCCTCAAAATAAGACATTATTTGCAGAAGCTGTACAGTGACCGCAAGCGCACTACATATTTGAAAAGATACTGAAAATTTTGCGTTAGTAACCGGGGTGCCGACGGGCCCTTGAATGATTTGACACTCCTTCATCTTAGCATCTAGACCGAGTACGATGAGCAGGAAACAATAGCATGCATTCGGCTGTAACGTTCAGTGGATTCGAAATCTATCGCAGGCTCTTCAACTTCTACACAATTGCCCTTACGATGGGTTCACGCCTTTGCGCATTGCGTGCATGGACGATCGAATCTGCTCAAACGATACCGAGAGCAATAGACGAGGCCACTTCAAAAGACTGTGATGTTCAAAAATAACTAAGGGCCAGAGCTGCTGGTAAAACGCGGTGTACAGTTGGATGCTCTGGAATCACAGTTTGACACGAGGCTTCTGTACGAAGTTTTGTACAATTACAATGAGTACAGCTGCGCTGAAATGAACATGCGAATGATTCGTTTACTGCTGGATTTTGATTGTGACATCAACCTTTTATCTTTTCGAACAAGTGAAAGGTACACTCCTGAGTCCAAAAGTATGGACGCCCAGCAGTATCGAGACAGAGTTGTAACCAACTTTCCTTGCTCAACGAAAGAATTAGGAAAATTAGCCGCACGGTTGTCAATTAAAAAAGTGTATAAGTACTTGCATATCAATTAGTAGCCTCTCTCTCTTATGGACTCACGAAAAATCATGTCTTCCAGCAGCGAGCGATGAGAAACTGAGCTGCGGGTAAGCAAGATAAACGATGCAGGTGATTCGATATTTCAGCCGATATACAAAGGTAATTAATTTGAGGCCAAAGTGATCGTTAAACTGTTGAAATAGGGATTCGACGTGAACTATAGATACGCGAACAATACGTAAAGACATTGTTCATGCAACCAAGATGCCTTTAGTATATGCAGAGTGCGCTGGACATCTTACTTCTCTGCAAGGCTACGAGGAAGTACAATAGTAAAATATACGAAAAAAGACTCTTGATAAGATTTTGCGTATAATTAATTAGGTTTTTTATGCAAGAAAATGAAAAAAGTAATCGTAATTAGGTTTTCGTGCTTGTCAAAACCAAGTACTAATAAACAGTCAACGCATCGAGTTGCGTACGCACAGCAAGCGAATGCGATGGAGACAAAATTGAAAATTAATATGAAAAATTACGATTTTAATGATAAAGTTAAACTTACATGGTTTTACATAACATTTTTGCTGCATTTTAAATTCAATAATTTGCTTTATTTAGTTTTATATAGTTTTGATTTGTTTGTTACATAAACGTTTCTTAATCAAAACTCACTGAGTTGGAAATGTATCTTAGTAGAGAGGCTGCTGACGTATTATCGATCATTACAGCTGTCAGTTGCAGATTTTCACTAATTAAGTGGTTCACAAAGACGTACATACTTTTTTCCTATTATGTATAAAAGCGACTCATCCTAGATATTATTTATCATTCATCTTTAAGGAAGTACACCAAGCACTTCTTGTTCTCTACTTCAATCAATTCTCGAACATCTACAGTTGAAAAATTTCGATAAATTACGTGAGTTTACATGTTCAGATTATATTTATTACCATTTATTATAATTCATTGTGTATCATTGGCAACGCGGGAACAATTATTTTAAAATCTTACTGTGTTCATTTCAAGTCTTGTCAAAGCTTATTGATTTTAGCATAATTCATATCTTTTGTATAGCTCTCCATAATGCATTCTGAAATCAGTAAAATCATCAAAATATTCATCATTCTCGGAGTCATCTATTGCACTTCTGCATCCATGGAAGATCCATCAAATACTCTGTCCATCCCAAATGAATATTATGGAAGACAACTGGTAATTTTTTTCCTGTTTATACGTATATTGCTTAAAATAGCTTTAATGAATATATCACGTGTTTTTTATTTGTAGGATTTTGATCTTTTGACAAGACTGCTCACGATGCCTCCTAGGCTTTGTCATTCAAAAAGAAATTCTGAGCTGATTAATTCTTTATTAGGACTGCCCAAGAACATGAACAATGCTGGAAAGTAATCCATTATGTCATTTAATATTTCTAGTTTTAGTAATACTTTATGAAATTGGTTGAAATAATGAATTTATGTTTATGCCATTATAAATAATGTGCAACTGGTCCTCTCAAAAAGTGAAGTATTTTTTAATTGTTAGCTGATTATTTTTATAGAAGTTATTTATACATAGATACACTCGTAAATAAAGTACATTTTCTGCAAATTCATGCGTGTTAAACTTTATTTTATTTCCATGATTACTGATTAAATATAATTATGGTCAAACGGACGATTAAAATAAAATTTTCATAATGAAGTTACGTAAAAGGGTAAGTCAAATTCCTCATTTAGCTGGAATCGACTCGATTTTTGGACATTTTAGTAGAGAGCTCTTTTTTTTTAAATTACTCGTTGAAAAGAGTAATTTGTGATAATGTATGTTAGATTTTGATAAACAAATTACAGCAGTCCATTTACACAATTAAACAATCGATTTTTTTCAGTAATTTTTAGTTTTGTGTTCAAATACTACTGGTAACTCGATATTGACTTGAACCTATTCATAATATTATATTCTCACAACCTTTTGAGCTCGTTTGTGCTCTATCCTTCCCTTCCTCCTCTCGGAAGTTTTTCGAACTTCGCTTTCACAAGATGCTGATCGAAGACACTTGGCTATGGTGGAAAAATTTCAATTTTTTATTAAAAACGATGATTAATGGTCTTTCAAATCAATTAAATCGTTTTCGAAATAGAGTGGGACTTTTTAAAATAATGTTTTAAGTATAAGAAGAACGCTATGGCAATATTAGAATCACCCATTTCCGTTAAATTGTTTGTTGTTTTCAAACTAATTTTTTTTTTTAATTTTTTAATTTAGTTGAAAAACGTGTTAACCGGTCGAAAAAATATTAATTATTGTCAACAATTTGTAACGAATTTGCTAAATGAGAATAAAAAAATTGGTTTAAGTGGGAAAAAATCTATGGAAGCATAGAAGTAAGTTCATATCATCAGGCCTTGGATAAAACAGTCTACGGGAAGGTATGTAGCTCCTAAAATCTGAGTGTGTACGCGAAAACCTAAGGAAGCGCAAATCATCCTTCCATGTTGCTTGCCGCAGTAGAAGGAAACGAGCAGACTCTCGAGTCTCGGGCCTCGGCATTGTAGACCGCAGAGCACCGACCAATCTCAGTGCGCGAAACAACCAGACGTTGGCGAGTCCCAAAACTCTCAATTATCTCGCTCGCATCTTGTTGCACAGATTCACTATATACAACGTGCATGAAGAAGTTGCACATCGAAACGTTGACTGACGATTGTAACTTAACGAGTGTCTGAGTGCTAATTAGCTATTGTCTGTTTAATAACATGTCCAAAAAGAGCAGAAAAAGGAAAAGTATCGAAACAGTTGAAGAAGTGGACAAAGCTACTAGTCCCAAACAATCGTGTTTACACGATTCGAACGAAACTGTAACATCCCAAAACGACGATCTACTGAAATTGCAATATGAAGCTCGAAGTCTGATGCCAGCTTCTGGAATAGGTGACTACTGTACAGAAAAAATTTTGTTGTACATGTACAAACTTGATGTCTCAACTTGGTGTTATCTCAAAAGACGTGCCCAAAAGGATAAATTACAAGGGGTTGGATTGACTTTGGACAACGCCGTTATCGACAAATTTTCAGATATAGTTATCAAACAGAATGACGAGTTCATTCATGTGAACGTCAATTACACTGTAAGTCCATTTGCTGACAAGTTCATCACATACCTCGATTTGTTTGGTACAAAAAGTCCGTATTCTTTGAACAATTATTTCAATAGTTGGGTCAGTTATGTTCTTAATCAACCAAATTACCAAAGTTCGAAAGTCAAGTACCTCGTCGTATTTTGTAATGATAAATTACAGCTATCTGAGGATGATAAGCTCGTGTTGTGCAGTTCCAAGAACTCCTACCCATTCCAATTTGAAAGTGTCGATATAAGTCAAGTTCCGGTGCTTCAAGATATGTTAGTAACTAACACTGCCTGTAAATTCCACAAATTTGCAACCGACAATCGAACGATTGACGAGTTTTGTCACCGCTTGATGTTGTCCAGTAAGAATCAAAACATTTTGAAAAACAAATGTTTGACTTCAGAGTTCGAAAAAGACTTGAAAAAAAGATTCCAAACTAAGATTATTATTCTAGACAATCAACCATGTAGAGAAAGCTACAAAAAAATCTTGAAAGATGAAATTGAACGATACAATAAAGATTACATCAAGTTACAAAACAGATTGGTAAAGTACACTTCTATAGCTAAAAAAAGCACCTGCGATGAAACTTTTAAATTAATTATGTCTGTATTGAATGATATGTTTATACATGAGAAAATATCTGCAGTTGATACAAAAAGCTATTTTCAAAGCAATGTCATCAATATTTTGTACAAAAGCAAAATTACGTATTTAATTAATTTAGGTTCTAGTATTAAAAATGCAAGCATCGGTTTCGAAGACTTTTTCCCGCGTAATAAAAATGAAAAAAGTAAGTTTAACATGAATGATTTGTACACTTTTTTTTGTAATGAGTGCAGAAAAAGTTCAAACATAAAATTTTTTATAATTATTACCTACTCAGAGTTAAATCTCACTCATAATAATAAAATTAGAAACAACAAATCTGAGCAATACTATCCATTTCAATTGAACAATGTAGATATATCTAAGAGGAGGTACAAAGTAATTAAAAATTGTACTGCTTTGAACAAATCAATGTTATATGAGTTTGCACCTGAAGATTATAGTGATCTATCTAAATTGTTGAATCACCCAAATAGTAATGAACAAGATATCGATGCAGAGGACCAAGAAGACTTAAAATCATTATTTTTTCATAGTCTTATATTTGCTACTAGACAAGAAAAAATTGAAAATATTACACTTCAAAATGAACAACAGCTCTGGCTTCCTTACAGTATAGACCAGTTGCAAGAAATCACTTTACGATGGCTAGAATTTCAAAAACATTATATAATTACACTAAGAATGATGAGAGTGCTGTTGAAAGATATAAAAAATAATATATCAAGCTGTGAATATTTTTTAAATGAGAATGCTTTAGATGAATGGAAACTGGCAAAAAGTATTGGCCGCCAATCACCACATTTGATAAATGAAGTATTTGATTTTTTAGTTAATGGTAAGGGAAAAGTATTTATACAAAACTTTAAAAATAGAGGAATACAATTAACGAGCATTAGTAATGTATTGAGAAATACTCCTAGACATGAAATATATAATGCTTTTCAAAATTTGCATGATTTTTGGTTTGATGATAAAGGGAATGAAACAAAAAATTTATCAATTTTAAGAAAAAATCATATGAATTTCACTACAGTATTAAACATTACTACAGATACTCATGTTCAAGCAGTTAGTATTATTAGAGATTTGTATGATTTATGGTTTGATCATCATGGCAAAAAAACCAAATATCTAACATCTCTTGAAAGTATAGGAATTAATTTTTTTAAACTGGGATCCTTGCTTGGTGGAGCTTACGCTAATGCTCGATGGACAAATGAAAGTGTGTATAAATTATTTTTTGATGAGCAAGATAATAAAACAAAGTATATTACTGATTTTGAAAAAAATAATATACGTGTAATCAGAATAATAAGTTCAATAAAAAATCCAGGACCATCTTTTCAACAATCATTTAAAAAATTGCATGATTTGTGGTTTGATGCTGAAGGAAGGAAGACCAAGTATCTTTTATCTTTAGAAAATCATAGTATCGACTTATATCATTTTACAACTATTCTGTTTGGATGTAAATCAAACTATGATGCTTATAAAAAATTGTATTATGCTTTGTTTGATAAAAATGGTAATCCAACTCATAATCTAGAATGTCTAAAAAGTGCGGGAATTAAATTCTCATCTTTATCTAGATTATTATTACGCTGTTCTACAAAAAGTGTTGAAGTAGTTTTTGAAGATCTATGTAAACTTTGGTTTGATAAAGATGGCAAAAAGACAAAATACTTATTAAATTTTGAAAATCATAATATAAATATTGATGATATCAGCAAATTACTTGGAAGAGCAGCAGAAAAATCAACTGAACTTTTTCAAAACTTGCATGACATTTTCTTTAACGAAAAAGGAGAGAAAAAAGCATTTTTACAAGTTTTTGAAAATTATGGAATTACTCTAAAATATTTAGCATCTATGATACAACACTCACACACTCATGCCATCAAAGTTTTGAATGATCTTGCTAATTTATGGTTTGATGAAAATGGCAATAGAAGTTATTACTTGAAAAATTTAGAATATAACAATATAAGTCTTCTTTTGATAATGAAAACTTTATGCAACTCTCACAGAGGATGTGTGGATTTATTTGAAGCTATATATACATTTTTTATAGATGTGAATGGAATGAGTACATTTTATTTAAATACTTTGAAAAAACATGGAATAAATGTCGAAAGTTTTATGACTTATATCCAAGGTTTATCTGTTAATGCGATCCAATGCATTAAAAAATTATTTTATTTATTCTTTGATGATGAAGGCAACAAAACCCAACTTTTGTCCAATTTTGAAAATAAATATGTTGATTTTACTCTTTTATCGGCAACTTTTGTTCATAGTCAAGGTAAAGGAATTAAGGAATTTCACGATCTTTTCTTTGATGAAGTGGGTCAAGATAGTGAAATATTAAAATCATTGGAGAGGAAAGATGTACGTCTCATTGATATATGTAACATTTATTATCTATCTGGTTCAAAAACTCCGTTTTATTTCAAAATGTTGTTGGATTTATGGTTTGACGAAGATTTTAAAGAAACTGGATATTTACAGGATATGGAAAGAAATGGAGTGTCATTAGTATGGTTGTGCCAGATTATAAAAGGATCACGACTTCATGCATGTGATACTTTCAAAGCAATCCATCAATTATTCATAGGCAAAGACGGCAGTGCCAATCTTATTTTACAAAATACGACAAAATACATTAACTTGAAAAAATTACAGAAAATTTTTCCATTTGGACGGACGAATTTCCCCACACATTTCTCCAAGTTATATAATTGTTGGTTCGACGAAAAAGGCGAAAAAACTCATGTTTTACAAATTATGGAAAGGAACAATTTTGATATCAATATAATTTGCGACATTTTGAAAGGTAGTGGTGGATACGCAGCTAAATCATTCGATTCACTGTACAAATTACTTTTTGATCCCGAAGGAAATCCTAGCTCATACATAATAAATTATCTCAACAACCCAGCCATAATCAAAAGTGTCTCTAAGATTATTCGTGGTACTCGAGGAAAAATCGTCACTTTGTTGAAAAGTTTATATGCATTATGGTTCAAACCAGATGGTGGCAAAAAAAAATTGTTGTTAACATTAGAAAATTATAGCGTAGATTTTGTTACTCTTCACGAAATTTTCATTGGCGTTTCAAAAACAGGGTGTAAGCCGTTTATGGAGTTGTATAAATGTATGTTCAAAAGCACAGCTAAGCCAACAGAATCAGTTTACTTGAAATCTTTACTAGAAATTGGCTTTACTTTGACGGATATAATAGTAGTGCTCAGAAAATCTGGACCGAATGCCGCTACGAACTTTATGAATTTTTATCATCTTTTTTTCAATGAGCAAGGGCACATGACGAGGTATACTGAAGTTTTAATCCAGAACCAAGTTGACATTGCATCGTTTGTTCGAGGATTGAATGTTAGGAATGGAAATAAATTTGTGGACATCTTTAAATGTGCTTACGGCTTATATTACGATGAAAATGGGGTGAAAATCGATCAGGTACATTAAATATAGTAACACGATAAAACATTGAATGTAAAATGCATTGAGTGTAATATAAAAATTTTACATTTTTTTATAAGTAAAACTCATAATTGTTTAATAAAAACTTGTTTGTCAAAATCATTTATAAGATTCAACTGTTTTAATAATTATTTTGTCCCCTCATGTTTTTATACTGCTATAAAGCTTCAAATAGAACAGAAAAGGCAATTTGCTCATGGAAATACGCCATTTATGCAACTTCATTTTTTAACTATATGTTTTGTATAGATTTAAACTAATTTTGAGTATAAATTTCATTATTGTACCAATTCTTCTCCTCATTTTAATCTGAAACGAAAGTGCTAAAAAAGTATCCAAGCTAAAACATCTCCGAAAATAGTTTTAAATAGTTTTGTATTAATAACAATAATTTTTGATCATTTATGCACTTTTTAATTAAACATAAATTGTCTGTACATAAGATCCGTGTACAATGGTGTCAGCGAGCAATTTTTTTTACATTTGATTTGTATACATTAATCTTACGATAGCATTCAATTTTTATGCATTAAAAAAAGAAAAATGACTACTTTTGGTACTGTAGGAATAACAATAGATAAAATGAATAAAATTCTTTTACTTTGTAACTTAAAATATTTTATTTTTATTGTAGATTGTAGTTTAACTCATTAAGTCTATAATTTTAAACAGAATTTCATGTTTAAGGTTATTTGCCTTATAAAAAACTGAATTATTAAAAAAATTGTATACACTCCACGTTTTCAACTTCAGAATATTTTCCATATTATTTATTTCCATAATTTCTTAATGGACATATTCTTTTCTGAATCCTTTTGCATGACTTTAGCAACAGCCATTTCAAAGTCTTCCTGAGTGACATGAACTCTGCGCTCTCTCAGAGCATACATGCCAGCTTCAGTACACACACCCTGGAAAATAATAAAAATAAATATTTTGCATGTTTATTTTAAAATACAAAAATTGGTCACATTTACCTTAACTTCAGCACCAGAAGCTCCAGGCATCAGTTCAGCAATTTTTTTCAAATTGATACCACGTGTCAGATTCATTTTTCGTGAATGGATTTTCAAGATGTCCAAACGAGCATCCTCATTCGGTGGGGGGAATTCAATTTTACGATCAATTCGACCAGGACGTAAAAGGGCAGGATCCAAAATATCTATACGATTAGTAGCCATAATTACTTTAATATTTTTAGTGGCTTCAAATCCATCTAACTGATTAAGAAGCTCCAACATTGTTCTTTGTACCTAAAAAGTATTTTAAAGCGTGAATAATGTAAAATCATTGCAATGGAATGAAATGGATTTTTTATCCTCACCTCACTGTCTCCACCAGAACCTGATTCAATACGAGAACTGCCAATGGAATCAATCTCATCCATGAAAATGATAGAAGGTGCATGTTCTCTAGCCATAACAAAAAGTTCTCTGACCATGCGAGATCCTTCACCAATGAACTTTTGAACAAGTTCAGATCCAGAAACTCTAATAAAAGTACATTCTGTGTGGTGTGCAACAGCTCTAGCCAATAAAGTTTTGCCAGTACCAGGTGGACCATATAAAAGAACACCTTTAGGTTGAGCAATACCAAGGGCATCAAAAAGTTCAGGGTGTTTGACTGGCAGTTCAATGACCTCTTTGATTTCTTTGATTTGTTTATCCAAACCACCAACCATTTCGTAAGTTGAATCAGGAACTTTTTCTACCATCATGAGAGACACCAAAGGATCAACTTTGTTGGGAAGAATTTTGTGCAGTGTATAGCTTTCATTCCTCAAGGCAACTCTTGAATTAGGAGTGACATCATTGATATCAATATTTTTATCAATATCAACAACAAACTTTCCTTCAGGATGAACTTTAACAAGAACTTTTTTCTTGTCCATGGGTTTGACTACTTCTCCAACATATGAGCCTTGTTCTTGAAGGAGTTGAAGTTCTTCACGAAGCATACGTACTGAAAATAACATATTTGTATTAGAACAGCTCATGTGTGTCAATATTTTCATTAATAGATTTTGCTTAATTGATACCTTTGGCATTTAGTTCATTTCGTTGCGCTTGTAAGCGGCGAAGATTTTGGCTTTTTTCTGCTACAACTAGTTGAAGTTCTTCGATTTTCGTAATGTAATATGGTCTAAAACCTTCGCCTTTCATGATTTTCTCATCGACCTCCATCTAAAAGTTAAAATCAAGTTTTACTTGTATATAAGACGTACACAAAGCGTTGAGAAAAATAGAAGCATTGAGGTTAGACTAAAGTATAGTAAATAAATGCTTTTTACCTTGTTAGTGAGAGTCATGATGAAAGAAGGCACAATCCTCGAAGGATTGCTGTAAGATCTTTTAGTCAAATTGACTCAACGAACTATTATGAAAAAGCTTGAAGAAAAATTGTTTTCTGCATCAGTTTGAAAGTGCTAGTCACTTCTTGCTCAATGCTCATACATTGATGTATGTAATGTATACGACTTGTACGCGAAATTCAATATAGCAAGCTTGCCACGGATTATGGCAATTCATGATTGTAGGGGATTATTGTAGGTGAGTTGTGCAAAATTCTAGGGATATTTATTTTTTAAATGTTTCGTGTAGACTTGAACGATTTTAAAAATAATCAAATGTAAATAAAAAACGTTAAAATTCTCCTTTGTCCAAACGTATTAATAGTGAAGTTTTAAATTGGAATTATTTTCAGTAATTTACACACATTTCAAGTGACGTCTCGATTGATAAGCGTTTATACATTTTTGAAGTGTTGATTAGCTTTATACTTAATAGTAGCAGAGAATTGAGCAAATTAACATTGTGACAGTTTGACGTTTACAAAAAAGTTAAAGTTTAACAAAAAGAGTGACAACTCACAATCAAGGCAACAAGATATGTTTGCATAAAAAAACATCGACGCTTATTAGAGGTATAATAATAGATTTTTTCAAAACATAATAAGATCATAATCATGAGATCGAAGATGTTTAATCTTTAAGATCTCGCTCATCACAAGTCGATGTCGAAATAGCAGACTTTTCTTTAATGATATCAGACCAGCGTCCCATCGTTCGAATCAGTATAATCGGTGGGGAGAAAAAAATACAAAAACAAAAATACGCAAACAAGATGTCGATTCCGCGCATTCATTGTACTGGAAGCCGTGAGATATCGCGTGGGTGTAAAACGTCTTTGGGAAAAAACGTCCTCGCTCGTACACGCACCTTATGAGTATTGTACATGATGCGTATAGTGTGTACGTCGTCGCTCGTATGGGAATGCGTGTAGCGTATGTACATACAAGAGCAGTCGGCAAGGTGGGAGGTGAAAACACACCTCGCGTCACAGAAGCAGCAGCAGCAGCAGCAGCAGCATCGCTACATACTCTCGAGTATAGAGGGTCTCGCTCCGAAATCGGCTCGTCTGCTCTCTCGATCTTGGCTGCTTTAGTATCGCGCCGAATGCAGGTCAGTACGCAGCAGCAGCAGCAGCAGCAACAAGAAGCGAAGCCTCGCGATAACAATAATAAGAGGGAAGATTTCGTTGGGGCCGTGAAGCAACAAGTGTACCTACTGTTTGGCGTGTACATCGCGGTGTTGTTGTATTATCGCTACATGAGCAGCTGATGCTCGTCTCTCGTGTTCGCACTCGACGATAACGAGGATAATCGATCGGTGATCCTGCGAGTCGGCGCTTCGACCGAGTGCCATTTTATCAAGGTGTATCTGGTCATATTGGAAAAGGACTCGGAGTCGCCAGACAGGCCGCCGGCGAACATGATGTCGGAGAGCGTGACGGTGACGGTGCAGAACGGCAACGAGGCCGGCCGCGGTCCAGCCATAGCGCCCCTCAACGTATCCTACTTCTCGACCACACCTGGCCTCTGCAAAGTCGCTCAGCTGGTGAGTTCGCTATTTGCTTTCCTCGATTTACCTCGTTCGAAATTTCCGAATCATCGCGTGCAAATATTTCATAGTAAACACGCGCTACTCTGTTTCGCGTCTACGTAACTCGTGCGCGCGAGTCCTCGACGTATTAGTACGATTGTCATCGTCGTAATTGCTATGCCCGATCCTGTCAACAAATCGTCCGTAGCTACGAAATTTGTCGCTCGGCGAGCTCCGATTCGCATATATGAGAATTCGATTTCGAAATAATCGGACGTCGAGTCACCTTTGCTCCTATCGGCCTGTCGCAATTGACGCCCTGCTACTTTATCATCGCGCGCTGCGACTTTTTTTTTTTGTTAATCTTGGCGATGCTCGAGCGCAGCGCAAAGTGTCTCTATACGAGTACGAGCTGCAGCATTGCGTGCACCTTGGTGTGTACCTACTTATAATAATAATGTATATAATCGAGTCGCCGCGCACGAGATTGAGCCGTGGCCGTCCATGTATAGCAAGTTGTATGAAAAATAAACGCGGCAAACATGGATAAGCTTGGAGACCAGACAGACAAAATTACGTCACCGCGGTATATAGTGTATATATTATATAGAGGTGCGTAGCGTATCCACTGAGTGTGAAAAAATATATATGTCTATACGATCGCACGGCTACCTTTGGTACAGCATAGATGGTGTGCGTTATAGCATATTACTGCTATTATTATCGCACCGTGTCGTTTTCTCCTCTCCGTCTCGTATACACACACACACACTTATTTATGTGTACCAACCGCGTATTTTTACATGTACACTTGGAAGTGTGCTACACTCGCACACACATCTCTGTCGTTTCTCTCGGTAGCTATAATAAAAAAAAATCGGCCAAGTCCACTGGTTACCTTGGGCTTCCTCGCGCGACGAGATGATCCCGCCGATATTTATAAAGTTTATAACGCCTACCGGGGCCAGAGCTCCGATTCACTGTCGCGGCGATCGATCGAATTATATTTCCGAGTCTTGTTTCTCTCTCTCTCTTCCTCTCTTTTGAGTTGTTGTTCTTGCGAAATTGCTCCGAGCTCGAGATACGCTGGACACACAGACTTTGTCGAAAAAGGGACGTCGTCGCGCCATGGCCGATAGCAATTGCAGCATCGAGCAGCAGTACTGTATACATGTGCATGTAGGCAGAGGCGTGAGCGCGATGTGCTCTTTTCTCTCCGGTGCTGCAACGAGCGGCTTTGTCAGCTTCGCGCGGATGAATGCATAATGTGTGTGTATAGTCGCAGAGTCGAAGGGGTCTCGCGAACGACTGCGGCCCTGCATAACGTATACGACGCGTTATGCGCTTCACCTTATTATAAACGCGAATCGCAACAACAGAGCTGCAGTGTGGCAGCATCAGCGGTGGCTACTCAGTTTGTTGAACCCTTGCTAGAACTTGGCTCCTAAATATATACCCACGCCCGCATTTTATTAGGAAATGCGCGCCTATATAGGATATTTTTCGATACCAGCCGGGCTAATAATAGTCGCGCGTTTTACGCCTTCCTCCTTGCACGATATAGCGCGCACGAACTGCGCGACGTGTTTACACGTTTTATTATATTATGCCGTCTGCCGTTGTTGCTGTTGCTGTTGCTGCTGCTGTGCAGTCAGTGTGTGGCGTATTCGCGTTATTGGTCTACTGCGATGCAGCTCGCTCTACCCTCTGTATGTACGTTTTCGACTGAATTTTTGAAAATAAACAGTGCAGCTTCCCGTTTGACGGCTCGCCCACGCGAGCAGCTGCGATTTATGAGCGCCTTTTGATCGGATCGTTATTTCGTTGCTTTGCCATGACTCTTTCTTGCATGTGCGCAGGAAATAATCGGATAAAGCGAGTGTTTATTAATTAATTCCGTCCGATAAAGAGAATTTAAGCCTGCGATTTTCTTATCTCGATGATGAGGCACTCGAGTGCACATATACACATGCGAACGACGTCGTCGCCGAAGCAAAATAATTCCAGATATCGCATCGAGATACGAATTACGAACAACTCGAGATCTGTCAAAATTTGCTACGTACGCGCAAGTACGCTCGAGCGCCAAAAAGCCGGAATAGCGAAAGCGCATAAAAATGTTAAAGTTTCTGCTCGAACGCCGAGCTCGTGATACGTATAGCGCGATCAGAGCTGCGTCGAATACCGTGACGATCGGCGATCGAGTGCTTATTGCTCATGCACCTCGTAAAACAACACAAGGGCGTACGCTCGAGAGATCGTAAAATTTGCAACTTGTAGCATTTGTAAAGATGCACTATTGGACTGGAGCGCTTGGCGCGTGTGCGCGAGAGCCTCGGCAGTCCATCGACTTATGGCTGCAGTATATTTATGATGTACGCGTTTGAGCGGCTCGTGCAGGCGTCTCGTCTCAACGGCTCATTGAATCTAGCCTCGCGCGCGGACTCGAAAATATATCGCGCCTATAACTTATTGTATCGGGACGAGGCGTGATCGCGAGCCTTTCGGTGACATTTTAAAAGCCGTCTTGTTTATTTATTTTTTTGCTAAGAAAATCACAGACACCGCGACCGTAGCCAAAATTTCTCCTTCGATCCCTATATACTATCGTTTCTCGTCGTGCGCAGCATATCGGCACTCGGCGTGAAACTCGCGGGCCAATTTACACTTGTATACAAGAGCAAAGCCTCGTAACATCCACATTGCATTACACGTGGATTTGGCGAGTGAAAGAGAGAGAGAGGGAGGGAAAGAGTTGAGAGAGTTGGTCATGCGCGGCGCTCGTTCAACTGTACTCGCGCGCGGATGTATAGAGGATATATATATGTACGTGTGTACGCGATACATGTAGAGTGTATATAAGAAACGCGAACCTAGGTGGGGTTCGTCGAGCCGAGCCGATGCGTATAGGTAGTCCGTAAGGTATCCGGCACTTGCGCCGCGACCAACACAGAGTGCCGAGTGCAGTGCCGTAGTGCAACTCGTCTTCCTTCGTCACACTTATTACTTATACCCAACACACACATACACAAGTACAAGTTCAACAGGTGTGCACGTACAACACACACACACGTATATACCAAAGGCCCGCGTGCAGTCAGTGCAGTGTCGTTATCGCGCGCATCTCCGCGACGCGAGTACAGAAAAATCTTCGAGGAAAAAGAGGAGCAGTGCGCGCGCTATCGATAAGCAAATTCGCCTTTTTTTTCGTTCTCTCTATCCGCACCGATAAAGCAAAATTATTATGATGACGGAAAGCGTCGTGGTGAACGTAGCGAGCGGCGACAGTAGTAATACAGCGTCGCGACCCCCGGCTCCTCCTGCCGCCGCTGCTGCTGCTGCTGCCAATAACAACGGGACGACACAGGCCGCGGCCCAAAAAACCGACTCCAGACCAGCGGCCAGCTTCTTCTCCAAAATGAAGCTCGATTGGCAGCACTTCATCAGTATACCCGGCATCTGCAAGCTCACACAATTGGTGAGTGTCTCGACTCGAATTTACCAAAGTGATCCGTCGACTTATAGTCGACTTTATTATTTGAGCCGTCGTCGCTTTTCTTCTACGCATCGTCGTCGCAACGAGCGACATATTTT